CAGAGGCAGGCAGATCTCTGTGAGTTCGAGACCAGCCTGGGTATACAAGAGCTAGTATCCAGGACAGGCTCCAAAACCACAGAGAAACCCTGTCTCGAAAAACAAAACAAACAAACAAACAAAAAAAAATTGAAGAAATGGCCTTGAAAATAGGCAGTGGTGGCACAGGCCTTAATTCCAACACTCAGGAGGCAGAGATGGCAGGATCTGAGTTCGAGGCCAGGCTGGTCTATACAGAGTTCCAGTACAGCCAGGGAAACACAGAGGAACCCTGTCTCAGAAAACCAAAACAAACAAGAATGGCCTTGGTGAACAGTAAAAATGGGGAATTTTGTTCAGTTTTGACTTTTTAGGAGTCAGTGACACACTGCAGCTCCTTGGAAGATGTGCCTGGGGTTGAGCCGTAGTGTGACTAGCGTAGTGTGACTAGCCCCCTTTCTTGGACAACACTTTGTACTCACAGAACAAGCAGCAGACGCCGGCTCTGTGGCAGACACATTTGTGATGGTCAAAAATGAGCATGCCACTTTGAAGACAACCATAGACATTATTATTGCTAATGACAAAAGTTTAGGTTTGAAGGAAGTGTCTAATTCCACAGAACTTAGAATTTCCTATGGTGCTGGTACTATTTTGGTTCTATATATGATCTATTATCCATCTGTCTGTCTGTCTATCTACCTATCCACCTACCTCCTTAGACCTCACATAATGGACTATGTGAGCACTTTAAAGCTCTTCAGATTCTGCAGCAGCACACAGCTCCCTATAACACTGGCCACTAGCATTTTTGTAGCACATCATGAGGCTTTATGGTTATGGAGAGGGAAAAGACACAAGACAGATTTTATGACAGGTTCATTGTTACAGATATAGATTCTTGATAACAATCAGCATGGTGGCACACACCTGCGATCACAGCACACACTTGGGAGGCTGAGACAGGAGGATTGCTGGGAGTCTGAGGTCAGATGGTACTACATAGCGAGACCCTTTGTAAAACAAAGCAGAGGCTGGGGGATGGCTCAGCGGTAAAGTGCCACACAGCCACAAGAACCTGAATTGGGATCTTCAGAAGCGCCCATGGAAGGGTCAGGCATGCAGCACCGGAGAGGGAGACACAGCAGAGCTTGTTGGTCAGGTTTAGTGAGAGCCTGTCTCAAAAGATAAAGTGCAGGGCTGGTGAGATGGATCAGTAGCTAAAAGTGGGTGATGCCAAGCCTGGAAACCTGAACAGAGCAGACATCCAGGGTTGTCAGGACATACATGCACACATGCAGTAAGCCTGAGATAATGGTTTTAAGGAAAAACAACAACAAAGATAGAATGGATCCCATAGTAGAAGACCCTGATGTTGCGCTCTGGCCTCTACATGTGCACACTAACATGTACACACAGCACAACACACACACACACACACACACACACACACACACACACCCTAAACAAAACCCCCACAGACAAACGAAGCTTCAAACTATTAAGAAGCACTTACTTGGGAAGATTAGAATATTTGTTAGCTAGGTTTTCACTGAAGAACAGTAAAATAAGAATTCTAAAGCAGACCTGAGAACCTACTGGTCCCTATTCAGCTAGACATGAAAGAACTTTCACAACCATAAACAATTCTGGGTCAGTGAAATACCTCAGTGGGTAGAAGGCACTTGTCACCAAGCCAAACAACCTGAGCTCCATCCCTGGGACCCACCTGGTGGGAGGAGAGAACTGACTTCAAAATGTTGTCCTCTGACCTCCGTGTACACACACACACACACACACACACACACACCAACAACTCCATTCTGTTTGTACGGGGTTTTGTGTTCCTGTTGAGTGGGTTTCCTCGGTTGCTCTGCAGCTTATTGTTCTGAGGCTGGATCTCTCATCAAACCTCAAGCTCTGATTGGCTAGACTAGGGACCTTGACTCTGCTTCTCCGGAGCCAGGACTGCTCCATCACTGTACTTGTGCTTTTGTTTTCCTAAAGTAATTTATAAACATATGTATCTGTTGACATGGCTTCACACTGTAACTATGCTGGGGGCGGTGGCCAGACCTTATTTCTAGCACTTTAGAGACAAGCAGTTGGATTTCTGTGAGTTCCACATCAGCCAGGACTACATAGCAAGGCCCTGTTTAAAAAAAAAAGTTACTAAATATATTTTTACACCTTGGCTCTTTTATAAGACTTTAAATATTGATGTATATTAACCAAATGAGGAAAAGCTATTTGAGGGTTCTCAGAAAATGTTCAAGATAAGTCTAGACCAAAAGTCGGCAGCAAACTGTGTTATTCTTCCATGCTCTTTGTGTGAGGGCAGAGGACTTCAAAGACAAAAAAATAATTGAGACAGTCTAAATAGACTTAAAAAGTCTTGTCTGTTTTTTTTCCCCTGGGAATACTGCTACCTCTAAACCAAACAACCGATGGCCACGACGAACTTAGTAACAGCTGGGGCTGGTGAATCCTAAGTCTGGGAGGTTGAACTGGAAGGAACAGCTGCTCACAATGGCTGCAGGACTCAGAAGATGGGTGGGACCAGACACACACACATACACACACATGCATGCATGAACGCACACACACACATGTGCACACATGCAGAGGTGCTTTATATAATGAAAACAATGCTTAGAAAAATAAAGAACCAAAATTATGCAAAAAGGTCGTTGATAGGCCAATTTAAATTTGAGAGCATGCGCTCCAGAAGCCACTGGCCTCCCTTTTTTGCCAGTCCCACAGTCGCCAGCCTGGCAGTCCAGTATGGTGGGAAAGTCCAGGATATAGACAGGCAGCCTGGTTCATAGGGATGGATCAAACTGGAACTTGGACTGTGACCCACACAGCTTGTCTCTGCGATTTAAGCAGAGAGGAAAGAAGTTTGTTCAGCCAGAAAAACATTACACTAAGTAGAGGGGAGAATTGTCATCAGTTTTGTTTTTCTTCTCTGAAGAACTTAATTTCAAACAACTTAAATTTTTTTGTGGTAAATAGTAGGTATTTATTTGAAATGAAAAAAATACTTAAGTACCTGGACTATTGCAATTAATCATGGATTGTAATTGTCTACCTTTTTGCATCAGACAGAGATACAATAAACACTCGGAATCACAGATTGCACACTAGATAAGAGTTCTTCAGGCCTTTTACATCACCACCAGAGGAACAGATATGGGGTTCTGCGATATAGTACAAAAGTCCACAATCAATCCAGTCTCAGCCAGCATCTTCAGTTTACTTCCGTCGCTGTGCGAACAGTTGGCCGTTACTAGGGCTCACAAGTTAATAACAGGACAAAAATATACATCGCACTGACACAAAAAGTCAGCTGTGTTAATGGTCATGCAACAAGTACCCAAACTTGCTGAAATTAAAAATACTCTCTAAAAACAGGTTTTTAACAGCATAAATATTTTATACACAGTTCGTTTACCAAAACAAAATGTATTTAAATGATACAAAGCAAAAATAAGTTTCTACCACCTTTGTAAATAAGAAAGTGCAAAATAACTTAATCTAGAGTGTGTTGCTATTCTCCAGAGGGCTGGCTGCTACGGGCAGCTACTTCTCGTCTTTGAAAGTATGACGTTACACTTGCACACCGCACACAGATGTGTCAGAGTACATGGATGAGTAGGGATGGAGGGATGGGTGGATGGATGGGTGGGCGGAGGCATGAATGAACATCAGGCTGGAGCCCTATGAGGTACTCAGAAAAGGAATACAGACCACAGGACGGTGGACGCACGCAATGTTGCTAAGCATATTGGCACGGACCACAGAAGAAAAAGTAGAAAGCTAGGAGCTGAGGGACGCGAGTGAGTGCACTGCCCCGCATGAGTGACTCCGTGATTTCTGCAGAAGTGAAAAGAAAACAAAAACCAAAACTGATGGAACAAAACAGTTGCCCACAGCACCAGCTGCCAGAGGAAATGCTATCGTGAGGGGGTTTGGTTTCCACCTACTAGATATGGAAGTTGTGTTTGAAAGTTTTAAGAGTGTTCATCCCATAGAACTTCGGGTTAGACAGAGGAACAAGCTTCGAGCGGCTACACACACATTCCTATATTCAAGTCTTGAGAACACCTCTGCTATCGGCTATGGGTAAACACAGGTCATGGGCCAAAAGAGGGGCGCTTCTCTGCAAAGGTGAGCAACACTGCTATAAAGCATCCAGGCGCAGACAGGGCCCGCCCACCTCCATGCAGAAGCAGTTTCTGCAGCTGAGGAGGAACACCAGCCCCTTCTGAAGACGTGATGGGGAGATAGCGGGGCTGCTTAAGACATAGGAAGGAGAGCAAAGCAAAAGCCACTTTTCTTCCAGTGAAAAGAGTTAATGCCAACAATCCTTTTCCCGTGTGTACTTGAGCGTTTAGAAATGGAAGTATTTGAGTCAATTTTGATATGTATCATAGATAGACTGTAGGCTGAAACCTATAAAGGAAGGTTTAAATTTAGGAAGCATAAGGCACTAAAGCAGCCTTCACGGTTTCTCCTGGAGACCTGCGGATCAGGAAGATCTCTCTGTTCTGAAGCTGCTTTCAGCCCACCGGGTACAAGCTCACTGTTGTACCAAATGCCTGTTTCTGACACATGTGCATATATGTGCATTTTAGTGCATGAGTGTGCCTGTCACCAGGGCTAAGGATGGAGAGTTCGGGAAGCCAAAGCCACTGTCCTTTGAATGGTACCTCCCTCTGTGAGGGTGTCAAGGCCTGTCCTTTCTCTTGGGCCTTTAGTGATCCTCTATTGTTCAAATCACAGGGCTTTTAGAATTGTTCATATTATTAGCACTAAGTATCTGAAAATGTTAAAATCTAGATTAATTGTTTTATTTGATTTCATATATATATATTTATATTTATGTACATAACACACATTTTTAAAAAAATCCCACCACCAAAGCCATTTTTCTATAAACTTATCTCTCAGCTCCCACCAGCTTTAATCCTCCTAGATTTGTGTGTTCTGCATCCAACTAGTAGAAGAAATTAAATAACTAAATATTAAAATATTGTAATTATATTCATAGCAAAACCAAAAAAATAGACATCGATACAGTATAAATCTCACTGTCTCAGGTAGATGGCATTAGATGGGAAAGGTTCATCTTAAGCAGTTCTGACATGATCCAGTTTTACAAGGTTTAAATGTTAATTCTGTACACTTTTTTAAACCCTCTTTGAAAATAAGTTGTAGTAGAACACAGTGTCTCCAAAGACACACACTTGTTATGCTCTGTGCAGAGAAGCTAATTTGGGGTGACATGCAAATCTATTTCCATTAACTGAGGCAGGGCTGTGTCCTGCCTGACGTTGGTCACCTGGTCCCCTTTGGGCCATCGATGCCGAGGTGCGCTGGGACCACACAGCCCACAGGTCAGGTGAGGGGGCCTGTCATGTAAGAACACTGTGGTGGTGTGCAGCCACAACACGATGCTCAGGTACTTGCGGGTCACCGCATGACCAGACCGCTCTTCTCCCACATTAGCTCCGAAAGCAGGGCTACACAATTTTGGTTACTAGCCTATTTTAAGTGGAGATACTGTGGGCAACTTGAAAGAAATGGTATCAGGCACACAGGCTTGGTTTGAACAGGAAAAAAAATATTACAGATAATGTCTTTGAGGATTAAAAAAAACCCTTATTTATAATTGAGAGATGTTAGACAAACCTTAAACAGTTCATTGAGTTAGTGGCTTAGTTTGAAGTCTCATGTTACAGGCAATTAGGTCCTTATTTAGAAAAAAAAGGCCTTTATACCTATTTACAGTATACACAGCTGCTTGCAAAGAAGTCAGATTTACTACTGTTTTCTATAAGCCTTTTTTAAAAGTTTTTGTTGATTTTTCCAAATAAGGATGAATAGCTCTATAAAAATGAGATGCAGGAAAGACAGTTGGGGCACACGCTACGGGAGACTTGGGTTCTGAAACACGCCTGGAACCACCTCGCGTTCATCTTGTGCTGCTCACTGCTAGTGCCTGCCAGTCACTGGCCTTGGAACCGTGATCCAGAGATCCTCAGTGTGAGGAGCTGTGCAAGTGGGGGCTGCTTCAGTGCACTCGGCGCTGAGACGGGACCCAGAGAGCTCCCTCAGTCTCGGCAGTTTCGAGGCCCGTCTTCCGCTCCTCTCTCGTGCTGTAAGCTATAGTAACAGTTCTGGCAGACTCGCACCGGGGATGAGATTTTCAAGCGCTTGATTTCTGACTGAAATCGACTGCACCTACAGGAAAGGGGAGATAGGTTAGTGACAGATCCTCTCTCTCCACAAGCCACCAGGGGCTAAGGGCGCCAGTGATGTGGAACTGCACTGGGAAGCAGGCAGTCTGGGGTCAAAGGAGCAGGACACCACAATAACGCCCAAGGCCATGCTGGTTGGTGCTCATGTTGCGGAGATGCCAGGAGGCCCATCTGTGAGCAGAGAAAATCAGAAACATCATGAGGGACTCCACACAGCCGTGAGTCTGCGAAACTGCATCCACCCTGAGCGTCAGAAGATCTTAACTGCTTAGGACTCACTGCTCTGGGTCAGGGAAGTTTGGGGTACAGGAGCCTGATGACAAGCCAGGAGGTCTGAGTCTCCTCACTGAGCCCCACACGGTGGAAGTCAAAAGCTGACCACATCCATGTGCATCCGTGTGCCGGGCTGCCTCTAGTTTCCCGGACTATAGGTGTTGGCGAGTGTGGCGGTGTCATCGTTGAGCCTAACCTTCCCCCTTGATTGGGAGCGCTGCCCACTTGGATGTTTTCTTGCTTTTAATTTATGTCCTCACAGGGAACTGCTCATTTTGTTTCTGCCAATGCATATTAATTATATTAATGGCACTTAGTGCTATTTCTACACAAGTACAAGCAGGCACTGATCTGACCCACTGGTCCCTTCTGCCACTGTCCCCCATCCCCAGCACCTGAACTACTAGCTACTCATCATACTCTACTTTCAGGTCAGCCAACTTTTATTTATTTTTTAACTTTCAATAAATGGCCTTGAATGTGTGCTATACTCGTCTTTCTCTGCAATGGCCTATTTCACTCAGCACACATGTTCTTCAGTTCCATTCCTTCGTCCTTTAAGGACACCTAGTACTGTGTGTGCATATATACATGAGAACTTTGCACTATTCTATTACATTTTATTTAGCATGTGTGCATGCATGCAGTATGAGCGGAAGTCAGAGGCCAGCCTTTGGGAGTCTGTTCTCATGTGGGTTCCTATGCTTGAACTCAGGCCGTGCAGCTCCTCTGCAGTCATCTTTCAAATATGCAGTATCCCCAAATCCACTCATTCATTCACTGCTACTCTAGCTCTTGGCTTCTGGGACTACAGCTACGATGGTCACGGCTATGCCATGGCCCAGATGCTAACTTCCATGTCCTCGGATGTATGCTCAAGGACAGCTGGCCACATGGCAGCTCAGTTTAGTTTTCCATCCAGACTGACTAATTTGCATCTCACAACAGTGTGGAAGAGTGTCTTGTCCTCCTGTCCACGGGAGCATGTTACTGGTGACAGCTATTCAGATTAGGGTCAGATGGAATCTGTCATTTTGAATTATATTTCCTTATGGCCTGATGGCACTGAGTATTACTTTATATATTTATTGGTTATCTGTGAAGTACCTATTTGGACCACTTGTCCAATTTTCAATCTAGATGACCTAGTTTTCGTTTCAGAGCTAGAGCACGCTCCCTCCCATCCTGCGGGCAGCGTCTCCATTCACTTACCGCACCCTTTTCCGTGATCACAGTTCATTTGTCACATGTTGCTCTTGATGCTTTGGAGTCTGATCTAGAAAACTGCCTGAGCCAGGGTTTCTCTTTGTAGCCCGGGCCTGCTCTGTAGACCATGCTGGGGCTTGAACTCAGAGATCCACCTGCCACCGTCTCCCTAGTGCTGCGATTAAAGGCGTGCACTATCACCGCCCAGCCTAAACCAGTGCATAAAGAATCTCTCCTATATTTTCCTTTTGGTGCAGTGAGAGCTTTTCTGGTCATACACCAAAGTATTTGAGCTATTTGAGCTGACTTCCACATGCAGTAATAGAGAGGGTCAAGTGTTAACCTCCTGTATGTGGTACCTGGGTGTTCCAAAGCCATTGCTGAAGAGGCTGTTATCTTCAGGGTGTTTCTGTCAACTTATCAGTCAGTCACAGTGTACAGACTTCTCTCTGTGTCTGCAAGCTGACCCTCTGGCCCACCATCTGTTTTAGCCCAGCAGCATGCTGCTGTGGCTACTATAACTCTGACTTTTTGTTTCCCTACTAATTTTAGTGTTTCCCTAGTTCTGTGCAGAACGCCATTGGTATTCTGAAGGGGACCAACCACAATGAGGCTGAGCTTGCTTTGGGTAGCATGCACATCTTGGCAATATTCATTCTTCTAGTCTGTGACCTCGGGAGGCCTTCCAGCCTTCTTCTGCTTCTCCATTTCATCCTTCAGTGTCTCCTCATTGTCACACGATAGATGTCCTGTGTGTATGCGTGTGCGTACATGCAGGGCAGAGGTCAACCTCCGTTACTCTTCCTTAGGAGCCATCCTCTAGGTTTCTGGAGAGCCATGCCTGCACGGACTGGGACTGCAGACTTCCTTCCCCACCCTGAGCCTGTCTGGGGATGTCTGCAAACTTTCCTCTTCCTGAGTCTGAAATGCTCGCCGGAGTGGGTGAGAGTGGAAGGCCAATATCACTGGCAGTTTCTCTCCAGGCATCCACAGGCTGTGTGGCCCACGGCTTGAGCCATGCTAGGACTGCTGCGCTGCTCAGGACACCTCTGGAGGGTCCTCTGTGATGGGACAGTGGAATCAGAGCTCTTTCCTTAGCAACACAAGGTGGCAGGTGGAAGGCGGGCGCAATGTGAGCAAAGCCGTCCTTCTGTCCAGGTCCCTGTTTCAAACCAGTCACAACCGGTCACACCCTTGGCGGCAGGCTCCACCATTCTTATGCATCACATCCTTCATCTCCGTGTGCCAACATCTCTTTTCCCATGTAGCATGGTTTGTGTCTTCTGACCCATGTTTGGTTCCTGAGACAGCAACCTGGAGCCACATGGAGCCAGTGTGGTGGAGTCCCTGTGGAGTCTCCTCGAGTCTCCTGGGTGGGGAGATTCCGGGATTCTGACCTTGAAGCAGTGCAGATTCAGAGACTGGGTCTTCACTGGGAGCAGAGGTGATCAGCTCTGTCTAGCTAAGCCATGAGTCTGTGCGGGGGTGGGGGGATGCACTCTCAGGACAGGATCTCCAGTGTCCGTCTGCTGCTCAGCTGAGAGTCTCCTAGCAGCACAGCAGGGCCAGCCCAGAGTTGTGTGGGATATTTTCTCCTGTGGTGCCTTTGTCTCAAATTTCAAGGTTTTATGAGTTTCCGTTTCTCTCCTGTGATTTCCAGTGTTCACTTAGTATGCGGCATTACCCATGCTGCTCTGGGTCTCTGTGGAGAAGCTGACGGCTCTAACCAACAACTGTGCTGTGTGACCACTGCCCATCCAAAAGGGCACTCCGGCTACCACACACGTTTTGGCTTTCAACATTTTTATTCTTTTTCCTTCCTTCCTTCCTTTTTTTTTTTTTTTTTTTTTTTGTCTTCTGGTTTTCTGAGACAGGATTTCACTGTGTAGCCCTGGCTGTTCTATGACTTGCTTCCTAGACCAGGCTGGCCTTGAACTCACAAAGCTCCACCTTTGCCTCTTGAGTGCTGTGATTAAAGGTGTGCATCATTCTATGTATTGGAGAATGAACCCTGGGAAGTGAGACTGTTGGAGGTCTCATAAATGGTAATACAGGCTGTTCTAAACATGCCAGCAAGTGTTGCAAGCAGACTGCACAGCCCTGCAATCATTTCTTAAAGGCATTTTTTTTTTTTTGTGGCTTTTCTTGCTAAGTGAAGTGTTCTTATTTCTATTATTGTGAGAGAAGTGCTCCCACAGGCTACTTAAGATATGTTCATGGTCTTTATAAAGTACTGTGGGTTTCTTTCCATAGAGTAAATCAGGATATGACGCCAGGCATGGCATTAAATCACTTTCAGCTTGATTCTCACAAAACGGAGATGCAGATTCATACAATCTGTTAACCCGAGTGTCAGAAAATAAACCAAGTGCTTAAGAGGGTCACGGGACTGGCTAGGGATTTGTTCAAACACTCAAGATGGAGGCGGTTCTCAGCAGCAGAGGGCAGGAAGGTTGCACCTTCCTACATAGTCGATTCTGGCCCTGTCTGCTAAAGCAGCAGCTCTGCTCGGTCAATGCTCTCAACAGTTTTCACCGCACATATCTGAGCAACGGGTAATTTAAAGACTTACCTATACTTAATTCTGAAACCACTACAGAGAACAGGTGGGTGTCAGTACTGAGCATCACACTGGGGTGCGCCACCCATAATCACAACATCAAAGCACAGTGCTACCTGACAGGATCCTCTGCCCCACCTCATTCAAGTCCCAGTCAGAAATGCTGGCAGTGACATTCCTGCTAATGTACCTTGCAATCCACTTCTAAGAACGGGGGTGTAAAGAAAAAAAAAAAACAGTAATTATAACACCTCAGAAGCCCAGCTGGCCTCCATCCCCACACTTGCTGTCACTTGGTGTACTCAACAGCTCTAAAGACAAGCTCTTTTACCCACAGAGAAGAAGCTCAGAGCTTCAGTGAGGTAACAATAAGCTTGCTCAAGAGTCAATGGAAAGACCACCTCCTCACCAGGGACCGACCATATGACCTGTGAAACCTCAGAACCTGCCTTCAAAAACGATTATCCAGGTGTTTTCTATGAGGGCATTTACAATGAGACAATGTGGGCGTCACAGAGGCCTATCCAGGGTATCCCTTCTGTGTGTGCAGGACAAGGGAGGCCTGGATGTGCCATCAAGGGATGGAGAGCTCACATTTGTTCTGGGCCAAGATAGACTGCCTATCATAACCTAAAGTTATAATAAAAAATTAAATGCAAAAAGTAAAACTTGAAAACGTTGAAAGAAAATAAAATTTCCTATATGATCAAACTTAGGATACCAAAATTTTAACATACGTGTACAAACTGAGTATAATAAGTGCAACCAAAATTGAAGCCTGTGCACCAGACAGTACAAATGCAAAATTAAACTAGAAGTAGGTATGTGCATGGCACAGCGGAGGGCTGGAGTCCAGAGCACACAGAGAACTCAAGAGAGGCAGAAAGGAGGGCGAAAACCTACAAGGAAAACGGGCAGACTTTCCTAGAGGAAGCCTGGGTGCCAATAGGTGCCTGAAAAGATGCCAATGTCTTCCAGCATTGTAAGTTAAGACAACAAGACACTTCCTTAACCATCAGATTGGCAAAAGGACAAAGGCTTGGCATACCAAGCATGACTAAGAATCTGGAAGTTCCTGTGTCCTACTGGGCCAGGAGGAGTAGCACTGCTGTTCTAGAGTCCTTTAGCAAGACCAGGTAAGACCCAGGTCAAGTCTGTGTCCTGGAGGATGTGCTGTCTCCTGGGGAGGAAACAGGCACTTAGGATGGAGCACACTGCAGGATTAGTCACAGAATCTGCAAGGTGGGGCGCTAACACCAGGGATCCTCAGGAAGGAAGTATTGGGAATCAATTCCTGCAGAGCCCCGAGGTGAACTGCCCAGCAAACGGTTACAGTGAACACACTAGAATAATGGTTATCTGTGAGTGGATTAGGAACCAGAGTCTGACTTTATAGAAAGGTGCAGATGGTGCAGTGTAAAGCCGAGAAAAGAACCAGACTCTGTGTGCAGAGTGGCAAATGCTGAGGGCTTTAAGGACTCATGGAGAGTAACGCCGTCCATGTCTCAGTGCAGTATGGATGTGCACATACCCCGTGTGCCTACAACAGTCCAGACGGCATGCACAGGTGCGCTCCAACAACCATCAGGACAACATGTATGGATGTGCACATACCCTGTGTGCCTACAACAGTCCGGACGGCATACACACGTGCGCTCCGACAACCATCAGGACAACATGTATGGATGTGCACATACCCTGTGTGCCTACAACAGTCCGGACGGCATGCACACATGCAACTGAAGTCAGGGTGGCGGCTATTTTTGTGATTATTTCGCTACTTTCTATGAGAGAAATAGTTCATAATGCACTCACTTCTGACAGAAGAGCTGCCCACAGTTCCTGCAATGGTGCCGTCTTTCTGTGAGGGAAAAGCGCACGGAGCAGCCGGAGCAGCTGTCGCCACCTTCATCCTTCACCCAGTGGTCAGCAGCAGAGCGGCCGGGCTGGTCACTCACAGACCAGCTGAACACGCGGCCCCGACTGTCACCAACGAGGATTCTGCTGTGGTCCCTGTGGGATAGGAGAAGGGCTCTCGTCCAGGGCTCACAGTGTTCAGAGGAAGCCCGATTCCCTCAAAGGAAGTTAGTTAAGAAAGGCAAAACAATAAAACCTAGCCTGGGTTTATTTTCCCATTTCAATTTTCTTTGGCTCAAACCTTGCTGTGTCTTTAAAAGACACAGAGAGCATTATGGTTTGTTGAGAATTAAAATCTACCCAGTTGGCAAGCTTCTGACCAAGAGAATGAGACCAGCTACAAGTATAATACATGTCTCAAGGATTGGGCTGAAATAAGGGTCCCTAGCTATGCAAATGACCCAGAAAGAGAGATGGGCTCCAAAAAGCATGGCCCTTACTTGGAGACACCCAGTGCAGTGACCTCAGCTGGGTGTGCATTGTCCTTTCGATCAAAGGCCGTGTGCATCGTCAGTTTGCTTCTGAACACCAGCTGCCGCTCCCACCGGTACCCTGGAATGGAGAAGTGGAGGACAGAGACAAACTCAACCTAGGGAGCGACAGAAATGGAGGCCGTTTTTGCACTGTGGTTTCTTGTTTAAAACATGCCTAGTTTGAACTCTAGGAGAACTGTCAGAGGCCTTGGTCTGTGGCCCAGGCCATAGATGTGATCAAGGAGAGAGCCCCAAGAGAGCTGGACCCCACGGCCTATCACACAACCTCTCACATCACTCACAGGCAGGGAGAAAGACACCAGACCTCAACTTACCTGGTTTCAATCTGCTGTAATTTCGTGCTTCGATGGGGTTGGGGTGGGCATGAGTGAGGGGGCCCTGCAGATGGGCTCTGGTCTGGCCCTCAGAGTAGTTCACAAATATGAAGCCATCTTTTTCATCAAGACTGAGCTGGTCGGACCAGCGCCTGGAGTCATCTGAGCTGCTGTCCGTACACCACGTGGCAGTGGCTCTGTAGGAGGCTGCCCTGGGCCTGTGGCTGGTGCTACTGGGCTGGCTGGCCGTTTCCTTGGGCTCCTGGCTGATGCTCGGCTCCTCTGTTTCCGAATCGGTGCTGTCTTCATCTTGGGCTTGCTGCCCTGGGTAAATATGAGTAAAGGGAGACGGCAGACACATCAGGCAGACTTACTTTGGTCCTGTTCACTTTTCTTCTATTGGTAAAAGCCACAATAACACAACACTTTAAGCCAAGTATTTCTAGTAAGGTTACAGACAGTAAAGAAGTAGGATCTGTCTTAGAATTCCATTTTATAGACTACGCCTGAGAAAATCCTTAGCTTGGCATTTTATTCTACACAGCAGAACCCAGACTACAGTCTTCCTAGCAGCCTGGCTCCTCTGGCCCTCCCCACAACCTGCTCGCCCTCGTGGAGGTTTGTGTGCACTGCTTCTCTACACGAACTTGTCTTCCGTGTCTGTGTGGGCTGCTGCTACCTGTCTTTGAGGACACAACTTTAATGTCTAAAATCTTACCCAATTGCTTATATCTCCTCCCTCTGCCAAACCTCTTGGTACTGGACATTATTCTCTAAACTGTTGCCCCTATAACCTTGCAAACAGTGAAGAACAGAAGCACAGGGCCATGGCCGCGGCAGTGGGTAGCTATGCCACTTCCAAGACCAGTGAGTTCTTCGGAAAGTTTAACCCTTGATCCTTTCCTTCACACTGTCATTCTCCATTTCCTCACACTAGTGATTTGTCTGCTGCAGTCACATCTCCCAGGAAAGATCCAGGGGAAAAAAGGTGCACAGGCAGACATGAGGGAAACCCACAGCGCGCATGCAAGTGCCAGCACAGCGCGCGCACACACATTTCCTTAGCACACAAATGTCCTCAGCTGCTGAGCAGTGGCTCTGAGCTCCTGGGAGCCCCTAGCTTGCCTTCCTCGCGTCTCATGCCTGGCACTGTTCAGTCCTTCCCTGTGGACCGCTTCCTTCGCCCTTCTGCAAACCACCACAGCAGAATACACAGGACCACGATATAGGAATTCTCTCTACCCTGGGCATGGCCCTTCTTCTATCTTATTTACATATCTTCTTTTATTCAGTAAAGGAAAGACTTCCTTCTCACTGGACCCCATAATCCAATGACAGATAAAACAGGCAGCCAACCCCCCAACAGTTACTGAATCAAAGTTTCCGAACCTACTTCTCCCCATCCCCACTTCAGATCACCTCTTCTGGGGCTACAGTTTAGCCTGGGGGAATTACATTATCAATAGAATGTGATGGGATCATTTTTCCTGACACAGAAAGTAGACACTTTATGCCCTTCTGATAATGTTGCCCTTTTCCGGAGAAGGCCCTTATATCACCAAAGTCATTCAATTCTCTGTGTGCAGAAACACAGAGGTCACCAAACTGAAAGCTGATTCCTTCCAACAAGTCATTAGTGCCAGACCATGAGGGGCAGCTTCTGTGGAGACAGTGGCACAGGGCAGGCCACTGCTGGCTCTCTGGCTCTGTCCCCAGTTGTTCTGAGGAGAAATCACCTGGCACTGTCTCAGAAACAACAGGTAGCAGCCTTCAGTCACAATTACTGCCCACGTGAGCAGGAGCAGGTGGTCTGGGGACTGATATCTGGCTTAACAATTTAAAAGCGTTGCACCCACTTGTTTCTGTCCACTGTACCCCACCAGCTGGGCTCTGCAGCTGTAGAACTGAGGTGATGAGCTGCCTGACTCACCCAATGCTGTCCCTAGAACTCAGGCAAAGCACTGCGATGTCGAGGTCAGCTAAGCCTGCCTCCCAAGAGGGCACTGGTGAACTTACTCCAGCAAACCAGGTACACAGGAGCCTGGGAACAGTGGCAGAGACAGTGCCAAGGGCGGCGCCCAGCCTTGTCCATTTGAGATGCTCGGTGCGACCTAAACCAGGGTGGTAAATACCTATCTGTGCTTTACCTAAACCAGGGTGGTAAATACCTATCTGTGCTTTACCTAAACCAGGGTGGTAAATACCTATCTGTGCTTTACCTAAACCAGGTGGTAAATACCTATCTGAGCTTCACCTAAACCAGGGGGTAAATACCTATCTGTGCTTTACCTAAACCAGGTGGTAAATACCTGAGCTTCACCTAAACCAGGTGGTAAATACCTATCTGTGCTTTACCTAAACCAGGGGGTAAATACCTATCTGAGCTTCACCTAAACCAGGGGGTAAATACCTATCTGAGCTTCACCTAAACCAGGTGGTAAATACCTATCTGAGCTTCAGGACAGCCCTCCTGCGTTTCCAGTTCTTCCACAGGCTCAGGAGCTGGTGTTTCGGGGACTTGTAGAAATTCCATCCTCCAGAACTGCAATAAAGTAGCGTGGAAAGAGCACATGGCAGAGTCAGGCTGGAGACAGTGAACACATTACTTCATAAAGGTGCAGGCTGAGGAGTAAGTGTGTGGTTCCGGTTATTGCTTCTAAATAGGTTTTACTGAACCCGTGGGGCTGCTTGCCTTACACGGTAGTTACCCCTCACTAGGGGCAAAGGACAGAGGTCAAGAAAGTTTAAAGTCAAGGTCACTGTGGAGGTTTGAACGGGGCCCTGTAGGTTCAAGGTTCATATATTTGAATGTTTGGTTCCCAGTTGGTGGACTGTTTAGGGAGGGTTAGGAGGTGTGGTCTTGTTGATGGAGGTGTGTCACTGGGAGTGAGCTTTGAATTGAGGCTCCCTCCCGCCCACCCTTTCCCCCATTTGTTTCTGCTCTCTGTTTTCAATTTGAGGATAAGATGTATTCTCTCAGCTATTGCTCCTGCGCTCTGGCTGCTTGCTGCCCTGCTCCCTGCCATGAGGGTCATGGAATTGCCCTCTGAAACTGAGCCATCAATTAAATGCTATCTTTTATAGTTGCCTTGGTCATGGTCTCTTCATAGCAATGGAATGGTAATGGTAACTAAGACAGGAGCCACATAAGTAAACGTTGCAAAACTTGTAAAGTCTTGCATGCATGAAGACAAACCTCACCTCCAAGCACACTTGTCTGTTAGCAGCAGAAGCTGTAGCCTCAGAACTGCACATGCCCCCCCCCACCCCCCCCACTTGCTGCCTGAGGCACTGCATATAGTTTGGTGAGGCTGTCAGTTTCTTCGTCTCTAAACCTGAGCCTATAATTCAGGAGAGTGACAATCACCTTGACAAAGGGTACAATTAAGGAACTTAGAGCTACAAAGAAAAGGAAAATTTCCTGAGTGACTACAGAGCTTAGGACACACACTGTCTCTCTGTGATGCCAACACACACAGCAAGCAGCAAAAATAGGGGCTGCATTTAGGTCCAGCTTGAGCGTGGACAGAAGGTCTCAAGACGTGTTTGCGTGTGTATATGCATGCGGGAACAGTATGAAGGCTTTTCTGAGGTCACTTACCCGGACCACGCCATCCGAGTGTCCTGTCACAATGACATTCTGCGTGTCCCACTCGTTCATCTCGGACACACAGCAGCAGACGATCTGCTGGCTCCTGCCTGTGAATGTGTTCACACTCACGATCGGGTTGCCGTTGATGCTCCACACATGGATGTGTGTGCCGGCACAGGACACAATGTCCCCCTAAAGAGAAGAGGAGGACATATGTCTAGCTCTCAAAACCCTTGCGCCCTGAAGATTAATGGCTGTATGATTTCTGAGGTAACCTACAATTTGGTGTTTGCTAATACAGGTATCTTCAACAGAAGCTTCAAGAACTGAAAGAGGAGTCTTTGCTGGAGCAAGGGATCACAAATGGAGGCAAGAAGCAACGAACTCAAACACCAGGACCAGAGGGCAGAGGGAAAACTATGAGCTCGGGAGGGTGGCATCTCCAGTAACTGAGAAGGCAGATGGGTGCTACAGACTGCTGTGTATCTACTGTCAAATCTGTGCTTACAGCAACAGAGGGAAACAAACCACGCTGATGATTTCTAGCAAGAGGACAGGCCGTTCATTAGAGAAGCTGGACGGAGCCGTGGATGGAAGGTACATCAGAGACAGAAACCTCTCCAGAAGTCACTGAGACTTACCAAACCATCTTTAAAAGACTGCTATGCATACAACTGTTACCTGCATGCATGTCTGTGCATCATGAGTGCTCGCCTGATACCCACATAAGACAGATGTGGGGCTTCAGATACCCAGTTATAGATAGCTGAGAGCCAGCATGTGCATGCTGGGAATTGAACCCTGGTCCTATAGAAGAACAGCCAGTGCCTTTAACCTCTGAGCAAGCTCCACTAAAACATCTTCAACAAACCCAAATGCATCTGTACAGTTTGGAGCCCTGGCTGCAATCGTGTGGGTGTACAATGGCTTGGCAAGACTAGAAACATGATTCGAGCTACTTAGGAACAATCCTAGACCAAAGTGTTCTGAATGCTGGCATCAAGCATCTCACTGAGAAACCCCAAGGCCGAGGAGTTATGTTGTGCTCACAGTTTTAGAAAGCTTTTTAGGTGTAGTGCTCATACAAGACCCCATGCATTCCCAGCTCTGAGCGCACTGCTCGCAGCGAGTGACACTGTGTGGGAATCACTAGAGCTAAATTCCTAGGAGTGACTGCAGGATATCTGACTAAATTCCTAGGAGTGACTGCAGGATATCTGACTAAAACACAGCACGCAGTGTCAGTTTGGGTGTAAAATGTACCCCACAGACGCATGAACACGGGTGATGGCCGTGGTGGGAATCACTGGACTCCCGAGGCAGGAGGCTTATCACTGCAGGGTGGGCCTCTGAGGGCTATGGCCTGGCCCTACTTCCAGCCTGCTAGGGCCTGAGTGTTTCTTACAGACTTCAGTACTAACAACTGCCTTATACTCACTCACAGCCCGCAGACTAGAACGGTTTAGCTGCTATGTCTTCCTCACCATGATGGACCATAGCCACTTACACACCATGAGCCAAAATAGACCTTTTCTCTTTTGCTTTTGTTGGGAATTTAGTTACAATGTTGAGAACATTAAGTCTTACAAATATTATTACCTAGAAGAAACCAAAGTTATAAGGGTCCTTCCAGACAGAAGGCTGTGCGGATGACAGTAAGAATCTCATACTGTGTTAAGAAGAAAGCCCCAGGACAGGGCCAGGGTAAGATGCAAATGAGTATGTGTAGCCAGGAAGCCAACAGGTAGGTTGCTATTAATTCCCAGGATTGCTCTGCGGATGGAGCACCATCTGCACAGGATGCCTCGCAGAAAGGAATCTCACACCTGATTTCCCCTTGCATATCATTCCAGCTTAGCAACGGATCTCCTCCTCGTCTACCTCAGAAGGCCTTGGTCTGCCAGGAGACCCTAGGGCAAGACATTCATTTTATTCTGATTCATTTATTTATATATGAAACACCAACTTTTAAAGAAGCTACCATCTTCTGGTAACTTTAAAATCTGTTTTTTAAGTAACCTGATAATTATTTTTCTCTCGTTCATTGACCCAGTGGTTAATAGTTTTTACTGTACAAAGAATTTCAACAAAGCGCTTAGACTGTTAGCAAGTCCTATGATTTACATTTTTGTTGTTGTTTGGATTATAAAGTTAATCATCCACTTGCTGTTTAAGCAGGTGCAGTGGCTCCTACATTGTGAATACACAACATGAATATCCATCAACTTTCCAAAGAGCTTCCGTCTGTGTTTAGTCTGGCCGTATGTTTCCTAAACATTCTACTTACTGTTAACTCATTAATACAAAGAGCAGAAACGGGAGCTCGGTGGCCACGGAGCTGGGTTAGAAACGACAGTCTGTTCAAATCCCAAATGATGCAGGTTCGGTCTCGGGACCCGCTAACAATTATGTGATAGGCTAGCGATGCTGTGGCGCAGGTAACAGTGTCCGTGTGGCCAAGTAAAGCCTACAAAGGGAGGAAAGTGAGAAATCAGGCCAATCACAATGGCAGAGTAGCCTAGCTGTATCCAGTCTTCTAGTATCAGCAGAAGGACAGGTTCATTATTAGAGAGCCGGATGCCCAGAGCAGGTGCGAGGGTGACGGTCTAGACTCTCCTCCTTTCCATTCTTTTCAGCAGGATGGAAAATGGTGGCCCAGGCCTTTGAAGGAAGGGGGAATGTCCGCTACCACTGGCTTGGACTCTTTCCACTCTTCCCGGGATCATGTGCTGACTACGGGGCCAAAGTCGAGACCGTAAGCTAAGCTTCTTTCTATTCTTCTGCCATAAACTCTTTAGATGATTGTGAGCACCTGCGATTTTAAAGAGGATGAACCAAGTGCTCAGAAGTAAAGGAATTAAAATTGCATGGTTGTGGTACATGGTCCTAAAAGATGAAGGGTCTGGTCCTGACATGCCACCGCTACATCCTGCTGTGCTGCAGCTGTGTCTGCACTGGGTGGCTCCTTCCAGGACTGCAGCAGAAGAGCTAATGGAGCCCAGAACAGCAATGTGCGATGGTTAGGGAAGAGTTAAGAAGTTTCTGATCAGTGTTTCATTTACTGAAAATATGCTGCCTCCCCTGTCCCCAGTGGGACATGCTTGCTTACAGAAGGAGCTGCCTTAATTTTGTGGTCTTATAGACACCTGGAGATATGCTGGGTAAACACAGAACGCTGTTTTAAGTCCTAAGTCCACACTGACGGCACATGAGCTCAAAGTCCATTGGCTGCCTGTGAGTCGTTTCTGCCGGAAGTGTGGTTAGCAAGACCGCCAGCAGCCTTACCTTTGGTGCTGTGGAGAATGCCTTCACATGCTCATTGTAGTGATCAGAAGGACCCTTTGCTCCGTGTGGAAGGTTGTTGGACAAGGGACTTAATCCTCCCCATATACAGCTAAAACATGGTTTGTTTGATTTTTGCCTTTAAGATAGAGTCACATCTGAACTCAAGTTCTGGCTTTATCTCAAAGGTAACGCTGCATGCCTTTTATGCATGCCCTCACCCCCAGACACAGTAACTATCTTGTAACTTAAGGCTCAGAGTTCTGTATGAACAAATGAGGTAGCTTATTAATAAATTGCTTTTCAAATTATATCCTAAAAACATGGGGATGGATGTACCCTCCTTATTTTGAAAACACCTGCGATGAAGTCTCGCAGATCCAGCACTGCAAAGCAGTTTAATACTAGAAGGATAGTGCTGTGGGCAGAGGAGCCGAAACACAAGCCCTGGGCCCTGAATTCAACCCTAAAATCCACGGAGAGTTGAAAGCAGAAAATGGACTCCATTAAAAAAAAAAAAAACTTTCACATTAAGTAAAAATTAATAGAATCAAATAATGATTAAGTAATCAAAACACTTGTCAGCAACACCATCAGTGTTCTGCTGACACGTGAATGAATCTGATCTGCTCTTAGGAATGACAAATGACAAACAACTAAGACTTGGTGGCCCAGCGAAGGAGCCGCTGTGGGGAGCATTAATGGCAATCGACAGAAAATACACGTGGGGTAAAGAATTTCTAAGAAACATTTGTGTTTAAGTATCCTGAAATATAGTCCCCAAAGACAACTTCATTTAGATTTTAAGAGACAGTTTTTGAGAAACAGCTTATTCTGATTATTGAAAAGTATTTCTAGTAAATTAATGTTTTGGGTCAGCTGCAATTCCAACACCTAGGTGGTTGGGGAAGCATGAGTCTGAAGACAGCCTAAACTACAGAGCTGGAAACAGTCTTAAGCCAAAAACAACATACAACTTCACCGTCACAGCCAAACGACGCCTCCCCGACCACGCTCTGGGTTTTTCTGGAGTGGCTCTGGCCTAAGGAGGCCTTTGTAGTTTCTGGAGCCTGGCAGCTGAGCAAGCATGCGCCCACCCTCTCCCCTGCTGTGGTTACCTGCTTAAGCGTGAGGGGCTTGGCCTTTTCTTTGGAGGTGCCCATCTCCCACACACACACCACCGTGCTTGTTCCGCCCGTGATCACGAGCTTGGGGTTGGGGCAGATGGCGCAGAGAATCTGGCCCCACTCGGACAGACATTCATAGACAGTCACTGCCTGTCAAACAAAGTAGACATGAGACGCAGGCCACCAAGTGCTGAGGAAGAGCTGCGCTGTGCTCCCAGGAAGGGCAGCCCAAGCATGCGCTGTCTCACTCTGGGCTGTGTTCAGTTGCAGTGGACAGGGTTCAGTTAGTGACAGTTCCCCTGAAGTTCTATCCCAACTGCCTAAGAGTGTCTAAGCTACAGAACTGCTAAGCAACAAAATTAAGAGACTGTGTTCATACCAGTCTGGTTTTTACCCTGTTTGGGAAAAATGATGTTCAACCTGTGTGATGGTAGCATGTCTGCCGTGAACATGCGTGTTTAAGGAGCGTTCTGCCCACAGAGAACAGTGCCCAGTGTGACCAGGGGGCTATACAATCTACCTGGGTGGGAGGAGCCGGCAGAGGGCAACATTTACCAGACTACCCGTCTGTTTCTCTAGGACACAGCACAGCTTTTGTGCTGTAGGAGGGGCTGCTTTAGGCTACTGTTACCATGATGAGCGGCCAGATTGTGACCTGACAACAAGGAGGGTATTTGGGTTGCAGAAATGGTGAGCCCTTTGCTGACTAGGATCTCTTAGAAGAATTCTGGAGTGGGAGAGAAGCTGTCAGCACCCAGGTCACAAGTTTCCCAGAAACACTTGGTCTTCAGGCTCCGAAACTGTTCCAGCTTCTCAGCAGCTGTTAAGCCAGGCTGTCCGGACTGCAGGGGAAGGATGAAGGAGGGAAGCAATGCACACCTTATCTGACTCGTAGGTCCCCAGTCTGCAGCTGAGGTCTGCATAGCCCCAGGCGAAGGTCTTGTTCCATGCTGGTGGGATAAGAACCTTGTTCTGCTCTACTGCAAGAATTCCTTTGTCTGTGCAGACAATCTGCCCCACAGGCTCTTTGAGTTCTGTATGGAAATCATTGCATTAAGACAGATGAGGATGTAGGACCTGAAGCCTCACACACAGAGCAAACGTCCTGACCCCAGGCTCTGGTGCCCATCGTCCTACCTTTCACAGGGGTCAGCGAAGGTCTCAGGTTGTCTAGGTGGTGGAAGAAGAGCTTGTCACTGGTGACTCCCGGGGGGATGGAGATGCCAATGTTGTCTCCGTTGAGCCGACTCCTCACTCGCTTTGGTGGGTGAGGCTTCTTAAACAGCTGAGGAGGAGGAGGAGGACACACATAGAGGGAGATGTCCTCAGGCCTTTGGATGCCAGGCACCATGGCTTCCTTTGCATACACTTTACATGTAACATCAACTATATCACCCCATTTATCATCTGAGGAAAGAGGTTCAAAGGCTGAGACTAGGAGATGTACCATAGTAAGCAGCGACAGGTTACGGTGCCAGAGCTGGGGCCGTCATACCCAACACAAAGCTCAACTAACTTTCTGAAGACATATAATCTACTCAAACTAGACCTCGACTGGCAGTTATTTTCCAGGAAACGGACCCACGAAGGATAAGAACCTCCATACCTGCTTAGGGATCTGACCGAAGTTGTTAATGAAGCCAATGGTGGCTGTCTCCTTCAGAGGGTCGTTTATGTTGTAGATATCCACTTGACCCTCATAAAAGAGGTGATGGAAGACGTTGACAGCTTCCACTGCTGCAGGGCCCTGCTGCTTATAGCCGAAGATCAGGTCGATCCACTCGTGCAGGTGGGCGCTCACGTAGTCACACTCCAGAGCCTGGGTTCAGAGGTCAACAGAATGAAAACATCCTCGCTCCGCGTGCAGTCACCAACCAGAGAAGCCCAGCTTTCCCTTACCTCGCGGTGGACTCTGATGAACTCTCTCGGGTCTCCCTTTGCCCAGGGTGGTAGGATGACGTCTCCAAGCTTGGTGCCATTTTGTTTGCAGCCTGTGCAATTGGACACGTTAGGAATAAAGTGGAAGAGTAGTTTAGTGGTTGGCTGCCTACTAAAGAGACAGAAACTCATCGCCAGAGCTATTCAGCCTCAGCACAGAATACCCTCCCCTGTCCTGAGGCTGTTGTGGCCTTTCTCCAAGGCTGCTCCCTAGAGCAAGCCTCGGAAAGACTGCCAACATTCAAAAAAAGAAAAAAACAAAACAAGCAAAACTCCCTCAAGTGTCCTTCAGGGGTTAACTTACAAAGTTAAACACAGTTTCTCCCTGGTAAGACCCTGGAGGCTCTGAGGCTAAGCTTACGGTTCACTAAGAGCAACACAGCAGTTTCTAGAATGCTGATAACTGCGAATCTCTTTTCAATGGCACGTGTTGCAGTAACTTCAGTACATGAGTGTTCTCATCTGTTCACACACACACACACACACACACACACACACACACACACTAAAGACAGTCTTTCTAGTGTGTAGCTCTGGCTGGCCTTCACTCACAGAAAATTGCCTGTCTTTGCCTCCCAAGTGCTGGGATGAAAGGCTAGGGCAACCATGCCCGGCTGACACTTAAGAGGCATCCACAGAAAACAGATATTTTGCAGTGATGATTCTCATTAAAAAATAAAATCTGAAACAATAAATTTTTGCAACATTAAAAGAAAAAACATTTGGAAAAATTAGAGCCTCTTGGCAGAAACAAAAACATCATTTTGCAATAAATATTGATCCTTATTCCATATAAACTTATTTAAGTTATATTAGATAATCTGAAAGTATTAAAGAAATAATTTGAGCCAAGTACAGTGGTACACATTTATAATCCCAACACTTAGAGGCCAGCCTCAGCTATATATAGCAAGTTCTAGGCCACCTTAAGCTACACAGTAAGTAATAGGCTAGCCTGGGCTAGAAAACAAGATTCCCAATTTAAGAAAAAAGAAAAAGAAAACATCTGCTCTGAGGTTTAAAAAATTAACTGGAATTATCATCTGGAAAAGAGGGTTTTTTAATGAACTAATTCTAAAAAGTCATCTTGGCTTATAATTCCCACAGGGACAAATGAGACGGCACCACGCTGGAGTTACTGGAACACTAAACCAGCGCCCTAACTCCGCAGCAGCTGGTTAGATAAACACTGCTGTTTCGTCAAGTAGCGCAATCTTCAAATTTCAGAGCACTGGGCTGCCTCAAAGAGACAGCCAGAAAAAACACTTCCTGCAGAAACCATCACGTCTTCATCGTTGTGACTTAATCATTTACAATGTGGTGGATGTAAAAACCAGTTTACTGACCGGCAGTGGTGGCGCACACCTCCAATCCCAGCACTCGGATCTCTGTGAATTCGAGCCCAGCCTGGTCTAGAGAGCGAGCTCCAGGACAGGCTTCAAAGCTACAGAGAAACCCTGTCTCAAAAACACAAACCACAAAGAAACTACCATGTGACTTAAAAAGTAAAAAAGTCATCACTATAGTGACCACACACTTTACATGCTCCCTCTCAGCCCCTCAATCGATCCCCGCTCTGTGTATATGTCTGTGTGCGCATGTGTGTGCATGTGTGTGTGTGAATTACAGACAACTGTGAGTCACTCTACATGGCTGCAGGGAACTGAACTAGGACCCTCTGGCAAGATGGTCCTCACTCTTAACCATTGAGCCATCTTTCCAGCCCCACAGACCAAATTTTTGTTGATTAAAACCAAGCAATAATCCCTAGGCCTCTTTGAGAAATAATTGAGTTTTAGAGAATACTTATGTCAGACATATTTCTTCAGAACTACCAGTCATTTTAAAGGTATCTGAAGTTGGCACAGTCGCAAAAAAACCCTTAGTTTATGTATCCTGCAGGTCTTTCCCAGGAAAGACACAAGAACAGGAGCACAAACAGAAAACAAGCCCGTGTGCTTTCTCTCACGCCACTGATCTTTGCTCGGAGAGCGGAAACCTGGTTTTGTTTTGTTCTTGAGGTAAGAGTCATAGGACGACTCTGATCAATTTAAAGAGACCAATTCTGTGGCTTTGGTCATTCAGCAGGCACACAGCCAGCATTTCTAGGTAGCTCCAGAACACCGTTATGTCCCCGAGAAACCACGGAGCGGTTCAGTGCTCTCTCCTGCACGTGGCAGTCACAGTGTGCGTGAGTCTGGGGTCTACCTGTTCTGAGGATGGCCAAAGCATCTCATGTTGTGTGACAATAGCGGAGCTGGGTTTTTACCACTCAGCACGATGCTTCTGAGGTTCCCCTATTGCTATACCGGTAGGGTGTGGAATGTCTCCCGAGGCCCTGTGTGACAATAGCGGAGCTGGGTTTTTACCACTCAGCACGATGCCTCTGAGGTTCCCCTATTGCTATACCGGTAGGGTGTGGAAGGCCTCCCGAGGCCCTTGTTTGGTCAGACTGGCACTACAAGGAGGCTGGGCTCAGGGGTGGTCTTCTGACCACTGGGGCACGTTCTGAAGACACAGAGAAACCAGTCCTTCCTGCTCAGTTCATTCCACGTTCCAGTCCCAGGAGAGTGGCCCTTCTACCCCACAAGCCTATGCTGTGATGCTCCCCTTCAGCATAGGCTGAACCCCAGGGCCAACCAGACTGTGGACTGAAACCTCCTACAGCCTTCTCATACGATCAGGTATATGTTGTCGGGTGGGATGAGTAATGTTTCATACTCTGCACTTGCGCGCCTCACATGTGCTCATGCGTGAGTGCACTCACACACAGCTGAGCTGCCACGTGTGTCATGTGACAGGGCCCTCACACACAGCTCATCCGCCACGTATGTCATGTGACATGACACTCACACAGCTCATCCACCACGTATGTCATGTGACATGGCACTCACACACAGCTCATCCACCACGTATGTCATGTGACATGGCACTCACACACAGCTCATCCACCACGTGTGTCATGTGACACGGCACACACAGCTCATCCACCACGTGTGTCATGTGACATGGCACTCACACAAAGCTCATCTACCGCGTATGTCATGTGACATGGCCCTCACACACAGCTCATCTACCGTGTATGTCATGTGACATGGCACTCACACACAGCTCATCCGCCACGTGTCATGTGACATGCTGGGTGTGTCTGCTTAAGCTCTGGCTTCCATTCCGCACATGTAGGAGTGAACCACTAGCTTATGTAGTGTTTTTATGCTCACTACTCCTTTGGTTTTTCTGTAGACTGGGCTGGCCTGCACCCTAAGATCACCCCCCACACCAGTCTCCCAAGTGCTTGGACGGCAGGTGAGCACCATCACGTCTGTGCTTAACCATTGAAACAACAGACATCAGGTTCTTAAAAAAGACAAACAGAGGAGCAGCTGGCTGGAACAGTCTAAAGTGGGAACCATGGATTTGATGCTTTCAAAGAAACCCTCAGAAGCAGAGATCAGCAAATCATAATCCACAAGACTGTAACTGAAGGCAAAGTCTCTTCCCCTAACTGGCAGGTAACAGAAGGAACACTACGCATAGAGATTTTCTCTTTTCAAGACATGCTGATTTGGTACTCCCCCCACTCCCCAACCTGGAAAATAGGATACTCACAGGACAAAGAAACATGATTTAAATTATTTTTAAATCATAGTTTAAAAAAAATGGGCATATAAAGTGATGATGCCTTTGGTAGCAGATAAGAATAAGATGCACGGGATTGTACACATCACCCTCGGCCATTGATAGGGTTTCAACAGTAGATGTTTCTCAAATACATTTTTTTCCACTTTTATTTTGCTGAACAACACAACCCCAACTATTGGATGCCGCCTGTGCCAGTGTTAAATTTCTCCCAGATTCCCAGTTGAACTGGCTCTTTTGAGGCATGAACTTGCTTTCCTGTGTTTCATTTAGACACTCAAAGCACTCAGCACGGCAATGTGGATTATAGGGAGCTTGCTGTCCAAGCACCGCAGACAGACTTTGTAAGAGAGACTGCTAACGGTCCCAAGAAATGCCACTTCTACGTACCCAGGTCAAAGTTGTTAGAATTGAACAGGAATTCTGGCAAATAAAAAAATTCTGGGATAAGTTCTTTCACATCTGCCATGTTGTGCTTTGACGCGGAGTACCAGGCCTCACGCACGCTGTGGAACATCCGGTCTGCCAGATCGAAGTGTCCGCCCTGTGGGCAGAAGGAGGGAACAGTTTGTCAAGTTCAAGGGCTGAAACACTTCATACACCTTTGCCTACATCCTCATTTCTTGCCATCCTACATTAAACAAACAGAAGTTGAAATAATCATAAAATCCTTTTCTCTTTGGTGTATTCTTTACAAAAGATGCCCAGTATATGTTTTATAGTCAAAGTAAAATTAAAACAAAAAGATTGTAGACTATTAGTCTTTAGAGAGACAGTGAGACTGTGAGGAGTAAGAATCTTCCACAAAGGGTGAAGGCCTGTGGAACATTCTCGTGGGGACCCATGTAATTGGAAAGTCAAGTTCCTAAGTGTGAGCGGATGATTGGCCAGTTCTGCTCTTTACGTCAGCTCACAGGGTACCAGGTTCCACACAGGACTCCCATTCATATCTGCCATTGGTGGATTCCATGACTTTCTAGTGCATGTTAATGTAAATTAACACACCTAAACTTTTGCTGCGATTCTGTTGGGTGGAAAGTTATCAGAGGTTAATGGTTGCTAAAACATGTTAATGTAGAAAGCATTTTTACCCACGCACCCTCAGTTTTCTCCTGTCAGACCCTGACGGTGCTTTAGGGAAAAGGGAGCATTCGACAGTTGTTATAGGAAAACGCCAAAGGCCACTAAGGGCAGCTGAGGTCTCTTGCTTCTCCACTCTGTTCTGGGTACCCTGGCACCTTGCTGTCCCCACCCCCTTTGCCAGGCATATGCTTGCCTTGGGCCCTGTGTAGATCCCACTATGTTTCCAGGTGTTTGCAGGGCCCCTTCCACCCTCTTCCCCAAGCCAACTCTGTTAAGTCGCCTCCCTCCCCCACTTTCCACTCTTCACCTGCATTTCTGACATGGTTGATCACACTCTAAAAAACACTGCACAATTTACTCATTTAAAACAATGTGTAGCTGTCTCCTTAACTAACCCTGAAACTGCAAGATAGAGCTTTGTCCTTATCCCCAGATGTCCTTCCGGACAGCCCAAGAGGGACGTGTGCAGGGGGCTCAGCAAGCATGTGCTGACCACAGAGTGTGTGTGTGGGGAGGTCAGCGGGCATGTGCTGACCACAGAGTGTGTGTGTGGGTTCAGCAGGCATGTGCTGACCACAGAGTGTGGGGCGGGGGGGGGGTCAGCGGGCATTGCTGACCACAGTGTGTGTGTGTGGGGGGGGGGGGGGTCAGCGGGCATTGCTGACCACAGAGTGTGTGTGTGTGTGTGGGGAGGTCAGCGGGCATGTGCTGACCACAGAGTGTGTGTGTGGGTTCAGCAGGCATGTGCTGACCACAGAGTGTGGGGCGGGGGGGGGTCAGCGGGCATTGCTGACCACAGAGTGTGTGTGTGCGTGTGGGGGGGGGGTCAGCGGGCATTGCTGACCACAGAGTGTGTGTGTGTGTGGGGGGGCTTCAGCAGGCATGTGCTGACCCAGAGTGTGGGGCGGGGGGGGGGGGTCAGCGGGCATGTGCTAACCACAGAGAGAATATGGAGGAGGCAATTATAACCATGGGCACAGAATAGGGTCTTTGAAAATAAAACACTTGCTGAATTCTAGTTAAGACTAACCCTCCAGCCCCCTCCCTCCACGCTGGAATATTCATGCTGTTTACTCTAACTACAGGACCCTGGCACTTGTTCATCCTAAATGAATCTTGGTTTATTTATCAATTTTGGCTTAGCAGCTCTCAGCTCAGCTCTGAATCACCAATTTGTCACTACTAAAGCTCCATAGTGCTCCTTCTAAGGTCACATTTTTTTAAGAAAAGACAATTTTAAATGAAAGTAGACTGAATTAGAATGGTAAAAATTCAGAATTTGAGCTTTACCTGAAGCCGCAAGAATATCTGTGTGAAAGGCTCCATTCTGACGAGATAAGAGGCCACAATCATTGCCGACGAATAGTGAGTGCCATAGTGGTATGCTGGAGTTTCTCCTGCTCCAGACAGTTGGGGCATCATTAAAACAAAAGGAAATAAGAAAAGTAAACTTGGTGTTAATCAAATCAGAAGGTTTGGAAATGTTAGCAATTGTGATAGGTAACCGGGACACCAAATGCAGCCAGTGCCAGGGACGGACAGCAGGGCCACTTCAGCCCCACTAGCCTCAGGTACATCCCATCTGGCAGGCACCGAGGACAAGCCTGCTGGATTCTCTCCTGAGAGAAGCACACCTGCCGTGGTTAGTTTGGGGCTCCACAAGCCATCACCCACTGAAGCAGAATACCCACTTAATGGCTACTTGTTTCTATTAAGTTATAGCTTGTAATGATACAGTTCTCTAAACTGTTATCGACAAATGCAATGCAATAGTATGTATCATTATTGTATATCTTCCTTGGCAGTCAGGGTGGGGAGAGGGGCAGAAAGAAAATGGGCACAGGCATATAAATAGGCTTAAAGTCAAAAGTTCCCCCCTTTGCTTTATGTATTTGAGGGAAAATCCAAGTCACTAAATATAATAAATTGTATAGTTTACAAATTTCATCAATTCATAACTTTAAATGAAGGGCTTTTTCAAAAGTACCTAAATGAAATTAAAGGAAATGCAATTAATGTGTAGTTCCGGACTAAATATTAGTAGAGACCAAGACAGAGGAGATAGTTTCCTGTCAGGGCTCTGCAGACAGCTTCAAACACCTTAGAGATGGCCACAAACTGGCATGAAAATTGAATTTTGATTGCAATCACGCATGTGCACATGTAACACACCAGCAGCAATCACACATGTGCAGGTGTGCACACATAACACACCAGCAGCAATCACACATGTGCAGCTGTGCACATGTAACACACCAGCAGCAATCACACATGTGCAGCTGTGCACACGTAACACACCAGCAGCAATCACGCATGTGCAGCTGTGCACACGTAACACACCAGCAGCAATCACGCATGTGCAGCTGTGCACACGTAACACACCAGCAGCAATCACACATGTGCAGCTGTGCACACGTAACACACAGGCAGCAATCACACATGTGCAGCTGTGCACACGTAACACACAAGCAGCAATCACACATGTACAGGTGTGCACACGTAACACACCAGCAGCAATCACACATGTGCAGGTGTGCACACGTAACACACCAGCAGCAATCACACATGTGCAGGTGTGCACACGTAACACACCAGCAGCAATCACACATGTGCAGCTGTGCACACGTAACACACCAGCAGCAATCACGCATGTGCAGCTGTGCACACATAACACACCAGCAGCAATCACGCATGTGCAGCTGTGCACACGTAACACACCAGCAGCAATCACACATGTGCAGCTGTGCACACGTAACACACCAGCAGCAATCACGCATGTGCAGCTGTGCACACGTAACACACCAGCAGCAATCACGCATGTGCAGCTGTGCACACGTAACACACCAGCAGCAATCACGCATGTGCAGCTGTGCACACGTAACACACCAGCAGCAATCACGCATGTGCAGCTGTGCACACGTAACACACCAGCAGCAATCACGCATGTGCAGCTGTGCACACGTAACACACCAGCAGCAATCACGCATGTGCAGCTGTGCACACTTAACACACAAGTAGCAATCACACATGTACAGGTGTGCACACGTAACACACCAGCAGCTTGCAGGCATATTCACAGGTGTCAGAGCACTAAACAGTGTTGACTTTTGAAAGCAAAAACGAAGCCAAAGGCAGAAAGAGTGCCTCACCATTGGGGTCCTCCCAGTCCTTATACCGCTTCTTATACTGGGCCAGCCGTTCGTCCGTCTGTGCGCCCATTGGCTTAGCCAGGTTTCTGAATGTCTTGGGATTAGTAAGATCAACCTCCTGAAATATGAAACAAAACCCAATGCTGAGTTACCAGGCGCCCTTCTCAGTGTGAATACAGCAACTGTGACGGCAGTGACCCTATCTGTGTGCCGGACTGAAACAACAGAGTGTGTGCCGTTTACACATCTTACATTAGAGGCAGAGACAACCGCGTGTGCCGTTTACACATCTTACATTCAGAGCGGCCCCGCTCGACAAATGTTTTGGAAATTATGCATTTTACAGGAAGACACTTGGGATTCCAGTTGTAGGAAGGAAGGTAACAGGGATATACTTTTAGTTCTTAACAAGGACACAGAAGGACATTGCAGACCAAAAGCTCCCATTTGGAGGACGGAGTCTTTCTAGGTTTCCTCCCGCCCTTCTACTTCCTTTTACTTCATTCCTCAAGGGGTGCCTGGCAATGTTGATAGGGGCAGAAAGAAGGGAGAGGCAGGATGCCTCAGCCACTGATGGATGGCAGCAAGGAAGAAGGTGTCATATCTAAAGATGACATCACAGAGCTGGGGTTGCACCTGTATAAGAAGTGAGGGCCCTTACTACCTCCGCACAAAAATGCACTGCTTTTGTTTTTCTAACACTCTACAATTTGTAATTTAAAATTTTCTTTTTCAGAAGAACTGGAATATTTTCACCTCATGAATCTTTCCCCTTGAAATGTATTCATTCACCCAGCTGAATCAGCTTCATGCATCAAGTGTACCTTAGGCTAGCTTCTTTCTGAGGACAAAAGCTTCAATTTCTCTAGAATACGACACGTAAAATTTCTGATCATTTAGGCAGCTTGATTCTAGCAAGAGACAAAGTTAGGTGGATGTCTGATTTGAGAGTGACCAATCTTTCTCCTCCTTGCTTACAAATGCCAATCTTGCCTTACTCCGTTGGCTCCTGCTGCATCAGATCCAGTGTCATCTCCACCAAACAGGAAGTGTCAGCAGACAGAAGTGAGAACAAGTGTTGCATGCCACTGACTTGGAGCCCCAAGTTACGAGAATCCCCCATGCTTCTCAGGAAAGCAGGAAACAGTCCTCCTATGCAGCGGTGCTATTTTACAGGAAGGGCCACTCCCAAGGTTTTCTAGACAACAATTCAATCTGCAAAGGCAATTTCTGACACTTCCAATGGATGCAAACTGATCAGCACCAAAGGAAACTGAACAGACATGGTGAGCCAGTGCCTAGTACCAAGGGAGGGACTCTCATTATCTAACCTTTGGTATATTTTATATGCCCAATGTACCCACACTAAATGCCCTCTTGTCTTCCTCATATAGTGCCTGTGCCGATGAGGGAACAGTAGACCGCAAAGAAGCACAGGGGAACTGAAGCTTCCCTCATTTATGAAAATGTATTACACTCGGGTATAATAACTGGAAGCTCACCTCGGAGTCGTAGTCTGCGAGAATCCAGGGGAAGACGGGGTACTGCATGAGGTCATTGTAGGATCTGCCGGCCAGGGTGTTCAAGTGCATCAAATACTGGAAGTTGCTGATTTCACCTCTCTTAGGAAAGACAGTAAAGGGACACATCTTAGAGTGAGTAATTAGTTTTGCTGTTTAAAATTTTTATATGCAAAAATGGACATAAAAAAAGGTTTCCCATAAAAGCGCAATCTCTCCTCTGTGGCTACATTTATGGACCGTGACCTAGGAGGTACAAGGAACCTTCTGTGTGCTTGTGCTTACCTCCCACCTCTGGGTCACAGACTTCTCACCAACCAAAGTACTGAGCAATCCAGACCTAAACACAGAAGACAGTCAGCTGTAGGTCAGAGTTTTCAGTCTGAATAGCTTTCCAGCTGACACATGTCAGTCTCCTGTCTCCAGATCCTTTCCAGCCCACAGAACGGATCTGTTCATGTGGGTCATGAATCATTTTATAGGACTATGAGGAGCACTTTGAAACACGAAATAGCTGAAGCAAATGAAAATTCAGAAGTCACAATATACAGCAAGGGAGGCATTTTTTTCTATGAACTGTGTTTCACTATTCATGATTTAACCTTAGTACCGGGGGACGTAGCACAGTGTATACATGGCATTATCCACCATGGGTAAAAGACCTGGAAAACCCTGATCGAATCCAACTTTGTAACCACAGTAGGTATGCAGCTCCTGAAATAAGTGATTGACAGGTTAGCATTGCTGCTCTGTCAGAGTGTTATACAATGCTCTTTAAGGTTATCCGAACTATGCATTAAAAAATAAACCATTGGTCCAAGAGTCATTGGCTATCCCCTTTATTATCTGAAGGGGAGGTAGATGGCACTCCTCAGGTTCGGTGGTACAGGTACCATTTTCTACATTAATAAAGTCCTTCCACCAGGCAAAGTGAACATGCGGACTATCCCTGGGAAGGACCAGAACATTCCTCAGTACTAAAACGCTCCCCTTCCTGTATTTATGTTGACAACAAAAATGTGTGGAGCTTTTAGGACCTGATTCTGAGGTTAACAAAAGCATGTACTGAGGATTTTTATTTGCTACTGATAAAAGAAAAATAAAATCAACTTTTTATTAACTTAATGTATTCTGATGTGCACAGATTGAAAAGAAAATTCATTTGTAAAAAACTCTATTAAGTTTTTACATTGTGTGTGTGTGTGTGTGTGTGGTGTATGTGTGTAATTTGTTTAATCTCACAACACCACTCCTTCCCAGGTGGCCTGTCACAGAATGATGGCAAACAAAGCTGAATGTATGGATTCTTGAAACGGCTGCAGCACCCAGAGGATCCTCTGATTAAAAGGAGCCATGGGGGAACCCAGAGGCAAGGGTGATGCTGGAGCCATGGGGGAGCTCGGAGGCAAGGGTGATGGGCTTGTCCCCAGAGCCAGGGAGTTTAAATTTAAAGACCAGAGAACAAAAGAGGAAGGAAGGCTGGGACATCTGGAGAGGTAGAGGTGTAATCAAGACCACAGGATAGAGATATCCCCTGTCAGCTGACGACAGGAACTCAAGGAAAAGTGGGCACACGAGAGGGGTAGCTCAGTCAGTTGACAGAGTGCGAGTGTACTCTTAATGAAAGCAAAAAAACGTAATTTAAATCTGAAGTTTAAGTGACTAATGCAGAAAGCTGGTATCTATTCAGTAAAAGAAATCAGTCTAATAAGGGCAGGATACAAATGGAGAATTTCTTGTGTATCAATTTGGTTTTGTATATCAAGAGCCTTAGTGTAGTGGCATTTCATTGTATTTTAATAAATAAAGCTCGCCTGAAGGTCAGAGAGTCAAAGAGCCTTACTGGTCAGCCTTACAGACCAGGCAGAGGTAACACACACCTTTAATCCCAGTCCTAGAGAGGATTATAAAACGGGAAGAGACAGCTCTCAGACACAGTCTCATTCGGAGATTCCTGGAGGCAGGATCGCCATTTCAAACTGAGGTCGAGGTAAGAACCAGTGGCTGGCTGCTTTGCTTTTCAAATCTTTAGGTTGAACCCCAATTTCTGTCTCTGAGTTTTTATTAATCTTGCATCACCTTATACACTTCACTTTATTATAGACATTTTATACATTCAAAACAAAGTGTTCTTTAGTACTATAAGAAAACCTGGAAAAGGTCCCATCAGAAAGTCAGAGAATGCTTTATACATCTGATGAATACTAAAGGTTATATTTCCAAAGAGAGTTTGAAGATTGGAAATATTCACATACAGCACTAAGTGAAAGAATAAAAGCTTGTATTTTGAGAATTCAAGTTTTTAAATACCGAATAATTCTCTCTAGATATAAGTCACCTTGATTCCACAAAGAAATGATTTGAACATCAATACATGGCTTACCCTTGTTCCACACTGGTGTTTGGTCTCTGACCGGAGACAGACTCTGAGCTGTCAGTGAGAGATGGCACAACTGCCAGGAACCTAAAAAATTTAAAAGTGAAAATGAAGTCTCAGTAGGGGCCACATGGAGCCCTAGAAACAAGGGCAACCCCCATATCTTTACTGTGCCTGACCCTGTGACCAGAGGCCCACACACAGCACCTGTGCTGTCACATGAAGTGGGGAAGGGGAAACTGAGTCAACAAATGAAGAGCTAATGAGTGTCTGCAACTAAGTAGTCACCTGATAGTAGGCACGACACAGCCAAACTAACATTAAAACAGACATCACTAATTGAACGTGACATGCAAGGTGCAACTTTCCTGCACTACTGTTAGCTTTTGCAGAGTTGCTCGTGACGTCAGTATATGTTTCAAATCTCAAAGGAGAGTTGAAGGGGAAGCCAGGAGAGGATCTGGACCTTGAGCCTGCCGTGCACAAAGACATTTCTGAAGGAAAGACAAACGCATCTCTCCCAGCACCCCACAGTTGTGCAGGTTAAACTGCGTTGCCTCCGCAATGGCTAAGTCAGACGAGTGGGTGGGGTGTCACTCGGTCAGCCCTCGCACAGGAAAGGAGTCTAGGGACTGCATTTGAACAACATGTCATTTCTGTGCCACACACAAGTCTTCTGCTATCTACAGTTTTGATTTCTGCCATTTAGTTAACTATGGTCAAATAAAGAACATAAAAATGGTTCAAAAATATTAAATGAAAAACTCCAGAAATAACTTTTAGATGTTTCACCAATGATAAAACATACAAAGAACTGATCAGCAGTTTTAGCAGCTATGCTACTTTTTCTTTTCTTTCTTTCTTTTTTTTTTTTTTTTTGTTTTTCTAGACAGGGTTTCTCTGTGGCTTTGGAGCCTGTCCTGGAACTAGCTCTCTAGACCAGGCTGGTCTCGAACTCACAGAGATCCGCCTGCCTCTGCCTCCCGAGTGCTGGGATTAAAGGCGTGCGCCACCATCGCCCGGCCGCTATGCTACTTTTTCAACAATGAAGGCATTCAACTTCTTTTCCAGGGCTGTGAAGACTCTCAAGAGGATCCTGTTTCTATGGGAACTTATTCTGGAGCTCCATAGAAAGGTAAGGAGAAAAGTGGAACATTTAGAACCCAAAAGCATTACTTTTCAACTTTTACTTGATTTATTATTATCGTGTACATGTATGTACACCGCATGTGCAAAGGCACACGTGTGGAGGCTAAAGGGACAGCCGTGGAGCTGCTTCTCTTCTACGTTTTGTGGGTTCTGGGTTCAGGATCAAGTGCTTTTACAACTGTCAAAGGCTATTTAATCACAAAGTCTGAGACTAAAAAACAATGCTTTAGTGGCTGGAGAGATGGCTCAGTTCTCACTATAAGTTACCAGAAGGGAGACAAGCTAATTTAGCAGGGAACTGGCACCATCCTAACAGCTAGGAGGAGGAATCCCATTTCAAGAGGCTCGGAAATAAAAAGAACACTACAAAGACATCGACTCACTGGCCTGGAGTCTGGATTTTATGCACCTAGCAGAACAGGCTGCCAATGGGCCCCCTCCCATTTCTTCCCACAACAGCAAATAAGGGATTCCTCATGAACGAGACCTTTGGTAGACTTTATTCCGAATTCCCTTTTGAAAAGCCAGGAGGTAATTCCGTCCATCCCCAGAGAAAACTTCAACAGCGATAGGCTGAAATGGTTAGAGAAAAATAAATTATGAAACAGACCATAACAAACACACCAACTTCCCCACCGTGAAGTCCTACAAGGTTGATGAATTTCTCCACTGGAAAATATTTTAGACTCATGAATCTTCTGTACATTAAGCCATGTAATCAAAGAATTTTCTTTCTTTCTTTCTTTTTTTTTTTTTTTTTTTAGACAGGGTTTTTCTGTGGCTTTGGAGCCTGTCCTGAAACTAGCTCTTGTAGACCAGGCTGGCCTCGAACTCACAGAGATCTGCCTGCCTCTGCCTCCTGAGTGCTGGGATTAAAGGCATGAGCTACCACTGCCCAGCTACTGGAATTTTCCTATTCTTCTCAAAATTAAAGAGATCTTTAAAAACAAAATGATAAATAGTAACTTAAAGATTCTGTTCCTAAAATGATGAGGATGTACTTTTTACATGAAAGGACAAAATGTGCACTTGAAGACTAGAGAGAGATGCACAGTGGAGGTGCAGTAGAACTCAGACTGTTTAAGGAAACACAGATGCATCCTAAGGGCCATGACCCTTGGGTTCCGAGTCTCCAAGGCGCAGTGTGGATGCTGCAGTTATCACCATACCGATCCATTTAAAATACTACATTTTCGGACCAGGAATGGGGGGAAACATTTAGTGGGCCACCAACTCACCTGCAGGAGGTACCTCCTTTTATGCACCTCCTTGATGTCTTCATATGCAAAAATGCTGCATGTTCTCTTGAGTTGACTGGGACCTTGTCTGGCTCCCCGAGGGATAATCGGCTCATGCATACTATGAGTAGCCAAGAGAAAAAGGAGCAAAGAAAACACAACAGTAAGTGGATAAACTCATTGATTAATGAAGCAGACGCCATTTCCAACACAGGGCTAGGAGGGGAGACAACATACAGAATTTCCAGCTAGAAATGTGGTTAAGAGAGCACTCTACTGTCTCCTGTGAACAAGGAAACCCCTTTCGAAGAGTTTATTTTTGTTGGACCAGCCTTTCTATTAAGCAGTTGGACAGGGTCTAAGCCAGTAACATACGCTTTATTTCTTTCCAAAGCAGAATAAAAACACTTAAAACATTTTAATATAGATCTAACTTTATATGAGGAGTTACAAAACATGGCTTCATTTTATTTTTCAAGAATCATAAAACACGATTACAAAGGTTTTTTTTATTTTTTTATACAGAAGAGGGGCTCATTAGAGTCACAGCTTGGCCGACACTGTTGAAGAAAGCAATTATTTGTGATATCCTCTAGGAATGCAGAGGCCCTGTCTCATTAACTGTAGTGTTAGATGCTCAGAATGCTGAAGAGGAGACAAAAGCCCTCATGTGTGTTCTGACCACTTACTGCTCTAGTACCTACAATGACCCCATGACTGGGGGAAGGAAAGGAAGATAAAAAAGAGCCCAGCTAGTCATCCCGTGTGGGCTTTGGTTACCCCACTTCCAGGACACTCAAAGTACAGGGTTGGTCTTTTATTAAAGAGTGTAGTTTCTGAATGTGCTCCTACCACCATGTGTAGGGTGTATATGCATGTGTGTAAGGTGTCTAGGTGAGTACATGTGTAGTGTGTATATGCACGTGTGTACGTTGGTGCACAGGCACATACGTATGTCTAAGTGTGTACATGTGTAGCGTGTATATGCACATGTGTATGCTGGTGCACAGGCATGTGCGTATGTCTAAGTGTGTACATGTGTAGCGTGTATATGCATGTGTGTACGCTGGTGCACAGGCACAAGTGGAAGACTTCAGGTGCTGAATCACTCTCTGCCTCACTCCTCTGAGACAGGGAATACAGCTAGTGGCCACGAATCCCTAGCAATTTCCCTAGCTCGGTTCCCACAGCACTGGAGTAACAGGTGCCTGTGTGGCCATGCTTGTGTTGGTCATGTGGGTCCGGGGAATCTCAATTCAGGCTCTCATGCTCCAGCAGCAAGCGCCTTTACCCTCCCAGCCATCTCTCCACCCTGCATCAATGAATTCACCAGTGACCTCACAATTCAGAATGAACATATAAATATATGTGTGCTGGTCAGTCTGTCAGCTCGCCATAGTTAGAGCCATCTGGGAGGACTCTCAGTGGTGCAAACATGTCTGTAAGAGTGGTCTGTGGGGAATTTTCTTGATTTCTGTGGGCAGTGCCATCCCCTGGGCAGGTGGGTGGTCCTAGGTTGTATAAGAAAGCAGGCTGAGTGAGCCTTGGTGAAAAAGCCAATAACAGCACTCCTCCATGGTTCCTGCCCTGTCCTCCATGGTTCCTGCCCTGTCCTCCATGGTTCCTGCCCTGACTTCCCTCAGAGAGGGATCTGGACAGGGAAACGTAAGGCAAATTGACTCTTTCCTCCCCAAACTGCTTTTTCTGGCGATGCTGTTTATCACAGAAAAAGAACAAGTGACTAAAATACCAGGTTAACAATGACTGTAACTTGGTATCCAATGCTCATAATGGAAAGACATAAAATGCAATTATCATTTGATGAACAAGAACCCCCCCCCCCCTTTTTTTTTAGTGGAAATGACAGTATTGGCCAGAGGCACACACAAACTGAGAGATAAAGTTACTTAGGACACAGGCTTGGGATTAAAAAGAAATAACGCAAACATATTTTCTGTCATCTAAAGGCAGCTTTACCTATGTCTCTTCATTCATTTACTTACTTTGGAGGTAAAGTTTCAATGTCTCTTATTTCCCTGGTTGCTGTCATGGTAAATCCATCAATCACATAAAAGTGCTCTTTCCCAAACAGCAGTAGCCCCTCACTGGTGTCCAGGCCCTGGACGCGAGCACAGCGGTACATGTGTTGAATCTACAAAGAAAGTCACAAATAATCTTTCTTTTAACTTTAAAAGATTTTTTTTTGTTGACTAATTTCTCTCTCTTGTTACTGTTACAGTAAGCCCCAAGCTAAACATATTAAACCCAAGAAACAGCCTACACTCAATTCTACCTGCAGATGCCTTCAGCGACAGGAGACAAGTGTTCACCCACATCACCCATTTAAGCCCACACCCCATTTAGGAGTAGTCTCTTATGCCAGGTGCATCTAGGGAGGCAGAAGCAGGCGAATCTCTGAGTTCGAGGCCAGCCTGGTCTACATGGAGAGTTCCAGGACCCTGCCTCAAAACAAAAAGCAACCAACAAATAAATAAATAAAAGAATGGGCTGTTTACAGCAAAATCCAAACATTAAAAATTATTTGAATTTTTTGAGACACAGTATTGTAATCTGCTGGCCTGCCCTGTCACCTGGGTACCCTGTCCCTGTAAGAAACAAGCCCTGCCGACTCCCAATATCCCCATTCCTGCTGAGACAAGTAGATCTTGGATCTTGCCTCCCATCCATCTCTCTCTCTGTCCATCCTTCTTCTGAAGAGGCAGTCTCTGCCTCTCCCTGTTCTTTCCTCTTTCTCTGTCCCACTCCATCCCATAACTCCTTACTCTTCTACCCTTCCCAATACTAGCTAAATAAACCCCAGCTCTCTCTCTGCATGACATGTCTGTCTCCTACCTGCTGAGGCCACAGTTGTGGGACCAGCCTTGGTCACCCATGCCATGAGTGGTAACACGTAGTCTCGTGTATGCCAGTGTGCTGGTTTGAAAGAAATGGCCCCCAAAAGGAGTGGGTCTATTAGGAGGTGTGGTCTTGTTGGAGGGAGTGTATCACTGTGGAGGCAGGCTTTGAGGTCTCATGTGCCCAAGCTACACTCAGCATCCCAGACCAATTCCTGTAGCCTGCAGGTCAAGGACTACCAGCCTCTTCTCCAGCACAGTCAGGTCTGCATGTTGCACCATGAATATAATGAAATAAACTTCCGAAATTGTAGGCCCCCAATTAGATGTTTTTCTTTATGAGAGTTGTCATGGTCATGCTGTCTCTTCATAGCAATAGGAACCCTAACTAAGACAGCCAGGTTGGGCTCAAACTCCAAAGCCTCCTACCTACACTTCCTGAATGCTAGGATTCCAGCCTTATACCACTTTATCCCACTCATTCAGGACTGGGGATTGAACCCAGAACTTCCTGTGTGCAAGGTTAAGCACTCTATCCAGTGAGCTATATCCCCAGGCATAGACATGTTTAAATTTGTTTTCCTTATGGTGCTGGGGATGAAACCCAAGACTCCATGCATGTTAGACACCTATTCTACTGCTGAGCTCTGCCCTCAGCTGCTTGACTTTCTTTAAAATAGCTACTGTCATGGAGAGGAGGATGGGACGGAGGAAATGACAGACTGACATCTTGGGGCACATAAGCTTCTGAGTTTTCAACACTAAAACCACAGTGACGAACAGCATCCAGGTGGAGATGCTGAAGCTCCAGGGCCACAGGCGCCTCCCTCTCCTGTTGTCTTCTGAACGGCTGAGCTTTCATCATCACATGGCTCTTTTTCTTTGATAATTTCATTCAAGGTTATGCAGAGCACATATCTGAGCAGAACTGCCTCAATTACACACCAGCTTCTCATGACTTGGTTAGATCTCTGGGGCTGTATGAGGACTTAACTAAGGACAGCCTTTCAAGAAGGGTGATATTTGAATTCATGATATAGTAACCTATTTATCCATTTTTCTTCCTATAGCTAATTACTGCAGGAAGGTTTGTGCGTCTGTTATGACTGGAGTCATATAAGGTGATGGGATGTGGATAGGAAACAGTGCCTGAGTATAAGCACACACCAGGAAGAGAAGATACAGGAACAAACGATTATAATAAGGGAATAGCTGATAGCTATTAGGCAGTCTGTAAGCCCGGGGGAGGGGCACCTAAGTGAGGCTGAGCAGGCAAGTGTCCTCATGTGGGCTACAGACTTCTAGACTAATGGACACACAGATGTTACTAGCTGGAACCTTATGGTGAAGGGGAGTGGGTGGAGCTGTCAGAAGAAACAGCATGAGCAAAGTTCAGAGCTAAAACCATGGTGCATGCAATGAGTGCAGCATGCATGCTACAGCAGATGCTCAGGCTGTGGCAGGCGCTCAGGCTGCAGCAGATGCTCAGGCTACAAGCAGTGGAGCGGGCAGCACCGAGGAGGCAGACAGCTTCCTGTTTGTGAGGGAGAATAGAGTGAATACAAGCGAGAGGTGAGGGCACTGATCAGCTGGTGCAGTTTGCATGATGACCACAGTGATGGAGATGCAGAGGGGAAGGCACATCATGGCGGGGACAGCAGGATGGCTTGTCTAACAGTGGGGCAGAAGAGAGAGGCAGAGGTCAACCATGCACTCCATTTCTGATGAGTCTGCACTGTAGAACCCTCAGTCGCCCTGCGCCTGTGCGCTCTTGCTCCTTGTCTTTTGCTGCTACTTCAGCACACTGGCTCCTCAGAAGCACACTCAGTACCTTCTCTCCTTCCTCCAACAGGCGCAGCAAGGTGGCATTGTCTGTCTTCTCCTCCTCTTCTATGGAGCTGCTCTCAGCGATCTGGTCTTGTAGCTGCTCCTGGGTCTCCTCATCGCCTCCATCAGGTGCGGACCGAGAGCGCTTCAGGGGAGGCTTCACCAGGCCTGCAGTGCAGAAACCAACAGGGTCACGCGGGGAACAGTTTAGTTCCAGAGTCGGTTATGGGTTAGGTGGCCTCTACAGGCCCATGGGCTAAAGCCTTAGGATGGTGCTGGGGAGATGGTGGAATTTTTAGAGTGAGCCCAGTGGGAAAAACTAGGTCATTAGGAGATGTACCCCAGGAGGGGATAGTGAGACACTTCCTATCTGTTTTATGGCTGCATGAGGTGAGCAGCTTTGCTCTCCCGCGTGGTACCTGTGGTCTTGCTACAGACTTCAAAAATGGCAGCAGCCACGACAGGAGCCTCTGAAACCTCTGCTCTGAGTTTACTCGTCATGTGCTGTCACGGCAGCGAAGGCTACTCACACACAGTCTGTGTTATACATCTCCAGGAAGAGAACGCTGGAGAGCACAGGCCTGCAGCAGTGCTTCAGGGTCAGCAGCAAAGGCTTGGGAATTCAACCCTGCATGACTCCGGGAAATTATCTGCCTTTTGTGCACCATGGTTTTCTCCATTATAAAACTGGGGAGGAATCTACCTAGCTCAGAGGTTTGTTGGAGGGCTAAATTTGGTAAAGACTGTAAAGTCCTTGGGACCACGATCACACACAGTCAATTCTCTGGGAAGTCGGATGATGGCAACAGCTAGCGTAAGCAGTGGCAAGAACGCGTTGTTCGTCTGAGTAGCACAGGAGAGGCGCTGTGAGTGAGCGGCTAATGACAGTCCCTGCTACACACAAGGGGACGGCATACTACACGCATCAGAACTCAGAGGGCTCAGGGAGACCATGCCAAGCCTCACCCAAAGTAGCAATGTGATTCTTCATGAATGAAATTTGTCAAACAATGGATCACAAGGAACAGGAATAGAACTCTTTAACAGCACAGGAACAGATGAACTAAAATTAAGAAATACTTTACTGGGGGTAATGTTGTACATGTGTAACCCCAGAACTGGTGTAGCTGAGCCAGGAGCATTCCCAGGACTTGCTGGCCAGTCAGCCTAACAGAACTAGCGAGCTACAGGCCAATGAAAGAGAGCTCAGAGAGCAAGGTAGAAGGCTTCTGAGAAGCTATGCCTGTGAATGACCTGGGGCTTCCATGTGCAAGAGCACACGTGTGTGCTTGTGCCACACCTAACTATGTATATGGGCACACTTACACATCACATAAAATGAAAATCTCTGCCTTGAGAAAACTTACAAATTTAAAAGAGAATCGGGTTTCTCTGAGTGTTTTGTGAAATATAATCAAAACATATTGAGCCAATGACTATAAACCTTCCCTATCTATAGGGAGTAGAGACAGTCTCTTCAGTTCTCATTCACATTCAGTCTTTCAGGTGCGGTGGTCAAGTGTCTACAGACATGTTTATAGTTGGCCCTCCTGTTTGCAAATGCTCATATTTACATGTGAAGTCACATGGAAGGAATGCTCCAAATGATTTGAAATCAGATTCAAAGAGGAGGCTGACCTTTGACCTTGGCAATGGTGTCTTCTCCATGCTCTGGTTCTTGCTGGGTAGCTTCCCCTTCTGAACTCTCTACGATAGCATCCTGAACAATGCCTGGGTTCCCAGAGGCCAGGCGTAAGTAGTATTCTTTACTGTCATAGCTTATAGCTCTTCTGTACCGAGCCGGTTTCTAAGAAATAACAAGAGAAAACGACTCAGAGTTATTTTCAACCAGTACAACACAAGCTTGTGAGGGTTTCTCTGTGTTCCTATTGTTTAGGGGCTATTGTGTAGACTAAGTGAATAAACACTAAATACACAGACTTCCAGGTTATGTGGCTCCATTAAAAACTCCACAGTTTGTAAGGTGACATATATTGAACAATACTGGTAGTTTTGTCCTTCCCAAGAGAAAGAGACCATGTTTAACCAAATAGCATTTCTGGGCTGGTGCAGTTCCCTGTCAGTTCTGGATCTGCTGACCTTCTGGGAAAGCAGAGGAGAGCATGTCCGTTATGAAGGACACTGGGCTGCAACTTGGATTGAACCAACCAGACTGAAAGCGGGATATTCATTATAGAAACATCAGGGGAAAATTAGTGATGTCTGTCAGAGGAGACTGAAGGGCGCTCATTCACTGGGGACAATCTCAAGTGCTTACTTCCAGAGATTCCAGGACCCTAAACACAGCCAGCACCAGCCACCTCTACATCACTAGGCACAGAAAACACCTTCAACACTAGGTGGCACTCTCTGGCTGGCCTGCAAGATGAACTGGTCTGTATTACTGTCTGGCACTATTTGGAAACATATAACTAAAGAACAGATATAACTTAATTCTGATGAAGAAATGAATACCTAGAGATATAAGGAAAGATTCAATATTCTGGATATACTAGGATATTTCTTTCACAGAATCATCTTTATTCTAAAATGAGTTTTCCAATTGACCTAAACTTGTTTTCCTTCTTAAAACTACATACAAGGAGAAAGCAATGGCTCGAAATCTCTAAAAATGCCTATGAATAAGGACTGCTAACACCCAGGCTTTGAAAATTCCAAACATGCTTCCCCCTCAGACAGCATTTTGGTTCTCCTTTGTTATAAGCATGATATTCAATCTTCTTAAAAAAAAATCCTATTTTTTTTTCACATTCTTGTAACTGATTTCCAACTAAAATGGAAAGCAGGTGCCTGGGTGGGTGAGATACTTAGGCTGAAACACTAAAAGGATTTCCAGACATGAGATACCTAACTGCCCTTCCTTTAATTTCAGGTGTGGAGCTGGGTCATTGAGATCTGTGGGCAAACTGAGGAGGGGGCTACGCAGAAAGGGGGGAGGAAAACATGGCACAACCCTGGAAAATATCAAAGGATGTGGAGTGATCTCGCAGGAATGGGAAGTCGAGCTGACGGACAACCTAACAAGGGAAATGGCGTGTTCCATTTAAATGAGATGAAGACAAGAAACTTAGCCCCTTTATGGTATTCTCTATGAAGGAAAATGATCATATTCAACTCTAAATTGCTTATATGTCATTGAAACAGAAAGACAAACTTAGTAGACGGCAAGTAGAGGAGGCTGGGCAGTAACCGGAGTATCACCGCCAAAACTACTAGTGTTTTCAAAGATGATATGATAGCATAGTTAGTGATGGGCAAAATAATGGATTAATGGATGTAGATCCGGCTACTGACTCTTTCCAAAATGTGTTGAGGTACATTTCTATATCTATATTGAAAGTACTGAACCTTTTTAGAAAATAAACAAACCAACAAACAAACAAAAAAAGAAAAATACATGCCAATTAAAAAAGTGATCATACGCTTTGTTTTTAGATTAATTTCTTCTGACTAGAAAGCAATTTAATTGGCATAGTCTTGTATTCTCAGCATTTAAAATAATTGCAGTATATTTTAAAAGCCGAGGGTGCCCGCCTGCCCATCACTAACATGCCTCATAACGGGTTAGTCACGCGTGAAGCAGCACACGCTGGGTCAGGTGACAGCCCCGCCTGTTAGTGAGCAGCAAAAAGTCCCTGCCAAGAGAGCAGAGCAGCTGAGGAAGGGGAGAAGTCTCAAGCCCAGGGACCTCACAGGAGACTCCGTCTGTAAAGTTAGTCTCTAGTCTACCGCGCACCAAGAACAAAGCCCCAGCAGTCTGCATTCCTTTGTGGTAATTAGTGTTTTACCTTCTGGGCAATGACATCATTCGGAGCCTCGGGTTGTTTACTTGGGATCTCAGACTGAAAACAGGGTATTAAGTATAGACACATCAGGGGGGGGAAGCATATAAAGATATCAAAACCAAAATTTTCTTGAGGACCATAAGACATACAGAGGATGTACTCAACTCAAAGGGAATTAACATGACCTACTCGGCCACTTACACAACCACTGAGCTTATACGGTTACTTCCTCGCTGACCAAAGAGCAGGGTTTTAAATAAAATTTAAACATACCAAAGTTTCAGTGCCCTGAACAGCAGACAGACATAAAAATTGCAAAACAAAACTTCAGCAGTGCTGTTATCATGGATGACTTCAAAAGAATACACACACACACACACACATTCACGCCAAGAAACAACCTTGTGCACATTTCTTCCCCCACATCCCCTAATCTGTGCTGTAACAACACACATGATTTACTTTGTCATCTACATCTCTGTACACACAACCAGGGCTGACTGGTTGACATCCACCCTGCCACGGAAGCCCAGACACAGGTTCCCTGCTTTCCAGTCAGCAGCAGGGAAAGCCACCAGGGGAAGGCGGGCTGTGTCATCAGCCCCAACAGCAGCTTTTCTGGAAAGAATTTTAGAAGAATTAGCAGTCACCTAATTGACAAGAGGCAATTCTGCTGAGGGCCTGGTGTAGTTTCTATGCAGAAACAGCCGGTTACAGGGAGGAAGCAGCAGTTACAGGGAGGAAACAGTTGGCTACAGGGAGGAAACAGTCGGCTACAGGGAGGAAACAGTCGGCTACAGGGAGGAAGCAGCAGTTACAGGGAGAAAACAGCCAGCTACAGGGAGGAAACAGCAGTTACAGAGAGGAAACAGTCGGCTACAGGGAGGAAACAGTTGGCTACAGGGGGGAAGCAGCCAGCAGCCCTTCCCAGTCGCCCTGCTCGCCAGGACTCCTGTCTGAGGATCCTCTCTTACTTTCCCTTGGCAGAGCAGACCCCGAGGGAACTTCCAAGCACTTCACATGGTTTCCGGGACTCTGGCACTTCACAAGAAAGTAGGCAAGTGCCTCACACCAGAGCCTTGTAAAATACATGGCCGTATTCCGACCTTGGGAGGGGTCTGGTATGGGAGACAGTTGCCAAAACCCACTGAGATGGCCACAAGGGAAGTAAAAGCTTTCTGTTTCCAGGTTTTTGGACAGGGTCTCATTCCCAGGCCCTGGCAGGTGGAAATTCACTATGTAGATTACAGTGGCTCCAAAATCAAGATAATCCTCTGGCCTGTGGTTCCCAATACTGGAGGACTGAGGCGCCCTACCCAGCAGTAAGAAAAACCCACTTTAATTTTTAAAGTTTTTAAAATTCAACCCTGAGAAAGGAGGTTAAGTGTGTTGTAACTTAGGTATGATGACTGAGCAAAGGCCCTTAGCTTGACCCGAACGTCTGTGAACGTCTGTGACTACAAGATTACCCCAATAAAAACTTATAAGAATACTGAAACCAAATTAATAATAAGCAGAACTGTTTTAACATGTGCTCAATATTGAAATTAATAAAATGAAAAACCCTACAGGCAGATACATGATAAATACAACAAGATGGACCAATCACCATTGTCCAGACAAACTCTGCCTGTTCTACTGCAGAACCCCAGGCAGAGGTGTGTGAAGAGTCCAGAAATGAATGGCAAACATGACAAGGATGCCAACAAAGTGTTATTACCTCAATTTCCTTTTACATGGAAAACTATACTAAATTATTTATCATCATCATTATTATTATGGTTACAGAAATCTACTTTTCTCACTTAAAATTTCTAGAGAATAATTTTATACTTTTTAGCTTTACTATCTTTTAAACATGCTGGTGATGGACTTTCCCACATGAGCCGTTTAGGTTCAAATCCTAGAAGAGCTACATGAAAACACAGAGGCAGCTACCAGAGTCCATTAGTCAGAAAGGAAATGTAGAATAAGTCAGCTTCCTGCCCAGCGCTACCCCATGCTAATGCGTGTGCAGCTCGTACTTACCACACTGATGTTTGCAAAGAACAGCACATTTATTTGAAATTTGAAGTTGTTATTTTGAAAAATATGACCCAACCTATTTAAAAATATTTAGTTACTCATGTATGTGTGTGTGTGTGTGCGTGTGTGTGTGTGTGTGCACGCACACGTGCATGCGTGAGCTAGTGTGGTACCACAGGCATCACAGGCATGTGTGCAGGACAGAGGATGACAGGCCAGTTAGTTCTCTCTCCTTCTACCACGTTGAGGGACTGAGCCCAGGTCATCAGGTTTGCTGGCAAGCATCTTTACCTGCTGAGCCACCTTGCCAGCCCAGGATCTTATTCTCTTGCTTTAGGACTCAGAGTCATGAGTCCGGGTTTTGCAGTTTCATCGCAGCCTGTACTGACTTCCTAATGTCAGCTATGAGCACACACAATCCACACAACAGCAGTGCCGTCCAGCACAGCTCCTTGCATTATGGGAAGTGTCTCACCCTTCCAAACAGTCACTGTGCAGAGAGGGTTCAAGCGAAAATCTGAAAGGCCTTTTTGGCTGAGTTTTGTCAAGGCATTAATTTTTTAGGTTTCTTTGTTTTAATTTTATATTTTTACTTTCAAGTCTGTGGCGCATGAACCACCAAACATATCAGACATTTTATAAACAAACTTCAAAGTTAGACAAGCAACTCAGCTATTTTAAAGCCTAGTGTGTAGATTGTCAGGGCTTAAGAACCAACTGACTGGGGGCTGTGGGGAGAGCTCGGGTTCTGTTCCTCACATCTATATGGTGGCTACAACCATTCAGAACTGTAGTTGTAGGGAGTCTGATGCTCTCTCTCACCTCCTAAAATCCTGGGCACATACATAGTGCACATATACACACGCATGCAAAACACTCACACAATAAAATCCACACCTGTGATCTCAGCACTTGGGAAGTGGTGCGGAAGAGTCTGCATGTGAGGTCAGCCTGGACTACGAGACTCCGTCTCAACCTACCTCCCCCAAAAATCCTCCTTGCCCCATCCTCAAGGTCTAATAAACAAAGACATAGTAAAATGCAGAAATAATCACTAATTTAATTTCTAACAGAAAGATCTAAAGTAGAATTAGCTTTTTAATCACCACTGTAGTCTACAGCTTATACAACAGAAAACACAATGTAAACACGACATAGAAACAATAATCACTCTGGATAAACAAGGTTCGTCCTGCTGGTCACTAGTCTTTGGGAGCTGTTTTCTCTCGATACACACCTGCTAACTGCAAGTAGCCTGGCTATATTTTATAAGTTGGGCAGCAATGAGTTTAGGGAGTTGAAAGAAAGGTCAAACGACCTCTATTTCTAAAGACTTAACATGGCTGAGGGCAGGGGTGGAGAATATGGAGCTTAACCTTCAATAGAGCATGCTCCGTATACTTGCACCCCGCAGTCCTCCCCCAGAGGAAATGCTCGTCCACACTATGTTACCTTCAGGACCCAGAAAACTGGCTCTTGCCCCTTTTAGTGGATAATATTTAAGACGTGCTCCTGGACAATAAAGAATTACAGATACACAATAGGACAGATTCAAGTACAGAGATAAAATGAGTAAAAAAGATAAGCCAAATAAAGATGGAGAATTCACAGAGAGTCTGGATTATGTATATTATTGTGTTTTCTTTGATTTTTTTTTTTACTGTGAAGAAGCTAAATACAGAGAGACATTTCATTGCTAAGATAAACCAGCATGTATATTATAAAGGTATCTTGACTTCAGAATTTGTGTCTAAGGCTATGTTGCTTTGGAAAAGAGGTTCTTCTTTTGTTTCCACAAAGGATGAGAATGTATGGATTCATTCCAGGCTAATGTGGTTTGATAGACCACAACCCAATGAAAGGTTGCCTTGTACACTCCTAAAAAAAATTACAGCAGGAAGCAGTTTGGAAAGAACTACACCCATATTCCCAAATATTGTCTATAAATGTTTCTTTATATTTAAAGGGGGATATGCTATAGAGATTTGCATTGGTTAAGGTCAATCTTGTTATATGTATATTTCTGCTCTTGATTAAGGCATTGTGATTGTGCAGTTCATTTAAAATGTAATGTATAATTAAGAAAAAGGTTAATAGATCATCATCTATAATAGGCAAGATTGTAGTCATGTTAGGTTTTCTAGATATATAGAGATATGTTTCAATTAGATATTCTTCAAATCTTTCAGAGACCTTCAGAGTATGGCAATTAAATGTTTTAAGAAATTAGGACTTTTCATGACAATGAGACATGTCTGCTCCTGGCAGCACCAATTACTTCAAGAGGAGGATAGGCATTGGTGAGACTCCTCATGGAGTTTGCTAGCCATTTGGGTAAGAAACTGCTCTTGCCTAAACTGTTGCATAAACTGGACATGCAGGTCCCACAGAGCAATGACTGTGAACTTGCCTAAAGGTGAGACCATCCTTTGGAGTTCCTACTTCATAAAAGAGCCTGCTAGACATTCTGCAGGACACAGAAGAACATGAATGACAAACTGCCAATATAGGCTGAACTGTCTTTGAGATTTCCTGCTTCATGAAAAAGTTTGCTGGATACTATGGGCCAGTAGGCTGAAGATGGACGCCCCAACGGTACAGAAGAATTTTGGCTGACTGTCCAGACAGCGAGATGTCTCTGTCATCTTTAGAGTGTTGCAAGTTGCTTACAATGTACTTCCTGTTTCCTTAGGTAATATTATATCCTCTGGAGTCTTTGATGGAGCTGAAGAGTAGGTACTAATAATATAGTTTTCCTTAGTTATGATAAGAGATAAAGTAGATATAAATATTGTAACTATAATTCTTGCTTGATACCTGTTTTGTTATATGTAATTTTACTATGTTAAAGTTAAAACCTTCCTTTTCATTTAAACAGAAAAGGGGAGGTGATGTTGGATTCCCTCTGTATGGTGTGAATATCTTTGGTTAATAAAGAACTTCCTTGGGCCTATAGCAGAGCTATAGGGGAACAGAACTAGGCCGGGACAGCTAAACTGAATGCTGGGTGAAAGAAAGATGGAGTGAGAGAGAAGCCATGGAGCCCTGCTGGAACCCGACAGAACTTTAGTCAGTAAGCCACAGCCATGTGGCAATATACAGATTACTAGAAATGGGTTAAATTAATATGTAAGAGTTAGCTAATAAGAAGCTTGAGCTAATGGGCCAAGCAGTGATTTAAATATAATAGTTTCTGTGTGATTATTTTGGTTCTGGATGGCAGGGACAAACAACACTAGGCTTTAACCCTTAAGGACTTAATGGAGGCAACAATCAAAACCTAAAGACTACTGCTCTGCTCTCACAAAGCAGGTGCTAGAAAAGCCTGCAGAATACGGGGGTTGCTGTGTTCACAATGTGTCCACATTTGGAGGTAGAGACACTGTATGTTGTTCTTGATGGAACTAACACATTGAGAAAAGCAGTTTTAAGGAACTATTGATTAATAGAGTCTAAAATCTTCTCTTGAAAAAAAATTGTAAACTGACAAATTCTACCATGTATGTTTATGAGGTAAAAGAGATAGTATACGTGTACTGTACAGTTTGCAGTGACTTCATAAACTAACAGATGATTACTTCAAATTCTATCACTTTTGTAAGGAGCATACGAATCCTGAAACATATAAAACTTCACCGTTAGCTCTAGTTCCTCGGTGGGGAACAGGTCTGCTAAATGTAGTCAGTGTCCCACTACAGCCTGGCCACACCCTGCTCCCTGGCTACCACACTCCTTCTGCTCATTGCCTTTGACATCACACAAAGGGGAATGGGGGGGGGGGGAACTCCCTCTATGCACCTCCCTTCCTCCACTTGACATGTCTGCAAATACACCCAGGTGTAAGAAAATGACAGCATACCCTTCTTTTACAATCTCAAGTGTTCCAACCTCATACGAGCTGCATTTTCTGTTTATCTGTGGACGGGCATGGATGTTGATGCAGGGACCTGTATTCTAGGCAGCACTGTGGACGGGCACGGATGTTGATGCAGGGACCTGTATTCTAGGCAGCACTGTGGACGGACACAGATGTCGATGCAGGGACCTGTATTCTAGGCAGCACTGTGGACGGGCACGGATGTTGATGAAGGGACCTGTATTCGAGGCAGCACTGTGGACGGGCACGGGTGCTGACGTGAGGGCCTGCATCCTAGGCAGCACTGAACAAGGGATGGAGCCACAGGTGAATGGAGCCTGGACTCCCACAAGGAGAGATAGGAGCTGCTGCGTGCTTACCCTATGGTAGAAGCTACTCTCTTAATACTCAACCGACATAATCCTAACAGTCCTGTGAGGGAGAACTCGCTTCCAATTTTAAACATGAAAAGGTGGACCTAAAGAGGTTCTACAACACACTGTAACATGCAACATGTGTTCTGCCTCATGGTGATGCCACAGGTATACAGACACAGTCCTCCAGTTACAGTGTTACCTAACAGGTCATCCACTAACAAGGAAAAAGGAGCCACCAGGAAGGCTGACCGACTCACCGCCACGCTGGTCTCCTGTTCCGTCTCCGGCACGTAAGGGTAGTGGTTGTAGAACATGTCATTGCGCACCATCTTCTTCCTCATCCGGCAGGGCCCCTCCGTCATCTCTAACATCCACTTGTCCAGGTGGGAGCCGATGGGCGGGCCCCACAGCCCGCGCTCCCGCAGGAGCTCGCACTCCATCTGGCACCACTCCTCCGTCACGTACTTCAGAGCGTTCTGCTGGCGCTGCAGGGAGAGAGGCCAGGGTGCTTTTCAATGATAAAGAACACAAATGACCTGAAAAGAAGTTGTAATTGGAAAACAAATGCAACCAGGTCATTTGAGTAAATATAATAAATCATATTTTAGTTGTAGTTTAAGGAAAGAAGGCTGATGGCTTCATGAGGAGTGGGGTTTGCTGTGAACAAGCACTTGATATTTAAAAGAGACAGCAAACATCTCACCCAAGGGTGCAGGACACTGGGGCCAGTGTTGCAGATGCTCACCTCCTGATATTCCTTGTACTGTGTGTCCACCAGGTCACGCACAACAGCGATATGTGTAAACATCCATTGGGAGATCTCCTAGCAAACCGTAAAAAAAGAACCTTAGCATTTTCTGAATTTTTTTGGGGGGGGGGGGGGGGATGAGCCTGAAATTAGTGCCGAACAGTGACATAAAATTTGGCCAAAAACTCTGTCTCCAGCCATGTAGAGTAAAGTACACTATAGCGTGATACTTCCCAGTTCCCATCTTTTCCATAGGGATGGGCTCTGAGGACATCCCCAACCCCCTTCCTGCATACTGGATCCATAGGGATGAGCTCTCAGGACATCCCCAATCCCCTTCCTGTATACTGGGTCCATTGGGATGGGCTCTGAGGACATCCCCAACCCCCTTCCTGCATACTGGATCCATAGGGATGAGCTCTCAGGACATCCCCAATCCCCTTCCTGTACACTGGGTCCATTGGGATGGGCTCTGAGGACATTTCCTAATCCCCTTCCTGTATACTGGATCCATAGGGATGAGCTCTCAGGACATCCCCAATCCCCTTCCTGTACACTGGGTCCATTGGGATGGGCTCTGAGGACATTTCTTAATCCCCTTCCTGTATACTGGATCCTCCTCAAAGTTGGCTTCTTAGAAGCCCACTATGGCACAACACATGCTGGGCACATACCAAGTCCTTCAGACCCTTTTCACACTGCCACTGGCCTAAGGGTCATGACGAATGAGGATGAAAAATTAATGGAGGAGGCAGATAAGATTGAAACAAACCAATCAAGTATTTACAACTAGACCATAAACATTCCTCTGTCACTCCTAACAATTTCTACAATTATGGAAAACTCTGAAAATGTTATCCGTCTGTCACTTGCTCCAGCTATTCAGTGGATTCTCATACTCAGTGCCACGTGCATCTTACAAGATGAAGACACCGGAACCTGTCACCTCTCTCTTATCAAGCAGAATGCAGAACAGTTCAACATCAAACCTTTTGCTTGCATATGTGAACAGTATTAAATAAAACACCGCTGGAGAGATGGCTCAGTGGTTAAGAGCACTGCCTACTCCTTCGGAGGTCCTGAGTTCAATTCCCAGCAACCACATGTTGGCTCACAACCATCTATAATGAGATCTAGTGACCTTTTCTGTCTGATGCTCTCTTCTGTCATGCTGGCATACATGCAGATAGAGCACTCATATGCACAAATAAATAAATAATAAACCACCGAAACTAGACCTGGAGATACAAAAATCTTCGAGGTATGAGCCACAGCACTAAGTCTTGTACCTGGGTGGAAGGGTTGTGTTTGTGAAGGCCGCTTTCCTTTCGATTCCTTCTCGACCCTGTCAGTTTGGAAAGGCCGAAGCCGCTGCTGACCCGCGACAGTTTGGATTGTGTGGTAGGCACCAAGGCTTCTCCCCGACTTATGCACTTCTTCTCATGGGCTGCAAATACAGAATTAAGCAATTGTACAATTCATCATGCATTTACTAGGCCTTGACTCTTCCATGCTCTGGTTACAGATCACAGCCATCTCCCCGTGACCACCACTCCCTTCCTTGAGCTGCAGCCCCCAGTCGGAGACAATGGCTGCAATGCAGTAATAGGAAATGAGATCTGGAAGATCGGACCATATTCCCGGAACATGAACGTGCCTATCACAGTACAATCCATGGCTGTTCTAGTTCATATCTGAGCCCGTGTAAATGCAGCTGCAGGCATGCAGATACAGAAAACACAGCAACACAGGAACAGAGCTCCCTGCACCTCTCCTGTGCTTGCGAGCCCATCTGGGGACGAGTCACCGCAGATGAAGATCTGCTCCAATTACTAAAAGACGCTCATCTCAGTTTCTTGGAGGTGCCACAGATTATTTATTGCTGGTCCTGTTTAAGGTCAGGTGCTTGAGAACTAGTGCGGTAGCTGAATTTATATTTGGTTGTAATGTCACTCTCTTCTACTAAAATGAAAATTTATTTAAATTAGAATGTGTCTCTATGTTAATTATTCACAATCTATTATCTCAAAACATTTGTGGTTGAGAATGTTTCGGAACACAAAATGTCTTAGATTTGAGGAAAACTAGGAAGTATAAGCCTAAACACTGTATACCACTGAGGGTCCATAACATAGCTCCTTAACATCACCCAACAAATTAGTTTGTACCTAATATGATAAAAAGCAGCTACCAAGGCACTTTTAAGGACATACTTTAAGGATAAAGGGCGCGGACGTGGACACGGAGCTGAGACAGTGACATCCACAGCAGTGCGTTACTCTCTAAGCTCACGCGTGGACAGTGCAGAGCCTTAGCTGCACAGAGTGACATGGGGCAGCAGCCACAGGGTCTCAGAGGGCCTTCTCACCCAAATGATTCTGCCAGCATTTCAAACCAGCCTCTTCGATGAGTGGTCGTGCGGTGGCTATGTCCACGTGGCCCCTGTCGTTCACGGGCAGGCTGACTCGGAAAAGCTCCTCCAGGACTTGCTTCTTACTGTGGATCAGCTCAGTCCAGACTCTGTTGACGGCTTTAATAAGAAGCTGACGCCCTTGAAAATGGAAAGAAAGAAAAGGATCCAGAGAGACACGAAGGCAGCCGTTTCCCTCATGCTTCCCACCTAGGAATTTGAACTGTTGTATTTAATTGTAACACACAATTTTAGAATTAGATTATATTCAGTTCATTGAAGAGAGTTACTTAATTTAGATAAGCCAAAGTTAAGTTCTGCCAATGTAGAAAACATTCCAGAAAACCTTTCCATCCTGTGAAAATGATGTACTGTTCATTTATCTACTGACTTTCAGAAAGAATTGATATCTCTGCTGTCCTTTACCCTCAACTGAACCTAGGGTCCCATCTGTGGCACTCAAGTACTCTGCCAGGGCTATATCCTCGGGCCCCTAAAAACAAATTTTAACATATTTCTTTCTATAAATGAATTTTAAGTTACAGCACAAACAATGGGGGTCGCCATGGCATCTCACACACACACGTAACCCTTATTCATGCCTCCCATGGTCCCCCACTCTTGCTGGCACTCTTCCTCCCCCTCGGTAGCTCCCCCATTCTTCCCACTCCCCCCCCCTACCATCTCTCCCTGTTCTCTCACGGTGACCCCTTTAACTCTTATGACCTCTGTCTGTCTGTCTGTCTGTCAAATATAGATTCCACATGAAAACAAACAGAGCATTTCTTTCTCAGCTCAGCTTTGCTCACTAACAATGGTTTTTCGGTTTTATCTTTCGGCAAGGTTTCATTTTTCATTTTGGTCAACAAAATAATGTCATGACTATGGACACATTTTTTTTTTTCCTAGGCTGGTTCTATTTCTTGGCTATTTTGTGTAACAGAACAGCAGAGACACACATATGGACGGGCAAATATCTCTGAGTAGGCTGACTTAGATCTTCGGGTATACACCCAGGAGAGGAACAAGTCAGGTAGCTCTTCTTTTCTTTGAGACAGAGTTCACTACGCAGCTTTGGCTATTGGCCTTGAACTTGCACATATTTGCCTGCTTCTACCTCCTGAGTGCTGGTGTTAAGGCGTGCACCACCACAGCTGGCTCCCTTTTTTACGTTTTTTGAGGAACCTCCACACTCACTCTCATGGTGGCTGAATCAGTTTATCTTCCCACCGACAGCAGCTGACCCATCCTTAGCAAGCCTCAGAATCCCTCTGAGGGCTTGTGACAGACAGCCATTGTCATCCCTGGAGATTCTTATTCAATAGATCTACGGTCTTAGAGTTCCAAGTGAGTCTACAGAGCACACTGCAGGAACAAAGTTTCTAGACCTCCAGTTCTGAGGGGCAAATCTCAGTTTTGGGGACCAAGACATTTTAGTAGAAGACAGAAGCACCAATTGCTTAGATAAAGGAATGAAGGGGAGACTCTGAGCTCTGGCCTTCCCAGGAGAGGACCACACATTATACCACCCCATGGGATTGCTGGGAGACAGACACTATGTAGTAACTGGAACACATGAAGAAATCAACGTACGTGATGTTTATTGAGCTGGGAAAGATGAGATTCTAAAAAAGAAAGTAAGATGTGGGAGCCTGAAGCAGGAGGATCACTGCCATCTCAGGGCTAGATTTGCATACATAGTTCAAGGTCAGTCTAAGCAAAAAGATGAGATGGTCCCACTGACCACCAGCCTTTAACAGGGACATGCCAGCACAAGCACCAGGCTCTCTTTCTAGACAGTACCATGTTCTTGACTGCAGCACAAAGGCCACCGACTTTCACGAGGAGGCTGAAGGTTGGCTTTGCCAGCCTCACAGTTCTCGGCATTCGAGACTGTCTGTGGAGGTTGGCAGACGGACAGGTTGGCTAGGTGAGTGGTTTCTGAAACCAGTTGTTATGTCTAAACCTGGAGATGCACCACAACCACAGCCAGAGGGGCAGTTACCTTCACTGATATCTTGGCTGTAGCCCCCGTCGGGTTCAATGTCTGAGGGAATCATGATGTGCCACGTGGTCATGCGTGCTTCTGCTTCCAAGCCAAATCCTTCCACGTTGCTGAAACAGTCAAACCAGATTCCACTGTGAAGGCATGATTATAGCTGAGAGACATAATGACTGTGAATCACTGTGCAGACACGTGTGGACACCGGCCACATGCCATCATTCCTTGGCTAGCACAGACATTCTGCAGATGCAAACAGGACTCCTGGTTTGACACAAACGTATCATTTCTGAGGGCTGAGCTCACAAATGCACTTAGCTACACATAGCTCAAAGCCCCTTTAGAGATCAAGATGGCCATGGCACAGTAACGGCTTTTAGACAGTGTTTATCTTAAAATTGCAAAGGATCACTTCTCTAAAAACACTGCTGCATGCCAGGGTCCTCCCCGGTGCTCCCCTTTGTTTCATCTGCAGCTGCCCTGAAGTCAAGCTCTACCCCCTGGAGGTGATTACACACATGGTTCTCCCTTCTACAGCAGTAGATGGCCAACACAGAAAGACCCCAAGGCGTTTTTGTATGAGAATACTGCTTTGAGATTCTTTTTTAATCTTACTGGTCTTTTGCTTTTACATTATGCTTTCTAGCTTTGTACTTTTATGGATTTTGCTTGTGCATGGATGTGCCTGTGTGTTTCTTGTTTATCCCTGTTTTCTTCTTATTCTGGTTTGTGTGTTTTTTGCTTGTTTGTTTAAGAGGGGGGGGAGGGAGAGGTGGTAGTTGGGTTGATAGGCTCTGGGAGGAGCTGGAGGGAAAACCATGATTGGAATCTATTGTATGAGAACAATTTTTTTTCAATAAAAAAGCAATTTTCTTTTTACAATTACATGAGTTAGATATTATTAACACATTTAAAGATGTTAAAGTAAAAAGAGAACAATCCTCACTATCTCTGCTGAAATGCAACACTTGCCGATAAAGCAGTAAATAAAATTCATTGAAGGGAAAAGGAAAATGAAGAGTTCTGATGGGATGCTATCAAGACAACAGGACAGACAGAACCCGAGAAACTTACCTTCCAACATGCAGATTAATCAGGCAGTGAGCAAGACAGCTAATGAATTCTTGGTCGTGGTTGCCGGGTCCCAGGATCAAGTTGCGGTTTACAGTAAGGACCCTGAGTGAATCAAGGAGAGCCACTTGCTGAGGGACAGTTTTGTGTGCACGTGAGAACTGGTACAAGATGGTCCTATTGAGGCAGTGATAGACCGCATCAAGCGACAATCCCTGTGATCTTCTCTTTGACTAAAGGAACGAAAGATAGGTTTTCAGTAACAGGACGAAACGTAAAACCCGCTGTCATTCACAGGCACGCTCAAGCCAGCTATCATGCAATGGGTGTCATTGCTCATACGGATTCAGAACCCAAGATCACATAAATGCAATTTTAGAATGTTAGAGCCTTTTATAGCCCCCAGTGAGGAGATCCATGCCTGAGAACACGCAGATGTCACCTGGGAGGAAGCTTCCCCCAAGCCAACTCTGTTAGCTTGAGTGGCAACTCTATGGCAACTGGAGAAATCCCAGGAGAGTCAGTGAGGGCAGTCCTGTGCTCTGGCTTCATCCCTCACCTGAGAACTGTCTCTGGCTTAAGTACCCGCTACCATACACCAGCTGAACATGGCACAGGGAAAGTGTTGCAGCTTGGCATGGAGATGAGAATTTTTTTTCTCTTTCATTTACTTTTTACATCTTTAAATATGTTCATATCACCACATGTCATTCATGTAACTATAAAAGGGAATTTGCCTGTTTTATTGAATTTTTTTCTTCATACAATGGATTCTGATCTCAGTTTTCCTTTCCAACTATTCCTGGATTTTCCCCACCCACTCAGAGACGCACCCTTCTGTCGTTCTCTTTAGAAAACAAACAGGCAAACAAACAAAAAATCAGAATAAAAAAATGAAATAGAAAAAAAATTACAAAGTAACACACACATACAAACACCAAAATATAAAACCCATAAAAACGTTAACCCATTATATACATGGAAAAGTAACCCTACTTTTCTACATGATAAAGTAAGTAAGATGTGTGCCAAGCCTGACCAATGCTCTTTGGTCCAGCACGTATGGGGGAATGACATTCTCAAAGGAATATGGATGACAGTGAACTGGAGGCTCACAGATGAAGGGACATCTCATCTCATGCCCCGTAGTCTTCACACGACACTATAAAAGCTTATCAAGTTGTATCAACTTAAGGCATGTGAAGTGCTTGGGTTGGAAAGGGTCGGCAGGAGAAGGATCAGTTTGAAACCCAGGCACTTCTGTAAGAGAGCACTGGCTGCAGATAAGGGAGGAGGATTCGATATTTCTCAATTCACCTTTACAAAGTTTGGGTGTATCAAATGTTAATCTTCATTATCATATTAATTATACCTACTTCCAATGATTCTGACACCACAGGAAAAAGTTAAAAGAAAAACGTGTGCTCCACAGTTAATAGAGACGATGGATTACCTGTGCAATGAGTTGAATTATAAAATCTATAAGAAGTTTAGATTCTTTGTTGAACATGCCTTGCCAAAGCTTGTCCACCACACGCTGTGTGAAATAAAATACGTTGTTCACCAGCACCTGGTAGCTTCCTCCACTGGTAATGGGCAGAGATGCATCCTCCCCTAAGTCCAAGTAGGAAAAGATATCTAAGAAAATTGACATCTACCAGCACAAGACCAAAGACACCAGGCTAGGGCAAGACAAGTGTACCCAGTCCTCACGAAACATGGCCACAGGTTTTAAGAAAATGATGTGCCTGGCCAGAAATCAGGATAAACATGGAAAAGATTATTTTTTTACCAGGTTACGAGCTTTGTGGCTGGAAGTCCCTGTGAACACTCCTACACCTAAGGACAGCCTGTGAGAAGCTAAGAGTTCTGCAGCCAGAACCTCAGCATCAGCGCATCTTCACCCGATAAAAAGTTCAATTAAAGATGGATTAAGTGTGAATAATGAACGGGGGTGTGGGTGGGAGGGGAGCTTTCTCAGCAAGACTGTTGTGGCGCACTTCCCACAGCAACCAAGTGACGCGTGCGGGCATGAGATTCACAAAACGGCTGACACCGAGGCACCTCAGGCAGGTGCCACAGACAGCTGTGACTAGGAGTGCAGGCTCCCTAACCAGGGGACCCCAGTGTCACCCCCCTATACTGTGGAGACAACACAGATCACTGATTACCTCCACTTCTAAAGAGATGATCTCAGGGGATAAAAACAGGCACAAAATGTAAATTGACATTTGTGATAAAAATTCAGTTACATATTAAGGCAATAGTTAAGATGTCCTGGCAAATTACTTTATGAAAATGCTAATTTACCAGAAAGGTTCTATGATTCATATGATCACTCAGAGTAGGTCAGGGAGTAAACTGTTCAAACGTGTATAGTTTCCCTTTCCAAGAGGGTCTCACTAGGTAGCCTAGGCTTTCCTTGAACTTGCAGTCCTCCTGATGCAGCATCTGGAGTCACGCCTGGATGACAGGCGGGCAGCTATTCCTGGCTTTGAACTAAAACATTTTCTTCTCTCAGAAATTTCATGTTGTTTGATACAAAAGTGATGTGTCTATTGTAAATGACTTTCTCAAGTGTTAATTTGTATTGCAACTCAATACAAATGCCTTGAAAGAATATAGTCCAGTGCCTTCTGACTTTCTGACCCAAAGCCGACCTGAAGAATAGCGTGCACATACCTGAGATCCCACTACCCAACAGACACATGGAACATACACGCTTGTGGCTCCTGAATAACAATGTTCACAGCAGTTTTAATGGCGTTGTCTCTAACAGGAACCTTCTATATATCTATCAGCAATAGTACTAATAAGCATGCGTACATGTGACATAGCACTATATAGCGATGACAACACGCTGCTGTATGCAAAAATGTGAATAGATCATCTCAAACAAAGAGGTCAGACAGAAAAGAAAGAAGGAAGATTAGAGAGAGGAAAGTGGTAATGTATGCACTTTTAAAACAAAAATAAACACAGAATTACCCAATAACACGTCAGCTGCAAGCAAGTGGTCCATCACGCTATCCAAAATGTGTGTCTGGAATTCCTTCTGCTGCGTTCTTGTAGATCGTTCAGGAGAGGCCTAAGTAAAACAACACGCACACGGGGATCAGGAGGAAACCTAACCATACAAAGACGGGGCCACCTGATGAAAGCAGGCCACACTGCTAAGTGTCTCATCACTGATCAGTACTTAAGTTTTATTTAAAAAACAAAAATGTTTTTTAACTTCTAGCTCCAGAAGGTGAAGACTTATTTATGGTGACTGAGTTATACAGGAATTTAGTCCCCCGAGTCTTCAAAGCGATGATGAAACTTCCATTCCTTACTGGCCCTCACTGCCTAGTTAGAATGGTCCTGTTGGGACTCCGCAGCCTAACTGTTAAAGAACTCATTAGCATGTTCTTATGTGCTCTGGTATATACATTTATGCCCTCCTTAACTGGCAAATGCCACTTTGAAATGGGGAAATTCCTATTTTAGAGACAAAGGGTGACTGTTGGTTTTTGTCAACTTCACACAAACCTTGAGCCATTTTGGAAGAGATACTCTCGATGGAGGAAGTACCCTGACCAGGCTGCCCTGTGAGCAACCTGTGGGTCATTTTCTTGATTACTGATCAATGTGGGCAGGTATAGCTCACTGTGGACTGTGCCGTCCCTAGACAGGTTGCCCTGGTTGTATAAGAAAGCAGGCTAAGCCAGCCATTAGGACCAGGTACGATGGTCAGAAACAGTCCTGGCTCTGTTTTCATGTTTGCAAACCACCAACAGCATGCCTCTGCCTACAAACACAAACCAACAGCATCCCTGTCTACAAATACAAACCAACAGCATTGCTGTCTACAAATACAAACCAACAGCATTCCTGTCTACGAATTCAAACCAACAGCATTCCTGTCTACACATACAAACCAACAGCATTCCTGTCTACAAATACAAACCAACAGCATTCCTGTCTACAAATACAAACCAACAGCATTCCTGTCTACAAACCAAGAACATTATGACATTTGGAATTGTCCACTGTGTGTCAAAGGCCTGACACTTTAGGACAACCCAAGGATCCCTAGTGTCTGGCCATCTGCCAGGTCCTGTACTTGAAAGCTAGGTTGCCGCCCTAACAACCAATAGAAACAGCTGTCAGAATGCAGTTCAACTGTGTCCTAAGCTTTCACCTCAGTGTCACACTCAAGCCATTCTACAGGAACAGGGAACACGGGCACCACGTCACACTCAAGCTATTCTACAGGAACAGGGAACACGGGCACCACGTCACACTCAATCCATTCTCTATGAACAGGGAACACGGGCACCACGTCACACTCAATCCATTCTACAGGAACAGGGAACACGGGCACCACGTCACACTCAATCCATTCTCTATGAACAGGGAACACGGGCACCACGTCACACTCAACACACTCTACAGGAACGGGATTCTGTTGGCAGATATCAAGAAAGCACGTTTTCCCATGACAAAACTAACACTAATCAGACAGAAGAGAGTATGGTTCCCAGTGGGCAGATTAACGTGTTTAAGGCCCTCCCTTCGTGCGGGAGGCAGTAAACACACAGCTCGGCTCTTGAGTCAGAAGATTAACAATCATGCTTTTTAAGGAAGGCATGGAAAACAGTAATATTAACTAGACTGATTTGTATATAGATATATAAGTGTGTAAAGTTCTTTACTGTTGCAAGTTACTTTTATTTACATGTATGCTTACGTAGGCACGTGTGGTGCCTGAGCTAGCTCTCCATTTCTGTTTTTTAAGAACAAGCATCACCCTTTCTGGTGAAGATGGAGTTCTCTCTCCCTGTTGGGCAGGGATGTAGTTGAGTTATTACACAGCACACAAAGGGACTGTGCCAACTGTTACAGGGGATCAAGACATGAAAATCTGCCTGTAGCTTTAAAGAGTTTAACATCTCCCAGGGCTTCAATCTGACACTGCTGTTGTTCCCAGACTACAATCCTCACACTCAGCTCTCCAGTCCAAAAGGCACAACTCTACACACCAACAATGAGACCATTCTTGAGGTTGACACAGGTCAATATATAATTATAAATATAATACATATTCCAAAATATAATATATCATTCCTGCTTACATACAAAACAAAAACACAGGTCCCTAAGTTACTCATGACCAGTTGCTTAGCTGTCAGTGTTCTCAGGAGCTGAAGAGATGCTCTCACTGGCCAGGCACACCTGCCCCATTCCCTTACCTCTATGCCAACCTTGGAGCCTTTATCCTTCCTGCACATTTCTGTTGAAAACCATCTTGTGATTCCAGTGTTTAGTTTTGAGGGTTTTTTCCCCCCTAGATACTAAGGTGCTATCCATCTCCCTTCTTGAGCTGTTCTGTTTGTTTGTTCATCACTGAGCTCTATTACCAGACTCCGCTATAGAGCTCCATGGTGGAGCACTGTCACCGCTCTCCTGATCTCCACCACTGAGCTCCATCACCAGGCTCCGCCAGGGAGCTCTATCACTGAACTCCACCACTGAGCTCCATCACCAGGCTCTATCATGGAGTTCTCACCAAATTCTATCACCAAGCTCCATCACAGAGCTCTGCCACTGAGCTCCATCACCAGGCTCCAGCACTGAGCTCTATCATGGAGCTCTCACCAGCTCTGTCACCAGGCTCCATCACAGACCTCTACCACTGGTCTCCATCATCGAGCTGTTCCACCAAGCTCCAGATCTAGCTCTATAACATCTCAAGGTTTCCTGAGCAACAAGTTGTATCAGGCAGGATTTTAATCGTGTGGTTTACTGCTGACACATGATTCTCTCTGCCAATTTCAAAAAATTGTGGTTTTGGTTAAGATGCTTCTAAATTCCACAAGTGATTTCTTTTAATTGACCAAATGGAGATGTTTTCAAAAGAATGAGATAAACACCTTCCATGGTTTTGAGGTTGCAATTAAAAAGTTAACTACAGTTGCCACCAGAGGGAGCAGACAAATCTGTTCTGTTTGTCTAGCTGTGAGCATGTGACATGTTTCCATCCCTCCCTTTGAAGAGAGCAGTCCCCACACATCTTAACCTCACACCTTGCACAAGCAAGGACTCTTTGGTACCGTTTCCATGCACTGCCCAGAAGGGTCAGGCAAGGGATGAGTCATTCAGATTCTCTCTCTCTAATCTATTTTCTTTAGTGATGTCAGTAGATGAATATTTTGTTTTGGTCATTTGACACTGTTGTTTAGAATCAAACCCACAGTCTTATACAGTCTATCACTGAGTGAGATGCCCAATTCTAGATGAACACCTGAGAGTGGTTTTCAGGGATAGTTCACATCTACAGCCAGCAAAGAAACCGCTCAAGTGCAGAGTCTCATTTTCTCCTGTGCCACTGATCCTCTCACTCCCCACGAGAGAGAACAACTAGAAGCCTGCTGCCCTTGGGAAAGGTCACTGACCGTGTGCTGAGTACCTTCTATGTGCAGTACAGCATGCTGGAAGATGCACTGGACAGTGGGAGCAGCCGTGGGTGGCAGTGGGATGGACTGCAGTGTCTACAGGGGCTGGCACGCACACACTGTGCCTGTGAGCTGACTCCAGCCTGTGTACACGGGCAGATAAAACCCTACTCATTGCACCCAAAGGCCTTTTCTCTAGTTCTGCTCGTAGCACAAGGGCAGAGATGAAGCACTGTGACAGAAATTAAAGTCAGTATTCCTGAGCCCTGATTGGAAAAGTTTGCCATAGGAGAAAAGGTGATAAAGGACTAAAGTAGAAACATGCTTGAGGAAAGGACAAAAATAAAAATGGAACCAAGTGACAGGGTTCGCCATCCACGTAGCATTGAAAACTATTTACTCTCACACATTTCCTGTACGTTACCCAGAAGAATTTGAAGTCTCAAACTATTCTGCGCAGAGCTTAATTGGTTCCAAATGTTTTCATTATAAAAGCAATGCGGGCAAATGATACGTGCATTTCCTTGTCTTTACCTCCAACAAAAGATCAATTAGAGGTGTTTGCTTGCTAGCAGGGGTGAGGCAGAGGTTGTCGATCATTAAGACTCTCATGAAGTCAAAAACAAACTTCTTAGCTGGATGATTGGTTAAATATGTCTTGGTGCCCACATTGCAGTACTCTGATTGGCTCCTATTCATGCCTGTGTCTGCGGCGAAGGCTTTAAATTCTTCTGCTGGAGAGCCAACCTCGTCATCGAGATCTGTCACCTGACGGAAGGAATCAAGGGCAATCGCGTTAGAGTGTATATTGACACCTCACCTGTATGCTTGCCAAAACTGACAGCAGAGGCGGCAGCAGCGACATCGAAAGCAGGGCTACTTCCCTTGAGCCTTTGCTTCCCGTTACGCTAGTCAGCTCAGGACCAGACTCTTCTATCCTGGCTTTCAAGGCAGGAATCTGGCACTGCGCCATGCTACTCAACACTTCCAACAGACCCTTGGTAATACATCTGCTTTATGGGGAATATGAACACTTCAGATACATGACGTGATGTCATGGAGACAATTGTACCTGCATATCTGAAGCTATCTGCTGAGAAGCCAAATGTCACTGGTCAGAGAAGAATCTATATAATGGCAAGCCCCAAGGGCTGAGCTATCTTTTTGTTTTTATTTTGCAGCTAAACAAAATCAATTAAACAAAATATCAATAAGTTTCAGCCAAGCCAGAGAAAGAGCTGTAGACAAATCCCAGATGTTGAAAAGGAGATGTTAAGGAAATGTTATAAGTCCATATATGTATGCACATGTGTGCATGTGCGCGTGCACACACACACACAAATATGTATATACATACTTTTTAAACCAAAACAAGGACTCTAAAACTCTAAGCCAGCAGAGTGTTAAGGTCATTGCAGTTTGTCTCTATAAGTCAGGAGTGGGCACTTCACATTTATATAGAGGATAAAATTAGTGTGAAGAAGGGCGTTCACTTCCGACCCTGCAATACATGACAGGAACAGGAAGAGTGAACTATCTCTTTGGCCCTCTCTGAAAGGACAGACATCTTTGTAGTCTGTCTGATTGTAGACTAATATTTTCCTGTTAAGTTAGTACAAAATAAAAGGTTGAACGAGGTAAGAAAAGTTGAGCAAAAGACTCACACTCATTTTGTCACTGATGAAGAAAGTCAACCCTATAAATCACTTGGTAAAAATAAAACCCAGCAAACATCTACTGTCTAAAACAAAAACCAGTTTGTTTGGCTAGAATCCTGCTACTGAGAAGAACAGTTTCTAAGCACACAGCCACCATCTCCTGTAAAGACATGCAATAGCAGTCGCCTGGTCAGAGGAACCAGCAACGGGCTTACAACAGCATGGAGACAGAAAGCAGGGGTGCAGTCCGTGGATCTCGTAGGGGGAGGCCCTGACAGAGGACAGTGACAGAGACGTGGTACAGAAGGTGACAGACAAGCTAGTCAGTAACTTAGGGGGAAAAACGTGCTTCCTCCAGAGCAGACCAGTTCCAGCCTGACCAGTCCCTCCGACTTCTTACCATCTCTGAGTAAGGGCGAATGTTGAAGGGGAAGACGGTGGCTGCTAAGGCACACAGGAAATCGGGACTCATCCACATGGAGGCGAGGTCTGGAACGTTGTGGTACAAGTATCTGAAAAACTGCATCAGGGTCACTGGGTACTCGCGGAGCCACGACCCCTCTTCTTCTGACTGCCAGGGCTAACGCAGGGCGAGAGAAAACAGCTGTGTTAGAGACGCTTCTAATGGTGCTTCGTTGGGCTTGGTGCAAACATCTGCAAGCCAGCTCTTGGGAAAAGGAGGGAGAAACATCAGGAGTTAAGGTCATCCTCAGCTACAGGGAAAGTTTAAGGGTAGCCTGGGCTACAGGAGACCTTGTCTCAAATTAAAGAGGGGGGATTTACTATTTATTCTTCTTCTAATACTGCACATATCAATGATCCGAAACCTTATAAATCATACATGATCAAAGATGTATGTGCAAACATGTAACACATCCAGCAGACAGAGGACAACCACACCCTTAGAAACTGTCCGCCAGCCCTCCTCAGAGCACGGCTAAGAACAGTTGTTAGCATCAACATGACTACGGCTGTACGACAGTAGCTCTCTGCCTTTCCTGTTCCTGGGCATCCTGCCAGAAGGCCGGGAGTAGACTAAAAATGCAGAGGTCATTTCTCCCTATACATCTTCCACTACATCACAGTGCAGTGCCTGCAAGCACTAGCCGACAAACATGTGGTGTTCCGTAAGACAGTATGCAAATCTAAGTATTTGAAAAATGCTATTTCCTGAGACCTGTCCTGAGCGCAGCTTCTCGACATAGAATTTTACATTTATTTATGGACCAGCAGGAAAGTAAAGTTCAAAGGCAATGAATGCATTTAATTCAATGCTGTTTTGTTCTTAGATGAGAACCATCAGATACAAGTAATGCAAGGACTCTAGGTTAGCATTTCCTCTTAACATACAATTCTAAGCTGTGTAACAAGCTAGGCCACCATTCACAGTGTGCCTGTAGACAGACAGGAGTAGATTCTGTCACTACTCTTCTAACCGCTATTCTTTAAACAACTAGAACGGAAAATAACATCTAAATGAAAGTAATGATTATATGCATATCTATTACTATATATCTTATGGTGGTAATATTAGGTGATACTTATGATACTTTTAATATATTTTGTGTATATAATACCTCAGAAATCCTCATAACCTACGAGATAAATGCTGTTATCACAAGATGTTTCAACTTAAGATGTAGACAGAAGCTAGCGCATTTGGAATACCAGGCGTGGGACCCTTGTTTCCAGAGTCTGTGGTTTCTGGTCGCTCTTAAGTGCTGGGGCTTAAACCCCACCTCCCACTTAGCAGGCAGAGAGTCAGCCAGTGAGCCACACCTCCAGCCTGTAATCTGGGGTCTTAACTACACTGCCTGTCCTTACATTAGAGGTAAGAAAACGGTGGAGACTAGAGCCACGGCAAGCAGACAGCTGTGGTAAATGGCAGCGAGCTTTCTCTGTGCGGTAGCCAGCACTGCTCGTGGGCTGTGGGCTGCCAGCCCTCTGGCCGTCTGGAACTCACTGAATTCAGCATGCTGCGCAGCATCCCCAGCAGTAAGAAAGCAGATTCTGTGCACACGTTGTGGATGGAAGAGACCACTGTTCCGCTGGAGGCGGGGACTCCAAAGATAAAGGTCCAGATGGAATCCAAGTCAAACTGCAGATCAAGCAAGCAACAATAAGACACTGGTCATTTTTTCCCTAGAAGAGATGTTTAGATATTCTAACAATCTAAAATCTCTTTGAAACTACTTTTGCTTTAACTGAGTAATGACCAACCAATAGATCATTAGTAACCCTCCATTCTACACATCAAAGCCTGGGGAATATGGTATAGACCGTCACCTGGTCCATCTCAGCAAGTACCTACACATTCAACGTTACTCTATTCCTTTTTTCTAGACAAAATATGACCCCAACCCCCACACAGCAATTAGAAAAAAGATGAAATCATCAATGTGATCATCTTAAGGAACATGTTTACAGGAGCACAGTGAAGTCAGTCCCCAAACTCAGCCGTGACACAAACGTATGCTACCTATGAGTAAGATGTGACAGAATGAGTGGATGATGGGATTTACTGAGAGCAGCTTTATAGAACACCACGGCCATGGTGCTATGCGATCCAAAAAGACCTGGGAAACCAAATTCTACTGAGCATAAATCTAAGAGTAGCGCTTAGGAGATTTCATGGAAAAGGCTTAGTTAAATATTAAAACTGCTTTGAATATCATTTGGTGTTGGAGGGATGCAAAGTTGAATTTAAAGGTTAAAGTTAAGTCTTTATGGAGCCACAGATATCAGCTACATATAGACAATTTTAATATCTTTAATGACAACTCAAATCAATCATTACTGGAAATCATCTTGAAAATGTAAATGTTATATACCATTAAGAAATTAACAATGTTTTTCAAACCAATACTTGTACCTACTCATTTTAGAGTGGTGTGTGTGTGTGTGTGTGTGTGTGTGTGTGCGCGCGCGCGCGCATGCGCGCAAAATAAGCAGATGTGTGTGGAGAACCAAGACTGATGTCTGGTATCTCTCCTTCATCACTCTCTAGCCTTCATTTTTATATTTTGAGACAAAGTCTCCTCATTGAACCCAAGGTTTACAAATTTGGGTACAGAGGGTCAATGAGTTCCAAGGGTCCCCCATTCCCCCTACTTAAGGGCTGTGTAGCCATGGTGACTTCTTACTCGGGTTCTGGGGATCACAGGCTCAAGGTATCTTCCCACACCCTCCCGTCATTTATTATTATCTGGTATAAAATCAAATTTCTAGGTAAAGTTAGATTACTCAAAACAATCCTTTAGATCGTTAATGTCACCCAAAGTCCTCATGTATAGACAATCACACAGAACAACCAGAGAGAAAAGAAGGTGTAACTGTGATGGGGACGTCTTTCTAGGAAGATCACCTAGCAAATTTTCAGGGTCTTTAAATCCCCAAATTCAACTTTAAATGTAAGAAGGAAAAGAATGTCAGGTTTTACAGCGACACCTTACTAGCTAATTCCTACCTTGCAGCCCTGCTTACATCGGCTGCTGGTGACAGGCACACTGACCTGCAGGTTCTCAGGCAGCTCACTCACAGGCTGCTGCAGAAACAAGGCCATGAGGAGGAAATAGAGGGCAGGGACATTCGTGTGCTTAGGCAGGAAAGACTGCAGAACCAGGAAGCCGGGAAAATGGCAGGCCTCCCGGTTAATCTCCCTGACTGTGGATCTCCCACCGGCACTCCTGCCCACATTGAACCCTAGGAGGAAAGGAGGGAAGAAGAGTTAGGAAGGGTCCCAGTGCCACACTGACTCTGTGGCTGTGGCACACTTGTCCTGTGCTTGCACAGGCAAAGCCAGCCAGGGACCAGCGGCTGACCCCATCTTTAGTCCAGGTTCACGACACCACCTGCTGGACCATAGCCATCTACCCAGGAGGACACAGGTTCTCACAGAGAGCTGGGACAGGTCCACAGATGCTTCTCACAGTGGACAAGCACATTCAAGACAAGAGTAACTGTCAAAGAGCTCATGTTTCCAAAAGAATTAAGTGAAACTGAGCAATTTGTCCTAAAAAAAAAAAAGGCAGCATACACATCTTAACCTTAAGTTATATATGGAATCAGGCTTAGGAGTAAATGAAGACAAATGACCTCCTCACACAACACATCTGCACTGTCAGAAGACGGCAGGCGTGGAGAAGGCAGATCCATGCCCACTGTGGCTGTGGTCTCCCCAAGCTGAGTGGGTCACCCACCATTCTCTGAAACTTTGCCAGGAGCCAGCTGGGAGAGAGCGTGGATGTGGCTAAGAACATGCATGCATCTATGAATTCTGTCTCTACAGGAGTCCTCGATTACACCGGAGTTCAGGGTACGACCCAAACATGGTCCTTCCGACACCCCATGCCCAGCAGAGAGCTCAGTGCAGAGTGGATGTCAGCCACAATTTCAACAGAAATCTTTTGTGCGCAGAAGCAGTAGTGACAGACTTTCACTCTGAAGTTATTAAAATTTCAAATGGGATTCACATTTTCCAGTTATGTTATTTAACACAGGAAGAACAATTTATGTCTAGGTTGTTAAGTATATGTATCTTCACCAGTTTCTCAGTGCGGCTGAATTAATTGTCTAAAATATACTCTAATGAAGGAAAATTTCTCACTCTCATTCATACATCATCTCGTTTCTGAATCACGATGATCACATGTGACTTAGGCCCCACCATACATATCTGAGACAATGGGGCGTCTATCCTGCTGTGTGACTGATGTCAGCCCTGGGCTTTTGCTTCTCGTCTGTGAGTTATGGATGATATACTTACACATCATCCAGTTACTGTGCAAACCAAACAAGCTATTGCATGGCGAGCATGGTGACCGACGCAGGGCATGCAGCACGGACACTAACGCTCCCATTACTCAATTCTGCTGTAACAGTTGAGGTCAAAGATTGTATGGAACAATAAAAGCAGAGCCAGTTCTCTGAGTTTTCACATATTAAAATTCCATCTCTGGCTGTAGTTTGAATCTGGAAGACTATAAAGTTTCTTTTTATTGTTATTAGAATTCACAGTTCCTAGGGGTGGTGCTATCAACTGGAGAGCGCACGCTTACACGGCACTCAGACAGACCAGCAGCGTATTTTGAAGCACGGAACTGGAGTCTCTCACCTAGCACAGTCCCTATCTTATTTGTCAGCACAGAATCCGTCTGCTCCAGCCATCCTCCGCCGCTGAGTCCTTCCTTAAACTTGATGAGGATCGACTGGTTACTCAGCAGGGCCACAAGGATCCGCATGGCAGCTGTGACCGTGGTGGGATGCAAGTGTTCTTCCATGAACATCAGGATCCAGTCAAAACCCAGGGTCCTCACCAGCTCTTCACAAGCCCTGTTCCAAGACAGACAGATTCAAAGAAAGGAAATTAGCTTTCAAACTAAACTCAGATTTCAAACAGAAAATTTGGCTGAGCTTCATTTTTGATACTATCAAAACTTGTTTGAAATCTGGTTCTGTTTGACAGGAAGTGATGAGTAACTGATGTTGGAGGTCCTTCTGTATATGTGTTTCTTTTATTGGTTAATGAATAAAACTGTTTCAGCCAATGGCTTAGCAGATTAAAACCAGATAGGAAATCTGAAAGGGGGCGGAGTAGGTGGAGTCAAAGAAATGCTATGTAGTCACAGAAGGAGAAAGATGCCAGAACATTACAGGTAACCACAGCCTTGTGGTGATGTATAGATGAACAGAAATGGGTTAATTTAAGATGTAAGAGCTAGCTAGGAATATGTCTGAGCCACTGGCCAAACAGTGTTGTAATTAATATAGTTTCTGTGAGATTATTCAGGTCTGGGTGGCCAGGAAACGAAAGTGCAGCCTCCGTTTTCAAGGAACAGCATACAGGAATATCGGTTCTTTTACTCCTTTTTATTCTTCATCATCGTCGTCTTCTTTTTTTTTTTTTTTTTCCTTGAGAAAGGTTATCACTACGTGGTCCTAGCTGTCCTAGAACTCACAATGTGACCAAGCTGGCCTAAACACACAAAGATTTGCCTGCCTCTGCTTCTCAAGTAGTGTGATTGAAGGTGTGCACCCCATGCCAGGCTAGGAGTAGTAGGTTTCACTTACTGCAAGTTAATGCTTGTCTTTTCTTTCGATGTATGAACTAGTTTTAGCAAGATGTCTAGAAGTCTGTTCCTCAGAAGTATAAGATTAGCAGATACAAGACCTCCGAACTCCTCTTCTGACCCTAAGGGGGAGATAAACACATTTACATACCCCAGGGATAGAGGATAAAATGCCCAACCCTCTTCTTTGAAATAATGAGGAAAAAAACCTTGTAGGAAACATGTTCTTCACAAGTGATTTCCACCATACCAAAAAGAAAATGAACCAGATAATTTCTCTTTAGAACCATGACCAGTGTTCATTTATACCTCCAACATTGTCAAAGGTAGTGACTTCAGACTTCTGTGTTTTAACTAATACTCCCCTATCTTCTTTAGTAGGAGAAAGCCACCAATTAAAACCATAGGAATCAAAACAGTTATTCCCACAGAACCTCAGTGTCCCTGACAGGTCCTCTACTTCCTCTTTCTTTAAAGATGAGGTGAATGCAGTTGTGTGACCTAAAGCTCCTGGAACAGGCAACGCCCACATTAAAGCTTCGATATACTCAATGAACTCCCTAATTATGAAGACTTGGAATGTTGCAGATCAGGACCCCAGAAGCCTTACTTAGGCTCCCCTAAGCTTGCTCTTCTCTCGCCTCTGTGATCCAGTAAACCCTTCTGAAATGAATTAACTCAGCCAGCAGACTGTGACCTTTCACCAGCTACAGTTAGGAGAACATCAAGATGACAAGATGCTCCCTTGCTCTGCTGGATCCTGCTATCCAATGTTTGTACCCGTGTATGTGAAAAACTACTTACTTTTGTTCTGTAACTGTAAAACTTCACGAAGCCGTTCTACATTAAAACATGCTACCTGAGCCAACCTGAACCTAGGCCATGATCACTCATTACTGGCTCAAGAATAAACTTTCTCTTAATTTCTCTGAGATGAGAGCCATGCTTTCTGTTGAGACTAGATGTTAAAGTTTGAAAATAGGAATCATTAGTTTATTCAACAAATACAATACACAAAGCAAAGTGAGAATTTTCAGAACAGAGGCAAAGTCTACACAAAGCACAAAAGAAACTATAGCAAAGCTGAGCAAGACAGGTTCAGAGGCCCTCAATGGGGTGGACCAGAAGCCGAGGGCTTGAGCACCATTAGTCACCGCCACGCTTCCATTTCTGCTAGCACTGAGGCCCAGCCAGAACTCTATTGTGATTTTAGCTTCTATTTGTTTGGATCATGGACTACTCTAGAACTTTAGACTGTCTTTTAAAATATGGATTTGGCTGGGTGTGGTCACACGTGCCTTTAAACTAACATTCTAGAGGTGGGCAGATCTCTGTGAGTTCAAGGCCAGTCTCATCTTCATAGTGAGTTCCAGGCCAGTCAGGTCTACACAGTGAAATAAAAAGTAAATTTAGCTGAGTACAGTGGTGCATGACTTTAATCCCAGTGATCAGGAGGCAGAGGCACCTTGGTTTATATAACAGGTTAGGTCACCCAAAAACAGAAAGGGAGAGATCCCGACTCCCACTTCCCCTCCATACACACAAAGGGAATTTATTACTTTATTCATTATGATGCTTCAAGTTCACAAGGGGACTTAGGACACCCTCTTTCAGGTGCCGAGCACCAGGGGACCTTGGAACACTCAGTTCTAAATAGGATGTCTCCATCTCCCTCCCTCGGGAGTCAGGGAACTCTGGGGAAGAGGAGGTGGGAAGACTGGAAGAGCCAGAGGGGATGGAGGGCATCACGAAAACAAGACTGCCACACTATGAACTTGGAGATTATGGCAGCATGCCCAGGGCTGGCAGAGGTCTCAGCCAGATGGCCTTTTAGCACTGAGAGTAGCAGATACCACCGCCTATCCTTAAACCAGAAGTTGTCTCCAACTAATTTTCACCACCATCTCACTGAGGAAACAAGCCACACCTAAGGGCAGGCCCAAGCTCCACAGTAGACGGCCAACACAAAACAAACTCAATGTAACAGCATTTTCAAAGATTTTTGCTTTGTATGGGAACTTGTTTTCTTCTTACAGGTCTTTTGCTTATATATTGTGGTTTCTGATTTTGTTCATGGGTTTTCAGTGCATGTGAATGTGTGTCTCAGTATCTGTATGCTTCTTTCCCTTTGACCCTTTTTTATTCTGTTTTTTTTTTTTTTGTCCATTCTGGTTTGATTTTATTTTATCTTCTTCTTCTTATTTTATTTTTAGAGGACTGTATTCTAATGAGACAGAAAGACAGGGTGTGGATTTGGATGTGTGGGAGTATAGAGGATTGGATTGTGGGGGAGTGTAGAGGAGTGTGTGTGTGTGTGTGTGTGTGTGTGTGTGTGAAGGATTGGGTGTGTGGGAGTGTAAAGGATTGGGTGTGTGTGTGTGTGTAGAGGATCTGGGAAGAGTTGGGGTTAGGAAAACAATAAACGGAATATACTGTATAAAAAAAATCTATTCAATAAAAACCCCAAACCTTATGTTGGTTTGAGCTACCTTGATTCAAATATAGTCACGATCTTAGATCTTTCAATTATGTTGCGTGAGTGGCAGATTCTTTTCCCTAAAACAGAGGTGGCAGTAACCACAGCACAGGGTTGTTGTGTAGTTAGATAGAACACACAATAAGTATTCAACCAATACTGTCTATCCATTTCATCATACTACTGCTATTTTTTTCTAAGATCAACGTGGTTTCAAATGAACTGGCAGGAGCGAATTAAGCAGGAGCTGTATGCTCTAGTCCAAGTCTGCAGTAGTAGACCGGTTTTAGCATTCCAGTCTCTTAATCTTTGTCCTCTGCAAGTTGAGGTTACACTACTTTTGCTATACTTCTTCTGTGTATGTCTGTAAGCTATAAGATTCCATGGGACAGATTTGCTGATTATATAACAGGGCAATAACATCAATAATGATGAACAAGGAAAGTTCTCTCTCAGTATCAGCAGGTAAAAAGATTTCTCTCATTGACTACTGAGAAATAATACTAGTAATATGGACATAATTTTAGAAATGAAGTAATTTCAGTAATACCAGAAAAGGACTGCCATGACTCTAAAATCAGGAAAGATTTTATATTTTGTGACCACACTACATTTCTGCATATTACATAGATTTAACATATGACAGATATACCCGTAAAGACAAAAAATGTAACATAAAGAGGAATGTCACATAATATTTTCACATACAATTCAGTCTCATTTGTATCATATGAGGGCAGAGTGATTAGCTGCCCATTTTCTTTGGTTAACTCACCCACATCAGGTTTCTCTTCATTATTAATTTCCATAACCACGAATTTCTCACAAACTGCAAAGGTTGGCAACGTAGAGGAGATGAACTGGCCAAACCTTTAAATAAAGCAGAAAGCAAAAAAGGTCTAATGTTTCTTTTTCCTAGATCACGAGATACAAAGAAATGAGAAAACAAAAACACACACATTTCTGCTTCGACTTCTATGGCTCTTTAGGTGACAGTATTCGGTTTGCTTTCTCTTAGACCACACCTAGTGCCATCAACACAGAGATGTCTCTAGGTTTTCAGAAGTCTGGGCTCCTTAACGCACTGAGCCATGTGACTTAACAAGCTGGAGAGCTTGGCTGGTCAGGTTAGAATACTCTGGCTGATCTGTGCGAGGCCACTGAGCCGGGGATGGAGAGCTTGGGTTCAGAATACAGGCTAGGTTATACATATATGATGTGTGTGCGTGGATAGAAGTATATTTATGTGCACACACACACAGAGGCACTGACTGACTTTTAACAATGTGACCAGAGACAAGCAGTGAGAGTTCTCTGGGCCCTGTTCATTTACAAAGGAAGTGAAAAACTTAAAAAGTTAAAATGTTGATGAGGTTTGGTGATAATTTCATCTAAGTGATTATATGGCAGAATAAATTCTAAATAAATAATAGTAATTAAGATAATTGAAATTCTCCAAAACAGTGTCAAGGTCTCGGCTTTGAATATCAAAGTTAAAAGCATCAAACAACTTTCTGCAAACTCCATAAATAAAAGGAAAGACTCTGAATTTCCCTCATGTTAAAAAAAAAACAAACTATTACCTACAGCATAGGCGTGCAAGTGTGTGTTTGTGTGTGACTGTGGGGTAAGCATGTATGTAGGGGTGAGTGCCCGTGCATCTGTGCAGGACAGAGAATGAACTGCCTTTCCTACCTTGTCCTTCTCTACTTTGTTCTTTTGAGACTGGGTCTCTTCCTGAGCCTGGTGCTCCTATGTGACAGCTGGGCGAGCAGCCAGCCCCAGTGACCCTTCTGTCTCTGCTTCCATCTGTATGGGGTTACAGGCAGACCTGGCTTGCTATGTAGGTGCTACTTAGCTCATCACAGCTGCATAGCAAGTGATCTTATACCCGAGCCATCTCTTCAGTTACTCTAAATAAATTAATACTCAAATCATATAAAATATTTATGTCGCAACAATAAAGCTTCATCTGTTTCTGAGTGACAGAGGGTAAGGCAAGGTGCAAAGCAGAAGTCTATATGCATGTGTGTGACACACACCCGAGAATGAACAGGCCTTGAGGAGTGAGGGTGGGGGCTGACAATTCCTATAATAAAAACTCTCACATCTAGGTCTGCCAATGTTTTTGGCTGATTTCCATACCCCTTCCCACACCTTACTTGCATGATACTGACATTACATTTGTTACATGAGCATAGGGACCCTAGGGACCAATTCCATCCAACTCAACTCATCTCTACCTCACTGGCGAGTTCAGTCTCTAGAGAGACAAACCCACCTGAGCAGGTCGTTGCTGCTGGGGAAGCCCTGCAGCAGGAAGCTCAGGACATTACTAATAGCAGCAATGGTCGGCTGAGACAAGGACATGTCTCGGAGAGTCAGGAGCAGCTTGGGGATTAGCTGAAATTCCCTCATTAACTTGGCATTCTTGGAAGCCTCACTGTAAGAGAAAGACAGTTTACACATTGCAAGACCATCTCTTTCACAAGTGGACAGTCAACCACACGAGCATTAACTAATACCTGGACTCGGTCAGCAGTTCAATGAAGTGTTCAAATAAAGAAAGATGAAGTTCATACGGTGCGTGGAGCCAGACCTACAACAACGCATGAACAACAGAATATTTAAGCCTGAAAATGCTCCATTGTCAGCAGAACAAAATCAAGCACATTAATGGAACATACTTTAGTCATATAATTAACTATACACAGTAGAAAATGGGGAGAAAAATCAATCACTATAAACAGACCCAAGAAGACAGAAATGCAATTACCATGCTTTTAAATCTATTATATATATTCTATATGTCATTCATAAAGATAAATATGATCGTTGACATTTTTAAAGTTTGGAAAAGTGAAAATGGCCAAGTAGAAGTGCATTCACGCAAAAGCATCTTTAAATAAAAAGAGAATAGAAAAAGCCTTCTTCAGATGGGAGAATTCATTGCCAGCAGACCTAGGTTATAATTCAGGTACAAGTGGAATACAGGCTCACGAGAATGCTTAGTCATTAGGAGCCCTCGCTGCTCTTGAGAGGAGACAGCTTCAGTTCCCAGCACCCAAACTGGATGGTGCACAGCTACCTGTAACTGCAGCTAAAGGGGACCTGAAACCCTGTACACGGGCACAGATATGCTTACACAAAAAATAAAAATAAAATCTTTAAAGAGCTGTAAATATGATACATTTGGGCAATGAAAAGATTTTTTTAAATGCATTTAAAAAATTAACTGATCATTTAAGGTGAAAATAATATGAACTATCTTGGATATTATAAATTAGAAAAATGTGCAAATACAGCAAAAGGATAGGAAAGAAGAAATGGACATAGTACAATATTCTTCAAAGATAAACCACATTATTTTAGATTATAAAATAATATCAAAGAAAATATATGCTGTTATGATTATTTTATTTGTGAAATGGCTGTTTATAAAAAGGGGAGGAATTATTTATAGACTATAGTGGCTTAGTAATAAAAGATGCTCTAGGAAGTCATGGAGTAGAAAGGTACTGTGAAACGGAGCCAGAATTTGGTATTCAATTCATGTTTGCATATTAAATGGTAATCATAAACTTGAAATCAGAGGAATCATAAACTTGAAATCATAAACTTGAAAACTGCTGTTTTAGGGAGCACATTCTTTCACTATGGAGCTGCTAACCACCCAGACTCCACTTCTCGTGGAAAAGTTTCTTTCACAAGAGCGTAATGGGAACCTTTGGTTTTGCCTGCTGCAGTAGAAATGGGCAGTTGCAGGGTATGTATTAAGCATTTAGTTTCTGTAACATTTGTAGAACAGGAAGTATCTGGAGAAAAGGAAATATAATTACATGATTTCTTATGTTTTACTAAATGATACTGATATAATCATAAAATCACACGATTTCAGACACATATAACTGAGATAAAACTGCTTAACTCTCTCGGAGAAGAAAAAAGAAAAAGCTGAATAGATCCAGCAACTTTGTATTACGAGTTAGTGTGTATACTTACTTCAAAATCACAAAGCAGGTCCTGGAAAGCCGTGGAATTGGGAATAATGGATGTCTCATGGCCACTGTCAACGGTCCCCACCAGGGAAAACGTGAGATGCAGGATGTGGCTGTTGAGAAGGGAGCGTTTCTTTTTTAGCAGCATTGCCAACAACTGGAAGAAGAAGCACAACAGGCCTACTTATTGCAGATAATCAAATGGATCGTGGCACATATAACGGATCTAGTCAACGGGTTAACTCTTTGTTGGCTTCATGACCTAATGCTATTAGGGCAGGTGAGGTCCCGCTGGGTGAAAGGAGCCACTGGGGACGTACTCGGAGAAACAGTCCTCAGTCCTTTCCTGTCTCCTGCTGCATGAGATCAACAGCTCTCCTTAGGCACATGCTCTCCACTCCGATGTCCTATTTTACAACAGGCCAGCAGTCACAGAGCTAGCAGATCGTGGACCAAGCCTCCAACAGCACAAGCCGGAAGACAGCATTCCTGCCTTCATGCTGGCTTTCACAGGCGTCCAGAGACAACAACAAAAATTCGACAGCAGAGACTCAGTGTTCCCTCAAATATTTAAACTGTTTCCCTTGCGTCCTTTTTCTGCCCCACAGATTACACAGCAGAGAACAACGCCAATCTTACAACCCCCTCTGCACCGTCGGGAACCCCCGTGTGTGCTCGCTGTACAGTGGCTCTCATACTTAGTGAGTATGAGAGCTAGAGATGAAGGGGAGTGAAATAGAAGGGAGCCACAAAGAAAATGGGGAAAGCTTTGAGGGGTCACCAACCCCCAGTCTCTCCAAGGAACAGCTAACCTGATCCATTTCACTTCACTCCCTCTGGGTAGGGAAAGAACACCCAAGCTAGCAAACAGCACTCTGAACACGGCTGGCTTTCTCTATCCATGGCATTTGAACATACAGATTAGGTCAAACTGAGGTCAAAAACATCCCATTTAAAAGCTTTGTACAGACATTTCCTCTGATTATCCCCTAACCACCGCACTATATAGTAACTGTAGGGGGAGAACTGTAGGGACAGACTTCACATAGTAGTATGAGCGGATAAATATCTCAGCATTCAGCACATGGACTAGTCACACCCAGGTCACATGCAAAAGCAGCATGGATGGATGAGATGTGGATGAGACTTGCACAGAGACCTGGGACCATTCCGTAGGACAGCGAGGGTCCAGCGCCTCATACATATCAAGGCTGCCGAAACAATGCAGTCTGCAGGACACGGGAGACTGAAAGACGCGGACCTGAGAAACCAAAGTTAAAGCCACACAGATGTCTCCTCATTCAATACGTTGACAGTTTAGAAAACAGGACTAATGAGAATGAGGTGATCTGGGTAAAGCGGAGTGACGGTAAAGCCTTACGGTTACCAACCTGATAGCCCTTGATTCTCTCCATCTCCTTACTGGCTAGCGGGTTACTCTTGACCACACAGACCAGAGCCTTGACTGCTGCATACAACCCTTCCACATCAGAGGCCATGGCCACAAGGCCCAGGATGGCAGCAGCTCCTCCAATGTACTGCAGCGTAGTGGCAACAGGCTTAGGGACAAACGTTCTTACTCCTTATTGAAAAGAGAGTGAATGATAATTAAATAGATTTCCCATGCAAACAAGAAGTCACACTGACGAGTTTGCTAACAGTCACATATTTCATAAAAAAAAAAAAAAAGAAAAGAAAAATCTGGGAGAAGGCAGTGTTAGTTTACGGACTCCCAGAAAGGCGTGATACGAGCATATAGAATGGGTTTAGAGCAGCTTCACCTATCCAGTACATGGTGCTGGGCAAGAGACAGGCTAGAAACACAGAGGTCAGGAACGTGATCTGGGGTGAGAAAGAGCTTCCTAGTTTCTGCTGGGGATCCATGAGGGGAAATGAGTGCAGGCCAGGGATGCTGCGCCGGTGAGCGCTACCTGCCTGCTCCTCAGGACTGAGTGATCAAGATGCCCAATCAGAGGCTGGAGAGATGGCTCAATGGTTAGAGTACAGCATGTGGTCCTAGAGAGCCTGAGTTCAACTCTTAACACTCATGTTAGGTGGCTTACAACCTCCCATAACACCAGCTTCAGGATCCAGCATGTTTGGCCTCTGAGGGTTCCTGCCCATACGTGCACCTCAGCTTCTACATATACACATACTTAAAAATTAAAACAAATCTTTAAAAATAAAAGTAGCTGTGACGTGTAGCCCCTGTTACTAAGAAGGATGGATGAAGATCACTTGAGCCCAGAGTTTTGAGATCAGTCACAATATAAAACGTATGAGGAATCATTATTTTATACTTAGCTAAAATTGCATTTGTACGTATAAGTGTATGTGCATGTACACACATTTCAAATGAAATTACATCATACAGGCTTCTAATACTCCTCCCACAAACTGTTTAACAAACCTTCAATTAGTACCAGGCATGGGAAATCTTTCAAGTGGTTAGTCAGGGGAGTCTGTCCAAGAGAGTCCCAAAACAATAGAGCCTATTGCCAAAGCCCTGGATGTCTCCCTGTTGCCATAGCTCCTGGATGCCTCCCAAATGCCAAAGACATTACACATACTTTGAGGATTTGAGCTGGAACTGACCCCAAACCTCCTCGAGGACTATTTTCCATAGTACTAGAAGGTGCAATGCAAGGTGCTGAGGGAGGAAAGGATCAAGAGTCCTAGCCAGATGTGGCACCTATGTCCATCACAATGACCGGGGGCAAGCTATCCTTATAAGTGCTGCCCAGCCATGACACACAGCTGGTAAGGTCATGGACCTGAGGATCTTCTAGGGCGATTTTCCTAACCTACTATAACCTGGCTACAGTCTCCACACTTACCTTTATGTGCGCAGATAAGCACAGCTCACACTTCCATCAATCTCTATTTGCAGAAGCAAGAGATCAGTATAGAAAGTCACAACAGATCAAAATGCAGATCAGCTGATCATACGGTACCCAGCCCCAACTGCTCCATCTCTCAGGGAACAGAATGGAGGAGAGGCTGGGGAAAATGTAAGACCAGGAAGTCTGCTATTAAACTGTGACTCTTAGAAGTGACAGAGAAGCTGTGTTCATGAAATCTCAACATGTCTCCCTAAAGACCTGAACCGTTCCAGCAACGGTTGATATCCTAATGTCGATATCTCATTGGGACCCGCAACGTGATGAAGAGTGACAGGCAGTTGACAACTGCTGAGAGAAAGAGACTCAATCTTCACTGGAGATGAGCTCTCTGATTGGGTTACCCCAAACCAAGTGGACAGCCTTAAACACAGGCATGCAAGCAACTGAGCAGACTCAGCAGGCTGTACTTATAAGTTGGTTCAGTTCTCTGAATGTGTAAAGACGAGGGTTTGAAGAGAACAGGCTGTGAATCTGGGAAGCTAGGAGGCAGGGCCCTTAGACATGAGGGATAGGAGGGAGGAGAGAAATGATGTGATTATAGTTTAACTAAATAAAAAAGGAAAAACCCAATATAAATATACCCACATGTTAATATGAATTTAATGTTTATAGGCTTTGCAGCATTTATAACATTTTAATCCATGAGAACCATGGATTTTGAGAACTATTTTCTAAGGCTATCAGGGTAAGTGTTATTCACAGGGAAGGAAACTGAAGTCTAAGCAGCTTAGATGCTTGGCCTGAGTCACTCAGTGGGAAGGCAGGAATTGGAACCTGGTCTGCCAATGCTTTGCTCATCACTTCCCACCACACCACACTGTGCTGGGGGGTTCTGCAAAGAATGGAAAGTCCTAAGTCCCAAAGCGGTGCTCAATCAAACAGAAGACCTTTAATAATACAATATTACTACAAAAGAAAAGCAGGGTCAGGATATGGCCAGCATAAGGTGCTGAAAATTGCAAGGACGAATTAAACATAGGAGTAGGCCCAGCAAAACTGCTTGTTACTCTAAAAAGGAACCAGCATCACGGGAGCACAGCTTTAATCAGTTCTCCTGAAGCCTGGGAGCCTGACTGGGGTGCCTTGATCCTGCCTAACCATAAACTCCAACTCCAAGACAGAGTGTGGAGCTCTAGCCGAGGCAACTCTGATGCCTGTGACATGTGGATCGTGTGTGTCTACACCCAGAAGCTCCCCTACTTCACTCTTTCTGCTGCTGTCTGGAGTTACTGGGGAATAGACTAATGGCTTCGTGCCTGCTACAGACGGGCTCTACAATGGAGCGACAACCCCAGTTCTTTCAGATCATTTCTAAGGAACAGAAAGACGTACGAGCAAAACCAGCATAGAATGAAACCACAAAGTAACCAATGCTTTGATTTTCACAACTGTTTCAACATGCCATTTGCAGTTTGTACAGAAGCTCAGGAGATTTCATGAGTGCTCATAATTTTTAAATGTGATTAGAATTTGGGACAAATTCATAACACGGCAGGAACATGATCTGTAATGTTAAAGTGTAATGTCAAGTGCTTCAAAATATAAACTTAAAAAATTCCTTGTCTCCCTTTATATGAATATGAAGGAAAGAAATGCACATTTGAAAGCAAAGAATTTGAAATAAGAAAGACAACTTACTCACCCAAGTAACCAATGAGAGCGGCCCCAATTGTGCGTGCTGGGCCATTGAGATGGCCTGCGGCATTGTGAACCAGCTTCACAGGGGTGGCATTCTCATGGGAGGAAATGCCCAACTGGAGAACAGGAAAGGAAAAGAACACAGTCAGGGAAGAATGGTCTGTTATGATGCTACCACTCCTCTGATGGGTAAACCCTTTCTGCCTCCTACTTACAGAATATGTAAATATGAGTCTTCTTTACAATCTTTCCTTTAATTGGGCAAGGGCTTCCAAAGTATGAGATTTCATAAAAGTAATTTTAAACACAGTCGGCAGAGGTAAAGATAGCAGAGATATTTGAGAGACTTCCTGAACAGACCTCCCCCATGGCTTGAAGACTGTCCACCATTCAGTGCCTTGCAGACAAATACCGTTGATGATGCAGTTTTATCCAGACCCAATCAGCTTTATTTGTATAAAATTTCCAAGATTACAGATGAAACATGATTACATAAGGAAAATACAAAACATACCGACTAGGCTCTTCTGCCATAGAGCCAGAATCACAGAGAAAATCTTTTTTTTATCGTATTTGCTTAAATTTTAACAATATCAGTATTTTTTTTTTTTTAAAAAAAAGGAAGTCTATGTGGTGGTCCAAGCTTAAAATTTCAGTGTCTAGGAGGCTAAGGCAGCAGGAATCCAGGTCAAGACCGATGTGGGCTATGCAATGAGAACTTGCTTCAGAAAGCACAAACCATTCAGCCTAATAACTTATCAAACAATTGAAATTGTGTTCTTTAGGATCATAAAGTTCAACTTCTTAACATTCTGTGGCGTGGGGTCACACCCAGGGAATGTGTGTGAAGAAAGTGTTCTACGGCTCAGCTACACTCAGCCCCAACTTGACACTGCCAACATAAGCGCTGATACTCAGTTTCCCAATTAAGCTAAATATTTAAATATGTTTGGCCTAAATTAGGAGCAAAATGTACCAAATATAAATGGCACATGAAGGTGGCAATATGGAAAAACAAATATGCTAATTAAAGTCCCAGAATAAAACTAAGAAAATGCATCAGAAAGGTATTTGCAAATCTAATTACTGAAAGGTAGTGGAAGATGTGAATTTATATTTCAAGAGAGTCAATGCTTCCATTCCAATCAGGGAACACATTTCTCAAAAAGTCTAGGTATTTCATATTTGATTTTTAGAGATCGAATGTTTATAAAAGAAAGAAAGAAAACACACAGAGAACAATCACTTCAGATGCTCAGGTCTGCATCGGAAAACTACATAATACAACAAAGGAAATAGTTTGGTTTGACTGAATTGTCAACTTGACACAACCTAGAACCACCTGAAAGGAAAGTCTCCAATCGAGAACTGTCTAATGTCTGCGAGGAACTGTCTTACTAACTGATTGATGCAGGTGAGACTGGCCCACTGTGGGCGGCACCATCCCTAGGCAGGTTATCTAGAGCTGCATAAATAGCTAAGCATGAACCCGAGAGGGAGTCACATGCAGGGTTCCTCCACTTCTTGTTTGAGTTCCTACCATGATTCAGTGAGGGACTGAAACCTAACACAAGAAATAACCCTTTTCTTGCCATAAGCTGCTTTTGGTCAAAGTGTTATGTCAGCGAGAGAATGACAAGAGAAGAGGAAATGAGTAACAAATGTTGCAGTTACATCCAGCAATCCTGCCCTGCGGGGAGGAAGACCATGGCAGTCTCTTGGATGCTTTACCAAATTACCACCCAGCTAAGAACAACATTAACTTGATGATCTTAGTTTTGAAGATGTGAGGACAAACCGGGTCCTGGCAGCCTAGGAGGGTACTGGCAGCGTTGTATTGGCTGTGGAGAACCCATTGTCTTTCCGCCTACATTTGTTGGCCCATGTTCCCTTTTTTTCATCTTTAAAGCAAGCAACATCGCCCTCTACTACATTGGGCTTCACCTCTGAGGGACCCTGAGGGCCCATCTGGACCACCCTCCCAGTGAGAACCTCCATGGTGAACTAGGAGAGCGTTCCACTTACCTGTTTAGCGATAGCTTTGCTGTCTAACTTGTTATAGACTTTCCGAATTCTCGCCACTGTTAGGGAGGACACGGAGAGCGCATAGAGGCCAAATGACACCTTTTCCTCTGCAACTAGTGACACAGGCGAAGGAATGACACCTTCAGACTTTACATCTTTACCTTCAAAAGAAAGAGTGTGTCTTATCACAATGGCCAACAGTTTTCTACACACTCAGAACAAAGTGTCTATTCTTACTGTCATTCTTGCCTGGGTGGCTTTAAATATTTTTTAAAGTGGAAATAAAAGACAGCCAGATTTCAAAGCCATTTTGCCTTTTTAGCTCTTGTCTATTTCTGTGACTACAGTATAGGAAAGGGGCTGCCAGTCATACAAGCCTACACCGTTGTACTCTTACCGAACCTGACCATCAGGCCTACTGCACAGGGGGCAAAGGGATGAAAACTTCATCTAACAAACCATCAAACACTCCATTCTGCATGGGAAGGCGTAAGAATGCATGGGTGTCGGCAGCTCTGCTTACCAAGGGCTCTCACCCACATTCCCCACACCCCTTGGAACAGGACTGTGTACCATGGTGGGGAAGAATACACATTTTGGAATCCTGCTTTACTACTGAAAATCTATGTTGTAAATCTGTCTGTCTGTCTGTCTCTGCCTCAGTTCCTACACTGATGAAATGAAAGTGAAAATGGTAGGAACTGAGATATATAAAGATATATATATATATATATATATATATATATATATATTTGAGAGAAATAAATATGCACGAGGCGGAGCAGAGAACAAGGCCCTTGGGGATATTAACCCACTGAGCACAGGGTCGGCTCTCATCAGACACAAGGCTGAGTAAACAGAGTACTCAATCATCCTCTAGTTAGTATTTAGAACTTCTCTGTCATAACCTAGGTCTCTGAGACAATGAGTGAAATCAGAACAAGAACAAGGCAGATGTGACACACCTGGGTGTCACAAGTAAACTGTAGTCAAAAACGGATTTCAGGAAACGGATTATTAGGAGTGATAGCTTTAATCTTGAGAATTTAGTTTATTGGACCCACTTGTTCTTTTTTAAACATTTTAATATTTAAATTGCTTCATGTGATAGAAGTAACATAAAGAAAATAGGATTGAAGTTGACCAAAATCTTCACCTTTAATTCAAGAAGAAAACATGGGAAATTAGCGAGTAGATAACGAATCAGAAAAGTTCAGCGTGATTGTGAAAAGGACAGCGTGATTGTGAAAAGGACAGCGTGATTGTGAAAAGGACAGCGTGATTGTGAAAAGGACAGCGTGATTGTGAAAAGGACAGCGTGATTGTGAAAAGGACAGCGTGATTGTGAAAAGGACAGCGTGATTGTGAAAAGGACAGTGTGATTGTGAAAAGGAGTACTATATTTTCTTTCTTTTTTTCCCTTTCTTCTTTTGGTTTTCCGAGACAGGGTTTCTCCATGTAGCCCTGAGCTGTCCTGGAACTAGCTCTTGTAGATCAGGTTGGCCTTAAACTCACAGAGATCCACCTGCCTCTGCCTCCCAAATGCTGGCGGGTCTCACCACTGCCTGGCTCTATATTTTGTTTTCTCTATCAATTTATTTGTGATGCTGGGAACCTAGACATGGCAGCAAAACACTCTAATCCTGAGCTATATCCTCAACCCGAGAGGAGCACTTTCAACAGGAGTGATCGATACAATTAAAAAGCACATACCCAGTCCTGCACACACACGGATCTCTGCAGAAGTTATGTCCCATACAGCGCGCAGAACTGAGGCTAAGTTACTCACATGGCACGCAGACAGCCTGGAAACTTCCAACATAATTTGGTCCGAGTTCATAGATAGTGGTGACACTGGAAGGAGGTAGAACTTCCTCTAAGAAGTGAGTGGGCCCCAGGCGCCAAACCAGTGATGCAGTGTGGCGCTGTGCAGGCGGAGTCCCGATGTAGGCGTAGACTGTGCTCAGCACTGGGGGATTTGCTGAGCCGGAGCCTCCAGGAGTGCTGTGGACATAATGCAACTGCAGAGAAGACACAAGGGTGAGACGGCGAAAACTTGGAACCCAGGAATAACTACTTTTACGTTACATGTGTTCTCATTATCCCAAGACCACACCATATATTCAAACCAAGTTGAGAATCCAAAGGGCAAGATTCTACGGTCTGTAACTGGGTGCTCAGTGCAGAAATTTGTCATCAGATTCTCACAAAGTACATTATATAGAGAAATGGCAACAATTAAATATAGGGCTACTATCACTCACTGCCTGTGGTCTAATTATCAGATTAATGATGCTTCTTTGAAAATGTAGAGTTCACAGTTCTACGATGAAACCAATTTTGATATGAGTCTAATGAAAATTACTGATTAAAAGTATCTTAATAGTAAGAAAAATAAAATCTATAATTCATATGCACATATATTATCTCAACAGAAGATAGGCATGGTTGATTGACATTCTTAGAGTTGAAAATGTTTTGTTTACTGATGAGACATCTTAATTATCAATCAACTCATTTTAAATAAATATATATTTCAGTAGCGTGTAAGAGATGAGGAATTAAGGGTCTGCCTGTAACGGTAGCTTCTGTGACAGGTGAGAGACATTGCCACTGATTTGTTTTCCATAACATCAGCCAAACTCAGACCATACCCAAAATTTTACATTATTAAAGAATGATCCCAGTGTTGTCAGCAACATGGTGGTGAGGACCCACATGTCCATACCAGCCTGACTACTCTTAGTAGACGTGTGTGCTTGGACGTGTGTGTGTAATGCTGCTGTGTGCTTCTCAATCCTAAAAGCTGGCGACACAATAGCGTGGATAAAGAGGAAGCTAGCAGTCTAGAGACTCACATTAAACACCACCATACACCAAGGAACCAGCGAGTACTGCAATGGGAAGTCCGGCGTCTATCTCATTGGCACAGAATGTCACGATAAAACACCACTACCACAGGGGAAGAAGATGATTCCAGGAAGCTGATGTTTTCACACAAGGAGACTAATTTGCTTTCGTTATTCTCTCAAATAACATCAGTGTAAGATGGACACTGTCTCACACAAGTTAAGAATTTTAACCTTGCTGAGTTCTGTTCAAAGTAAGGACAGCTTACAGCCTGGACTGGAAATGCTTTAGATCGATTTAGTCTGAACTGGAAGTGCTTTAGACAGATTTTCCAGACTTTGGCATATCTATGCAAACTTTGCTACTCAGAAAATGTAAAATTCAAAATACTTTGAAATCCCCCCCCCCCACACACACACCTTTTGCGAATGATACTGGCACTCAGGAAGTTTTAGATTTTGGTGTATTTTGAACTTTAGGTTTAGAAACGTTCAACTGAGACCAATATTCACCTCATTCAGGAAGGAATTCTTTACTCCTCCTTCCCAGTGCTCCTGAATACTAGAGTGTGACATTCTTGATACATTCCCATCCCTTCCCACAGCATAAGCACCCAAGGGAAACCCAGGCATGGTGGCCTGCATCAGTGAGCAGCACTGGAGAGGTGGAGGAAGAAGGCTCACAGATGCTGGTACTAACCAACCTAGTCATCCTGTGAGCTCTAGGTCTAGAGGGACCCCGTCTTAGAAACAGAGTGGTGAGCAACAGAGGAAGACACCCAAAGTCATTGGCTGGCCTCCACATACGTACACATGTACGTACGCACGCACGCACACGCATCCGTCTGCCGACGTGTACATGCCCCGTCACCTTCTCTCAGGAGCTGACTTGAGAAGGGCTGTGTTTCCCGGTGCAGAATGCTTACCTTCACAGTGCTGACGAGCTGCCCGTCGATGTAGAGGGCCGCGGTGCTGTTCTTCAGCATGCCTTTGCTCATCAGCAGAACCAGATGATGCCACTGTCCTTCCACTATCAGTTCTCCACATCGAAAGCGGGCACAGCACGGGAGAATCTCATAGAAGGAGGATTCTTCACTGAAGTCATCAACTACAGCAGAGGGAAAGAGTCACAGCGCATGCCCACACTGCCCCTGTTCTGTAACCATCAGCATCAGAGGAAGGCATGCTGCTCATCCCATAGAGCATCCTGCCCAGAATCTCAGGACAGCAGCTCTCCATGGCTCTGTGTGGAAGGCATCGCCGGTTGTAAGCTCTTGCTTTCTGGGAGTCCTACAGTTATCTTCTTCTGCCAGCTTCCCCAACTCTACACGTTTTCCTGCTCTCCCCACTTCTGCCTGATATGCAGCACTAAGTCACACCATGCTAGCAACAGGTTTACACAATGTAAACAGTAAGATTACAGGACAGCGAGAATTTTCTTTTCTTATCTTTGTTCTTTATTTTTGAGACTGTAATTTAATTACCACAGTACTCCCTTTTGCTTTCTCCTTCCCACCCCAACTCAGCTCCTCCCACATCTTCCCCCTTCCCTTTCTCCTCCCACCCCCAGCTCCTCCCAGGTCTCCCTCCTTCCCTTTCTCCTCCCACCCCCACCTCAAACTCCTCCCAGATCCTTCCCATCTCCCTTTCCAGTTGTTCAGAATAAATTTTGATCAACTATAACAAAAAACAAACAAAGGGTTCATATTAATTTCATTTTAATGTTCATCTAACTGAAAATTTATGCACTGTCTTTTGTTTTGTTTGTTGTTCTTGGTGGTGTTAGGGGGCAAATCCAGAACCTGACATGTGCCAACATGTATTCTTCCCCTGAGTTATAGCACAGTCTTGCTCTTTCTCACAATTTGTAATGGGGGAGACATTAGCTGAGAGACAGAGGTTAAAACCACATTGAAAAAAGGGCATGAAGGAGCTAACATAACCCATAACCAACTTGGGAGCAGACAGGAAAGAGCATTAAATAAGTACATTTAAAAGTAAAGTTCCAATTATATGAAAGAACCACAAACAAAATGCTGATTCCTGCTTTGGGCCTATGAAGATAGCTATTACAGTAAAGCATCAGATCTTATTTAGAATGAGAATTTCTTTAAGAGAGAAGACACCACAAATGCAAAATCCACTGAGTGATGGACAACTGGAGCAGAATGGAGAAACCCACGTAAGAAGTGGAGATGGCCTCAGGAAGCCACAATAACAGACCAGCAGCGTGAAGAACATCATAGGAAGCACAGGGCTCGCGTGTGCTTAGCATGTATGGAGCCCTGGTGTCAATCACACCCACCCACACACACCCAAACCAGCTCATACGTAAAGGCACTTACTACTGAGTCTGATAGCCTGAGTTTGATACCCCGGACTCACAGTGGCACAGGCTCCTCTCTTGCATGCCCCCAAAGGCACACCAGAGGAAAAAGTTGTGCTTCCCTTCCTTATTAATAAACAGAAAATATTCTCCAGTACTGAAGGTGATATTACTTAAAAATTCTATGGGGCATGTGGTAGTTTGAAAGAAAATGGCCCTCAAAGGGTGTGGCAGTACTAGAAGGTGTGCTTTGCTGAAGTAGGTATGGGCTTGCTGGAGGAAGTGTGTGCATTGAGGTCTCATATATGCTCAAGCTATGCCCAGTGGGACAGGCTGCTCCTCACTGCCTGCCCAAGAGGCAGAACTCTCAGCTAAGTCTCCAGCACTACGTCTGCCTACATGCTGCAATTTCCCTCCATGGTGGTAATAGACTGAACTTCTGAACCATACGCTCCCTCAATTAAATAAGAGCTGCCATGGTCATGGTGTCTCTGCACAGTAGTACAAACCCTAACGAAGACCAGGGTGGGTGTGGTGGTTCAGCTCCTACAGTGCTTGCCTGTCATGCACAAAAGCCAGACTCGGTCCCTAACGCTGGACAACACTGCACGTGGCTGCGGGGCCTGCTTGCAATCACAGCAGGAGGGGCGGAGGCAGCAGGAGCTAACAGTGAGACTTCCATCTCAGAAACAAACCAATAGTAATGGAGTCAGAGTTTCCCTTTTGGAGAGGAATGGATGGCGCGCCACAGTAAGACAGCGCAAGGCCTGGCAGTTGAGGGTTACTCAAGGCTTCGAGCTGGGCAACTCGCTATCACCAAGACAAAAAATAGACAGAGAGGTAGGTTTCATGAACAAATCTCAGACAAGGTCCTGTACAGAAGAAAATTCAAGTCTTTAAATGCAGATGTTCTCTATGCATGTGAAATACAAACACCACGCTTACAAGATGCGACAGACTTTTAAAGAAGATGACTTCATGGTTCCTGGGGTAACGTGGACTTAGGCAAGCAAAAAATGATGACCCTTCTCTTCCCAGGGAGAACAGATTGGACCAAAGAACATTAATTTTGAAGGAAAGATGCAAGAAAAACCTATCAGAGGGAGGTGTGAGAGAGGGTGGGGAGAAGGGCGGCGTGACTGAAATGGGAACCCTCAGCACAGCATCAGGACCAGAATCCTAAGCGCTGGCACGCGAGATGCGCCCTCGCTCAGGCTCAGCCTCTGCTGCTTGCCTTAAGTGGGGTGTACTTAGGACCAAACGACACAGCATAGACGTAGGAAATTCTCAAAGAATATGTGTATGTGTGTGTATGTATGTGTGTACGTATGAAACACAAACAGAAAAGTATCTTACAATTCACTGGTAAATAGGCAACAATCCATATAACCTGCTCTACACTAGCCTAGTGAAAGCCAGATGAGGATTAATACTTTAAATTTACAAATGAATATTAATTAAGGTAGACATTCCCCTTGTGGAATCATGAAAGCAGAAAGGGGCTGACACCAACCGTAGTTCTGGAGTAGCTCCTCCTTCGTGGAGACAATTAGGGAGCGGTCTTTTGCAGACAGAACTATGGCAAGGCAAACATAATGCTGCTCGGAGGAGTTCGCTCGCCGCACAACAGTGAGGAGCCTGACTGGGTGGTTATTTGGGGGAGAACTGAAGTGCTCGATGCAAAACCAGCTGGAATAGCTTAGGCCAGAAGGAGGAGGGAAGAACCTCTCACCTGGAGTAAAAGAGAAAAATCACGAAAAGGCTTTGTGGGTCCCGTTTACATTCTAGTAGGTATATTAACAAACCTGCATGCACAATACAAAAACACAGCAACAAACGGATGATGGAAACCCCCTCCCTCAAAACACAAAGTTTTTCGGTTCTCTTGTACTCGGATAAATGGTAGAAAAGTTTGGTCACTGTTTGAATCTTGACTATACCTGCTGAAACTGGCCTACACTAGCTCACTGTAATTATGCATGAAAACAAGCTATTCCAGATTCTTACAGCACTTGTGCAAATGTTATTCACACGTGAACTGCCTTCTCGTTCTCCGTATGTGTATTTAACTTCCAGTTTCTGGGGTCTAAGGTTGAAGCCTGCCATATTCTTTGGGGTTTTATGTGCACAGCCACCACACAGACAGTCAAACAGCACTGGTGGTATTTAAGTCTGTAATGCGATACAGGCAGAGTAGACTAAGGCAGCTGTGAAGCCTGAATAAAACTCAGGCCAGGAGAGGGCACAGCAGCCAACTTCATGATGGCGTGTCTCACTAGCATGAACAAATGTGTTTTTCCTCCAATAATCTCGTCAGTGGCTTGCATGTCGCTGCACCAGTAACATATGTAGACCACATCTGCCTGGAAGACACAACACAGCACGCTTTCAGGACCACTGGTTGCTCTTCCTTTTTCTTGTACCTCTTTTTTCACTGTGGGCACGGGCTGTTTGAAAATGATTTCATCATTTTTCTTGTCATCGATTTCAGTCACTTGTGATTTTCGTCTCTCAAAAATGTTGGTGTATAAATTGGTGTGGGATCCTGGCTGTCCAGTCTTCTCAGGTGTCTTATTCCTCTTACGAACCATTTTGTCCTCTTACAAACCATTTTGGCCATTTCCTAAAATGTCCTCTTTGTTGTATTCCTAGGTATACCCGAAAGCCTTTCTTTTGGGGTACGCAAAACCTGGTTAGCCTTGGACTCCTGAGTGCCCTGTGAAGCCCCTTTCTTTGGATGAGGTAAAACCAACGAAGGGAAACTATAATTGATCCCCTTCTTAGCTAGCTTCTTCTGGAGTAATTTTTCCTTCTTCTTGAACAGATATTCCACCTTCAACATTTGCAAATGCCCCCGTTTCTGATTATAGCGACTCACTGCCGGGAATAATGGCTGAAGAAAGGGAACATTCCACTCTTTAAAAAGGTCCTCATGGGGCAGGCGGATCTCTGTGAGTTCGAGACCAGCCTGGTCTTCAGAGCTACTTCCAGGACAGGCTCCAAAAAAAACCACAGAGAAACCTTGTCTCAAAAAAACCAAAAAAAAAAAAAAAAAAGAAAAAAAAAAAGAAAAAAAGGTCCTCATGGACTTTTTCTGGTGACATAAATTTACACGATAGAATTCTTGCACCATAAATGTAGTTGTCCATTGTTTCTGCAACTATCTTGGCAACATCCTCAGACTCAAACTCCACAAAGCCATCCCTCTGCTGTCTCCAGTCCGTTCACTTCTGGACAATCGGAATCTGCTAATGGTGACAAACTGGGTAAAGTAATCATGGATGTGACTTTCAGAAAATGTTGCTGGCAGGCCCAGAAAGATCACTCCAGGATTAAGACTTTTTTCTTCCTTCTTTTGCTTTTTCGTAAGCTATTGTGCATGTGTCAGAACCTTCTGAAACTGCATGCCTTCCTGCGGGTTCAGTGCTACACTCGGCTTTGTGGGAGCCATGTTGAAGGAGGCCTTCCCACTCCCATTTACATTCTTAAAAGAGGCGGTAACACCAGATGAACTGCAAAAGAAATACCTCCCGAGGAAGGAGTGACGCTTACCTGACCCAATGCCACTGACCACGGCCCCATCAGTAAGACCAGTTGTAACAGCATTATTGGTAGGGGCGTTATGGGGAGCCAGGCTGGGCAGAAACAGGCAGCTGGTAAAGAAAACACATCCTGGTTAGAGAGCCACTCTGTTTTTATACAACGTGTGTGCAAACAAGCATGCAACCATAGCTGGAGATTCGAGGGTATGAAATACATCTGGGAATACGATCTCAATCAAAACACTTGAGTAATTTCATTATCACAGAAAAGATATCTCCCTGCAATGCTTCCTCATAATTCGGCAACTGGACATAGTTGTGCACACTCTGAGGCTACTGGACTTCACAAATGTGGAGATTCACTGTAGAGTCTTTATTGCTGCTTTGGCTACTGTATCAATCTCAGGATATTTAAAGTTATCATCTGACATCACTGATGTCACTGAGTAGTCATACAGATGACATTTATCAACCATAATATCATACATAATCTGGAGGCACAATGAAAGAACCCAATCTGAGCTTAATATCTGAATTTATCTATCATCTACAGCTCATATTTATTACAACAGGAATTGGCTAACTGTCTGGAAGGGGACAGATAAAGCACCTCTTTTGTTCAAGCAGCTTCCTTCTAGGATGACATAATTCTGCCACTCAGAGAGGATACATGAATGAGCTGGATGTGACCCAAGAAAACAATTTTATCCACAATTAACTTACTAAAACGTACTCAACCATAGACCTCAATTATTAACTCCATAGTTATACCAATATAGTTAATATGATAGATAATTTTTAAAAAGTAAACATAGAAACAGCATGCTCAAACAACTGGAATCACTTAAAACATACAGCACAGAAGGTATAACAGCACACTCTAACCCAGCAGTCAAGATCAAGTCCATCTGCAAAGACCTCAATGAGGCTCAAGATGATAGAACGAGGCTCTAAGGGAGCCGTCCGGCGACCTTGCTGCTTCCTTACCCAAAGCCTTCAAGGGATGTGTCAAATTCAACAAATGCTGGAGTAACGGAGGAGCCATGAAGTCTGATGTCATGAGGGGTTGTCATGGAGACGAGACATTTCACCCTGGTCAAGGGAACAGTGCTTCCTTCTGCAGACTTCACCAGACTTTTACTTATCCTATAATGGTTATCCTCATGTAGGCTGAAAACGTTGTCAGAGCCCAGACCTTCCAGAGAGGTGACCATGCTGCCTGCAAGGAGCGAGGAGAACAAGCTGAATTTTAAAGTGACTTTACCAGACTGAGTTATTTTCACACGCTAGAATTTTTTTTTTTTTTCCATACCAAGGATACTTGTGCTCTTGCAATGCTGGTTGTTCCGTTTCAGACTTGGAGAGCTTGCGTTCCCTTTTAATCTTACTATCAAAGACCACACATGCTGCAGAACATCAGACACTGGGTACTAAAATGAATATAAGTGCCCACAATCACTGCTCAACACCCCCGACACGTAACTAACTCTCAGCTAAGGGGTGTAGTTTCTTAATTCACAACAGCACTGATCGTTTCTCTTTGAAAAAAAAAAATAAGAACCCCCCAACACAAGCAACATAGCAGAAAGTAACTAGGTAGCTCAGAGAGGAATAGCAACACTCACTTTTCCTGTCTTCCCCCATCTTTTGTACCCTTAGAGCTATCGGAATAAAACCCTTTGTTTGAGGATCTCTACGTGTAGACAGAGCTGATAAACAGTCCTGTCTTCCCAGGGAACATCTCAAATGCAACAAAGGAAACATTCCCTCTGAAGATGAGCTGCACGGTATCTCCAATGTGCCTGATGCCGGGTCAACCATAATAGTGTTATAATGCTGTTTTAGGGAGTAACTACTATTTTCTCTAATTTAACAAAGGGAATTACAACTCAATTCTAAAGAACTGTGTAAAACACAAAAACCAAAGTACATAAAGGGGATGTACAGTAATTAGCATGAAAAACTGTAATATATTCTGCCTTCCTAAGAAGGCAGAATATATTACATGCTAGAACTCAAAAGATCTCAAGTTTCCATGACACGGCAGCTAACAGTGGTGGTGACCAGTAAGGGGATCAATGGCTGAATGTTGATGCGCTGATGTCAGAAGTCTCCCCTCAGAACTGTGGGGAACGACTGTGACGGACATTACAGCGGACAGGGAGGATGTACCTCAGGGACAGAGCAGCTGCCTAGCACAGGGTTAATCCTCAGCACATCCAAAACAAAAGGTCAGAAAACACAAACCTGGGAAAGGTAGTCTCTCTGGCTTCCTAAGGGCCGTCTCTACATGGTGCGCTAGCATTGTCTATTCAACCATCATTCTAAGTCACCTTATCTGCCCTACCTCCATGGCCAGCAAAGATCCAGAAGGAACCGTAAAGTAAAACATGCACAAAACCACAGAATTAACCATGGAAGGAAATCTAAGAACCACAGTTAGCCACAGGCTGGAACCCAGAATCCAGGGCAGCTGGGCTCCTCTGCCATTTCCCACCAGTTGTGGGTGCATGGTGTCTGTTTGTGTCCTATGACCCTGTCTGACCAGTGGGCAGTGCCTGCATTCTCCTCCTCCCAGGTCACTTTCCTCTGCTCGGAGTGACATCTCCTTAGAGGCTACTCATCACATCTGCCATAGTTGTCTGTGCTCCTCATTCCTGTTTATTCCATCTATCTTCTCTCCTCTCATTCAAGCTACTTCGAGGATGAGTTGATTGATTCCTGTGAATGATCCACAGGACACTTCCCTCACATCCCTCTTCTACACCAGGAGGTAACCTGCCCACATCCCGTACCACCCACCATGACTCCCCCATCACATTCAGAGAACCTGAACTGTTCTTTGTGCCGCTGCTCAGACAGCAATGAGCTCTTCTGTTTGGAAAAGTTTTCATAAATATCCACCCTCCCTCACATGGATTTCATTAACAAAATAAACCAAGACGAAGAATTTCAAACTCAGCTTACTTCTCATCTCGGGCTCGTAGCTCAGCGAACTTGGCTTGTGGACCCTATATTGCTTCAGCAGCTTTTTGTCCCAGGCACCACAATTCAAAGGGCTTGCCAAACGCAAAAACTCCCTAAAGAGAAAAGCAAAGTTACTCCTTGACTGAGAATATTACAGGACAACATGCCACATCGAGGGTGGGCCATAATGAATTATAATATATATATATGGAGTAGATAGAACACAATATGCAATGCCAACATCACATTATAATCAACATACGCCTGCACATCTACTATGGTTTCCTACACACACTGAGTGCCCCCTTCCACACATCACTGAAATGTGTTCGTAGTCCTCTCATTTACTTTACTTCCTACATTCATACAATTCCCATGTTAATCATGTACATCCTACTTCCTGAAACTGTCTCTGATCTGCTCCTTTCTCTCTGGTCTCTAACACTACCCAGACTAACTGCCCTGTTTTTGTATTCTAGAAGCAGTCTTCATTGCCTCCTGTGATTCCCACCTTGCCCTAACACAATCTACTCATTAGTGGCTTTCAAAGTTCAAACCTACAGACTGTCCGTGCCTTGCTCAAGGCTTCAGTGGCTGTTCCTTCTAGGTAGGGAAGCCCCAACTCCCCCAAAGCTGGCACACTTCCACTTTGGTGCATCTACTTTCTCCACACCCACAAATCCACCGAGGTCTTCATTTAACACAAGTGCTGTACTGCTTACTGGACCACCGTATCTGTCTTTCTCACTGCGAAGTGGAGTCCCCCAGGATTTAATCTGGTTACTTTCCGTATTCTATTCTAAATTGCCATCCTTTAGAAAACCAGTTCTATGCCACCCTCCCTAAAATTTTGGGTAAGTTGTCCTTAAATAGATTCTGTAACAGTGCTATTATAGAATTACCTAAAATATTTTAATTTCCTGCTTATGTGACTATATTCCATTACTAGGTTGTACATTTTTTTTCAGATAAAGCTCCTTCTAGAGTCTGGTCACCAATGTTTTCCTTATGTCTCAAATAGAGTAAGGGTTCAAACAATAGCATGTAATAGTTATAAAATAGGCTAACTTCTTGTTCTTATTTTAAAGACCAGAAAGAGTATAGAAGTTGCAAAGGGCTAGGCGATGCAATGTGTTGAGCGTGTCCTGGATGTGGTGCACACATACAGCGCACCATCCAGGAATCACACACAAACATATATTCCTTCAGAGCCTTGTCATGTGAGAGGCCATGCCACCTAATACAACACTGGTTAACGCGTTTACGTCAAGTATTTTTCTTCACAATAAGTTGGCAATGTGCTTTAAAAATCACAAGTAGATTTTAACTATGTTTTTGAAAAGCTTTTCAAGTTTCAACATGAGACAAGAATAATTACAGAGTAGTATAGTCTCAGAACGACAAACTCTAGGTATGTATGGAAAAGAAGGAACAAAGTGATGTATTACTAGATCTATCTGGCTATATGACTTCAAAGAAAACAGGTGCTTTTAAAAGGATCTATTTATATTAATTTATGTGTGCACCACGTGTGCGCTTGGTGCCCAAAGAGGCCTGAAGAGGGTTTTGAACCTAGAGCTACAGACGGTTTCTAAGTCCCAATGTGTGTTCTGGGAAACAACCAATGCCCTCAACTGCTGAGTCATCTCACCAGCCTTAGAAAAAAGTTTAAAAACTCACCAAATTTCATTTTTAAAACACAGCATTTTCCTCTTGAATGAAAACATTCTTCTTGATCTAGGGATATACCTCAGTAGTAGAGTACTTGTCCAGCATGCATGAGGCCTTGGGTTGATTCTCAGCACTATCTCCTCCCTGCCACACAGACACAAACACACACACGCACGCACACACATACATGCACGCACACAAATGCACACACAGCACATGCGCACACAGACACACATGCATATACAAACACATATATACAATTTGGAGGGCTTCACAAACTGTAGTATGCTCACACCATATTATTTAACAATAAACAGGAAGGAACTAATTAATGATATACATTAAAAACTTGCATATATCTCAGGAGCATTATAAATAAAAATTATTAATCTATAAATGTCACATATAGTGTGTGTGCAAGCAGAGCATTCTCAAGGTGACAAAATTATGGAGCTAGAGTACAGAGCAGTGGTACACAGGTTAGAGATGGTGGGAGACCAGAGGTGTGTGACATAGGGCACACAACCCCCTTTATCTACTTTTGGAGACAAGGTGTCACTATGATGGGCCAGTCTGCCCTTAACTCACAATCCCCCCACCCCAGTCTCATAAGCGCTAGGAATGGAGAGGTACCACTTCTAAAGAGTTGGTCCATTTTGTAGTTTGTCTGTATTTAGCTCAATTAAGTCCATGAAAGAAAACTTTTTATTTTTTGTGGTACCGGGAATTGGACCCAAGAGTTCGTGCATGCTAGGCAGACTTGCTACATCGTCAGAGTTCATTCACTTTTCCCTGTGAGTCAGCATGGCACTAAATTCCTCAGGCTGTCTGTCACCCACAGTCAGGCCTTGCATTTGTGCCCCACCCTCCACATTCTATCCCAGCTTCCTGGGTACCTGAGAAGGCAGGGCTTCACCATAGGGTCAGAACAGATGGTAAAACCCTCGCCTCAAATGCAATGACTCCCAAAACTGTCTTTTACTAATACATAAATATGAAAAAGAATTTACTAACCTCAGCACCATGGGCTCCAAGGCCTGGGAGGCTAAGCGTTCGAACATGCGCTGGAGGGGTGGATGCAGCGAGTGGTCCTCGTCAGCCAGGGCAGCACTGCACCTCTGCAGCAGCCGTGCATGAAGACCAGCTTCACACATGACCTGCTGGTTCCTCTCCGTGTGCACCAGCGATTGTAAAATATTGGCCACAGCAAGTTGAAGGTCCAAAGCATGCTGAAGTTAACAGAGAGAGGCATGCCACCGGGGGGGGGGGGGGGGGGGGGGGGGGGGGGGGGGGGGGGGGCTTAGTGACACGGGTGGCGGTTCTCCACAACTAGCAACATTGCAACAGCAAGTTTGATTTCCTTGAAAACATGCTCACATAAATTAAGACACTGGCTCAAGCAATAAACATAGCAGCTTAAGAATACAGTCAAGTGGAAATCTCATTTCGATTCGCTCCACTTGTGCTTGACTGAACTGTCTTCTCCCTGACGTCTTCCGAACACCACAATTACGCAAATAGTTATGTTTCCATAGAAACAGGTGTAAAGTCTCCTTTTCTTCTCTGTAAGGCAGGGTATCACTATGTAGCTAGGAACTTAATATGCAGAGCAGGCTGCCCGAGGACAGGCTGGCCTTTGCCTTTCCAGTGCTGGGATTAAAGCTGTGTGCCTGCGTGTCTGGGGCATGCAGTCTTTTCCATGGTGGTAGACAATTAGCTTAATGGAAGTTTGTCATTTACGTTTGTGACACTTTGGGGCTTAGAAGCCACACAACACTTTAGCAAAAACCATCACACCAAGTGTAAATAAGCCAAACTTTTGAGTGCTCATAACAGAAGAGATAAACAGGCTCATTGTGGTACCTGTAGGAAGTTTTTCCTCTGTATTGCCTCTTAGCCATTGCTACCACTGATCAGGACTTACAAAGGGGTAACAGTGAGACTCTCACACCAGAGGCAACCAGCTGGGTTCTACTGTTAACAAATTAACTATATTCAAAAGCAAACTGCTCTCTGGAAAGCACGGCCCGATTGGCTTTCCTGCTGCTGTGACGGGCTGCTGCAGTCAATGCTCTCCTTGGTCCTTATTTCTCAGGTAAAAAACACACTTCTCTTCCGTTCACTAAACCTGGAGAGAACTATTGAACCCAGCTTACCTCTGGCTGAGTCACTGAGCCCACAGAGGCCAGGAGGTCCAGCATGACCAGCATGGCTCCAGGGTGGATGATGACAGCGTCGGAACTCGGGAGAGGTGAACTCGTCATGTCGAGCTTCAGGTCAGCGACACCTTTTGCAGGATACACAGGAGGAGTTGAGACGCAATGAAAGGCATGCCTACAAAGAAGGAAGGCCTGTTGAGACCTCACATAAAACCAGTCGGAGTTCGCTTTCCTCATCTCCTGCTATTTAAATAAGTCATTGATTCGCAAAAAGGCTTGCAATTCAGGGAGTTACAAAAACCTGATGAGTGAGACTCTTAAAAAAAAAAAAAACCAATGTATCATCAAAAACAAAACCAATGTATCGTCACCTCACTGAGTTTCGTGCAGACAACTTACCAGTTCTTGGCTCATATGGCCTGTACTGTCTACTCTCTGGGTCACTTCATTAAACAGCAGCACGTGTACCAGAAGGTATTTTTAAAAAGCAGGGGAACGAGTGACCCACAGCTCTAAGAGGACAACCCTTTGGGTAATAGCTGACTAAACTGAATCCCTCACCCAAGTCTTTTGAAACTGTGTGGTGTAAATCTTCTCTTGACCCAAGGGCAACAGAATCATCGGCTAACAAGATGTAAGTGATCTACTCTAGCAGAAGCAACTGAGTGAGTGCTGGCTCAGCAGATAAGTCTTTGGCTGATCTGGAACTACGTTCACATTGTGTGTCCCTCCAGTATCACTGAAAACATTCAGTCTTTATGAGCAGAGACGGCGTCTTTCATACAACAAGCTTCTATCAGATGGACAGTCAAGCCGTTCCCTCCCACAATGCTCTCTTTTTTCTACATCTTAAAATACTCATCTACAATGCACGTTTCTGCTGTCCAATGCTCCTAACAGGTACCTGTGGCCACAGCCCGTGGGCGCCCTAGTTCCAGTGGGTGGGTCTCAGCCTAATCTCAGGCCGAGCTCTGTCACTAAAAGCTGTGCATCTCCGGCTCCAGCTCAGGAGCAGCTTGGGAAACAGATGCCTTCCTTCAGTGGCTTAGTAAAGAACTGGCACTGCCATGTTTCCAAACATGCACTATTCTCTTTTTACAGAAATTCTAGGAAAGCGTTCATCTGCACTCGTGTTCACGCACGTCAGCAACGCTGTGCCATTCATGCTTTCACTCCGCTCCTGGATTTGGTTGTTTACATTCAGAAAGCTCTAACTTCTAGACTTATCGACAAGGATGTCTGGGCTGGAGAGATGGCGGGTGCTGGCTGCTCTTGCAGAGGCCTCCAGCTCAGTTCCCAGCACCCTCAGAGCAGCTCACAATGTCTGTCACCCTCTTTTGGCCTCTCTGGGCACCAGGCACAGCAGGCAGTGCACTTACACACATGCAAACAACGCAATCGTATACATAAAATAAAAATAACCCTAAACCAAAAAGAGCTAAGATTTCTAAGCAAATCTTACTAACGGTTGCTGCCTATAGTCCTTCTCTTTATTCCTGAAAATATTTTTATCCGTCTAGAAAAAAGATTACACTTTCTCCAAAGTGTAACAGAGATTCCCTCATTCACTGAAATTTAAAAAAATTCATACAAAGTATTTTCATTATAAACAAACCAAATCAAATTTGATGAAAACAAATTTCAGTTGTATATCTTACATATAGGCCTTTCTTTGAAATTTGTGAAATTATATGATTCAAATTTGAACTTAAACCATAGCCACACCCAAAGATACCTTTTGTCCATAGAAATTAAACTTTTCATAGATGGATAAATATTACAGCAGCAAAATTCTAACCCTTATATGACAATATGGTCATAAGCAGAAAACATTGTAAACATTATTAAAAACCTAAAACATGATTTTTTAGTTCTAGCTGCATTTTATAGGGCCGTTAATACAGCACCAATTCTTACCAAGTAGTAGATATGACCAATCTTTAATTATGGATTATGGTAAGTTTATTAAATAGTTAATACACAAGCAAGACCCAACTGTTTGCAAAGGGAGTAAAATAATTTTTCATACATCAGCTAATATGAATGTTGTAATAAATTTTAAATACTAGAAATTGCTACTTAAGACTCCAACTTAAATTTCTATACAATAAAGTTTTGTCAGCTTGTTTTGGTAATACACAGTCAAATACTCAAAGTCCGCCCAGCTCCAATGTGGGTCTGTCTCTGTCTCCTTTCATCGCCTGATGAAGGTTAATATTCAGGAGGATGCCTATATGTTTTTCTTTGGGTTCTCCTTATTTAGCTTCTCTAGGATCACTAACTATAGGCTCAATGTCCTTTGTTTATGGTTAGAAACCAAATATGAGTGAGTACATCCCATGCTCCTCCTTTTGGGTCTGGCTTACCTCACTCAGGATAGGATTAGGTATTGTACAGTAACTAGTGGCTGCAGCCCTCCCCCGCAGGTCTGTGTAACTGTTTATTAGGTAGTTCAAGGCACAGGCATTGTACAGTAACTAGTGGCTGCAGCCCTCCCCCGCAGGTCTGGGTAACTGTTTTCATTATTGTGTATTTTGTTTCCCTAACTCTCAACATTGCTCAACTAAAACTTTGCCCTAGTATTTCTTTTAAGTTATAAGTCACGAGTTTTATTTCCCCAAACACGAGGCTAACTAGTTCTTCCTATTTTAAAAATAGAGACAATCCCCAGGTTTTTCATCTAAGACAGATCAGAAGTTCAAAGTTCTTTAATGTCCGGATGTTCCACAGGTCAGGAAAACACGGAACAAGACTGTTCTCTCTCTTGCCAGCGAACCCAGCACAGGCTGCTAAATGGAAGAGATGCCCATGAGCTGATGTAATCTGTTGAGGAGCTGTGGAGATACAGTGACTACATCACTATTCTAATTTCAAAACGACTATACTTGGATGTGTGAATAAATATACTGTATTATTTGATTATAGCTCAGGAGGGGACAAACTGACCTACATGGCAACCTGAAACTGGAGGCACGGGGGCGGGGCATGCAGCTCTGTGACAGAATGCTTTTCTTAAGTGGCCATGCTTAGTCCTAAGCAGTGGGGCTGGGGCAACCGTGATTTCAGCACGAATGGTGCCAGGCGGCATTGGTTTGTAAGACCGATGGAGAAAACACACACAGACATGGTCGCTGCGTGAGTGACGGCTTCCCCTAAGTCCCTCGCGTCTCTACAGATGGCTGCATTGCACACAGTAAAAACACATTTCTAACTGAAAGTCACCCAGAGCCTACACAGAGCCATTTCTCTTTGTCAATCACCAGCTAAGTAACAGACGTGCTTCCAGGGTTTTCTTCTAAAAGAGAAGTCTATTCTTTCAGACTATCAATGTCTACTCCATGAGTTTCAGTGAATCCATACAAGGACTGTTTTGGAACAGAGCAAATTGTAGGCCTTTTTCATTTATAATATGGTCATTTTAAAATCAGAACTTTTAGTAATTTTATACTAAATTAAAATTTTCATAATACTTCATAAATATAATCCTTTCTCTAATATTAATTTTTTGAGATCATAAACACACTAATGTTCAAATGGAAAAGTCTTTTATCACATTCATTTTGCAATGGAAAGCTATACTGAGTTCACTCAAACGTATCTAATTTAGGTCCTCTTGAATTAAGATCAGCTCTTTAAACGAAAATTATTTGGCATGCACAAACAAAGCCATATTTACTCATAGTATCACACAAAAAAGAAAAAGATATTTGAGGACACAAATATATTGAAATGCAAAATTTATTTAAAACTATTCATGATTAATTGTAATGGGATACAAGCCCTAGCAAAAATCTAAAACAAAAAATAAAATAAAACGTACCCTTGTTTCCCTAGTGAGTATTCTATAGGAACTTGGTCAGCCCTGCATAACCCAGGGGATCACAACGAGACCCATGGTGAGCCAGCTCACGCGTGTTCAAGTTCCACACAGAAATGGGGTCATGCCTGCCTGTAATCTAGGCACATTCTCTTACCTAGGTTATTCATCATGCCCCATACACTATAAATAGTTCTTAGACTACATTGCTCATGGAATAAGAAGAAAAAAGCTCATATGTATTCAATATAAAGCAAAATTTTAATCTGAGTTTGATTGAATTTACTGGCACAGAAAAAAAAAACCAGAATGTGTGATATTTTTGATCCATTACCCATAATTATATTTGTTTTGTAGTCTGAACAACTGTCATTAGGATGAGAAGCATACTATAACAGATTCTCAGATTCGTTTTTCAAAAAACTCAATTGGAGATGTTTACATGAGCTAATGAACTGTGGTAGCCATGAGGACAACAGAGAAGAGAAAGCGCACGGTGCCAAAGGCACAGACTGATCAGACTAGGTGCAGGCTGTTCACAGACTCTTGAATGGATCTTAACTGTGCTTGACTGATCACTTGCGAATTTGGTTCTCCCACCCCTTTAATTCATAAAATTCATGTGCAATGAACAAGGCCAGCTTACACGTTTTCAAGGGATATATGAAAGTAAAATCTTAGGGGTTTTTTTCCTTCCCTTTTTCAAAACTTGGCCTTTTCTCTGTTATAGCCTCATATTTCAACCTGATTGAGAAAATACACGTTTCCTTTGAGGGCTGTTCACTTTGTAATAACAGTAAAACCAAGAATGTCCCCAACAATACCTGATAAGAAAGGGGGAGCAGTCTACTTAAAGAAGCATGAGCCCAGTTATTATTTCTCTTTAGGGGAACAGTTCATGAGTACACTGCGGGAGGCCAGGAGTCAGCAAGAGTGCCTGGGCTGTGGAGTGCAGTGGCCTGGGAGAATCAAGGTGGTCTGGGAGAAGCACAGTGGTCTGGGAGAAGAGAAGTGGTCTGGGAGAAGCACTTTTGCTGTTAGGTAAGCTTCTCTATGCACAGCTTCCTGCTGTGTAAGAAGGGTGGCATTTGTGGCTTGTGTATGTAGGCACACAGCAGGAACCTGCGTGACTTGTGGGGAGGTCAAATTACCACCTCAGGTACCAGTCCTGCATGCTCCTGGTTTGAGACAGAGTCTCTTGTTCATACCATGTATGCCAAGTTAGCTGGCCCATGGACTTTCTGGAGATTCTCTTCTCACTGCCTCACATCACCCCTTCTAAGCCCCGGGGTTACAGACACCGCTTTCCAAGCTTTCTGGGGATCTGAACTCAGGCCATTACACTTGTGCAACAGGCACTTTACCCACAAGCCATCCCCCCAGCCCAGGGACAATGTTCTTAATAGAAAGTACACCTGCTCTCCAGATCATAACAGTGAAAACTACTTAATAGGGATGAATGAAAAATTCTACACATACCACATACTATTATTGGTTAAACACATTTTACTTTCATCAACATACTGAAGGGAAACTAAAAATCTAAAATCCTAAAATGTATTTTTTTTTTAGTCCCCCCAAGGAAGCCTAAACAAAACATGAACCCCAGGTTACAGAGCGCAAACACACAGTCAAGCACAGGAAACCCCACGGCAATCCACATTGACTTCTCGTGTGAGATCAGTACCTTTTCCTGGACAAAGCTGGTGTTCCCCAAGGAGAGGGGAGAGAAGACTCGCTTGTCAGGCAGGGAGGGATCTGTTCTGCACGACTACAGATGACAAAACAGACAGGGGTTAGCGGTTAGGAGCGTGCGCTGCTGGCCAGCAGCTGGTTAGTATCACAGGAGATGGAGGGTCAGTTTCATGAGAAACATCTTCACGTTCTACGGGAGGGAGGGCCATGAGGAGCACAACACAGGGCCAATTGGAAGAGGAGAGCTGCTGGAGGCAGAGGCTGCTTCTCCCAGTGTTAACACGGACCTTGTTAAACAGACGCCACTAAATCTAAGGGGTACTAAGTGGGGTCAGTAGCAGAGAGAAGAGAAGTATAGTTTACACATTCCCACAGCTCATGCCTTCAGTGCCACACAGCAGGCTGCTTCCTGCAAGTCAGTGATTAACAACAAGATGAGAAACTAAGTACAATACCTGGATTTTCAAACTTATTTGGAACCAAGAAATATTATTAAGATGCAAGAAACATCTCAATATATGTTCAAAAGTAAATATTCCATGAACAAAATAGACAAAATCCATGAGAATCCCTGGTTGCTTGGTCTGTTTAGGGCTGAAATGGGAAAATCCCATTTATTATATGAAGGAAAACTGGAAACTATTAAAAACGATAATGCTTACACTAGAGAAATCAGAACACGACCATGCTATTTTTAGTGGGATGTCAACTGAAAACACAGTCAAACCATGAAAGTAAAGATGCTGGGTGAAGGAGCCGGCCTCTTTCTGTGCAGAACCCTGGATTTCTCCACGATAGAATGTGTGTGCACGCTGCAACTATTTGTGTGTGTACCCTATCAACGAGCAGGTGGCCAGGATGCAGAAGCATCATGCAGGGCTAGAGCCTCAGTGCTGGGGTGTGCAGCGACCTGGGGTGCAGCAGGTCTCCATCACTGGGAGAGTGAGGAAATAGTTCTGACGGCCTCTTGACAGGGATGGCTCCAGACACCCACGTGTCTCCTGGGGAGCCATGGCGTTTTCCCAGGGCTGTGAAATGGGAAGTAGGAAAGGCTATCTGACAGCAGCCTGGACACAGGCATTATAGTAACCATTTCTCCAGCTGATGAATAGGACAAACACGTCCACATGCACCTAGTGTTTCTCGAGAGTAAAGAACAATAGACACACTAGGAGAGAAACATTACAGAAGCTGTTTCATTAGAGACGGCTAGGGAGCCTGCGTGGGGCCGGCCTATGCCCTCTGCATGTAGATGACAGTCGTGTAGCTTGGTCTGTTTGTGTGGTCACTAGCAGTGGGATCAGGACCTGTCCCTGGAGCATGAGCTGGCTTTTTGGAACCTATTCTCACGCAGGGATGCTTCGCCCAGCCTTGATGCACGGTGAGGAACTTAGTCCTGCCTCTGCCCATGAGAGGCCTGCCCTTTCTGAACAGAGGAGAGAGGATGGGGGAAAGAGGCGAAGAAAGGAAGAGAGAAGGGAGGGGAAACTGGTTGGTATGTAAAACAAGTAAGAAATTTTAATTACAGCGGGGGGGGGGGGGCGGGGAAGCTGTTCCATTATGTGCAGCAGAAGCTAACTGAACTTTCCTTTACTGGCAAACACTGGTTTCTGCACTGCAAACTCTACATCTGGGCAATAGTGACAGTCCTGGGTAGAAGGACAGACCTCAAGTAAACAGAAGACGGATTAGTTTTCCCTTCCCTTCCAGTTAACTCCGGCCTGAAGGCTGACCTTGTGCCGAGTGCACCCTGCCAACCAGAAGGTGGAACGGCCCATACCTGTCAAAAGAATCGGTGGCTACTTTGTAGAGATAGATGAAGAGCTTGCTGCAGTGCCGCAGGGTGGGCGCCACGGAGTCTGCTGAGGTGGCTTCTTCCTCGAGCAGTCTTTGGAAAGGTTGCGTGTTGGAGGGGAAGACATTCATGGCACTTATTTTCCTAAGGTCCGAGAAGCAGCCAAGAAACCGCACAGCATCTGCCAGCTTCTCATACTGAATCTCTGTCTTGAAGAAATGCGAGTTGGCCGGCTCGTAGCGCAGGGCTGCTGTCAGCGTGCAGAACACGGTGTGGAGGAGCTCAAACACTTGGTTCTGGCTCACCTTCTCCCAGCCGTTCTTGGGAGGACAGCTCAAGGACCTCTCCATAGCCACGAGCAAGGATGTGATGTACACAAAGCCTCCAACTTTCCTAAAAACTGTTCTTGAGCGATGGCTTTCTCGAAGGACTGAAAGGAGGGCCTGCAGGAGAAAAGAAAAAAGTTGTAACCTGAAATTAATTTGGAATTCAAAATAAAAAACAAAACTAAAAACTACCATGCATGAATATCAAAGGCAAACATCGTTCTGTGAATATTTGATATGAATGTCTTTGTCATTTGACCAATAAATAGTCGTATAAAGCATTCAAGTTTTGCTGTGACAAGTGACAATGTGGCAGAATACAATTTGAGGTAATGCTGTTACATATTTCTTGATAGGCTAAGACTGGATCCGAACAACGGCTAGAAGCCTTACCTTGTTTAACTTATAACACTATCAATGAATTCAACTTCTTAACAGAATGATTGTATGAAATAAGTAAATCACACCATCTAACATCACACGGCCATGAGAACGTGGACTGTCTACAGGATAAAAGGGGGATTAGTCCAGGAGGGATGGGAAAGGTAAGGGCAGCCAAGAACCGAGGTCCTTGATTCATATACACCGTTTCGAGTGTAAGACAGTCTCTCTATAAAATTAGAGCCTGAAGACCAAAAAGAAAGGTGCTGTCCCATTTAACTACATGGGGCACTAAGCACCGAATTCCTTCAGAGCCTATAGTCTTTAATTGTTCAACAGTACTGTGTGTTAAGTAAAGTGAGTGTCTCTCCTTAAAAAGGCTTAGGTCCAGGAATTCTGTGTAATGTTTGCAGAACACCCGTATATTTGCGATGATATACCTTGGGCATGGGAGCCCATGTTGAATAGAAAAATGTGTTTGTGTTTCCTATATAGTTTACAGAGATAGCCTGAACAGTGAAGTATTTTAAATAATCTTATGTATGAAACAACTCTACTCTAGGGGATTTCTGACATGGGGCATTGGAGCAGAAAGTTCTAGACTTTGAGCCTGGAGTCATGATCCCACAATCACGAGCACTGGCAGCTCCTGCAGAGACCCTGAGCAGGGAGCTCACAGCAGGCTGTAGCCTTAGTTCCAGGGTACCTGACATCCTTCCTCTTCTGGTCTCCATGGATACAGGCATGCACATGGTACACAGGCATGCATGATACACGTGGGCAAACCCTACTTTTGTTTTTTAAGTTTTAGAATTTGGACTTTTTTATTATTATTTTGGATTTTCAAAACAGGGCTGATCAACCTATATTACTACTATTATTGGATGATAAATTAAGACTACAGTAAAAAAAAATCAAAGAGTCTATACTACATTAAATGAATAGCAAAGGTAGGATTTAAAGCCAGAAATTCCAGTTCCCCAAATGCACCTAAACCATGATATTGTATTGTCCTGAACTGTGTCTGGCACCTGTGGACACACACAGTGGGCTCGCTCCCTTCTGTTTCAGTTCTTATCACACAACAGGCTAGTGGCTACCATGAGTTCAGACACATTTTAATCTTAGCAGTCATCACGTTTTAGAAAGTCAACTTAAAATATTTCACATGTTTCTAAGGGCAGCCAAAGAATGGAAAGGCTACTGGCTAGTACAGGATAAAGTTTACACACGCTATATGTAACCAGCCTCCAGAGACACACTGCTTCAGAAACAATGAAAGTTTGTTTCATTGTATATACTATGACTTCTTATCTTAAAAAAATTATCTGTGTATGTTACTAAAACATAAAAACATAGTATATTCTTTCCATTCTTCTGCAAAGAATTAATTTCCATTTAAAAAATGTTGGTATCAATATCATTTCCACATTGTCAAGTTTAGTAAATTATATTTATTCTTAAAAATTACAACTCGTGTTAAGAAATTTCAATGTTATAAAAATCTTAAAGTTATCGTGAAGAGTAAATGGATCCCAGTCCTGGCACTGACAGTAAACTGCTTTATCACACCAGTTACTAGAGCTTTCTGTGGTGTTCAATAAGGGACACGGCCTACTACATACCGAGGTTAGTGCACACTGTAGAGTATACAGTCACAGTCCTGGGACACAACCTACTGCATACTGAGTATACACTGTGGTGTGTATGGTCACAGTCCCGGGACACGGCTTACTACATACTGAGTATACACTGTGGTGTGTATGGTCACAGTCCCAGGACATGGCCTACTACATACCAAGGTTAGTGTACACTGTGGAGGGTACAGTCACAGTCCTGGGGCATGGCCCCTAAATAGTCTATCAAACACTGAGGTTAGGTATGCTAGATGATTTCAGATTCTAAGTATCTACTATTCTGAGTCATATAGGCAGCAAAACACTTCTATATCTGAACATATCTAAACATGGGAAAGGTACAACGGAAACTGATGCCCCTTACACTGTGTGGCTCATACAGTTTTATATGTTATGTAAAAACCTCTACATAGAACATGATCACAGTTTTATAGATGCCGACAGGTGAATTCAGAGTTAAGAAAAATTTCATGGCTGGTTAGAACTTTGATAGAGTTAGAAAACGGTGCCTAATTCTTAGTCTAAGAGTTATTATTTCAGGACATTTTGCCTCCTACTTCATCAGAGCAGCTCCTGCTGGCAATCTTATAGTCCAATCAGTATTGGAAACTTTCAAGTTCCAGGACGACTTCTTGCTCAAATCAAGATATGATAAAGAGCACGAATAATACAGCTATGATGAGAGCTAAATTCCAGAAGCTCATTAGAGAAAACTTCACTATGTATATAATATATAATTCAACTTGTGTGTCAGCAGGATTATGAAGACCATAGGATTTCAGTCTGTGTATAAAGAACTGCGGAGCAAATTAGCAGACATGTGGGCTGCACAGTTGGAGACTCTGGGAAGCATCTTTGAATGCAGCGAAAATGGAAATTGAAGTTGAGATCCCACATCCTCCCCACAGCTTCCCAGCACTGAGGCGCTAGCCCTGAAATCACAGCACGTCGCACCGTCCACTGCCGCAGGCGCTTCGACCACCAGTGCTGGCTTGGAGATTAGCAAACCGGTAGCCAGGAGAGTGCAAAGCAAAGCAAATCACGTTCTCCGTGACCTCTTGACAGCAAGCATGAACTGTCCTGTCATGGTGCTGTGTTTCTGTCCTTTGTTTATTCAGTCCCCTGCTTTGCTCACTCCCTCACTTTTTGGCTAAAGACAACGATTTAGGCTCACATTGTTACTTTATCTGCCTCAGCTGTATAGTCCCCATTTTCCTAAGGAACCCCGCCTGTTACAACAGAAATGATATTCAGAAATTGTGGATCAATAAATTAATGCAAACATACAAATATCAATGTCTCTTCGTTCTTATGCAGATATTGCTGAAATGCGAAACAAGAATTCTAGCCAAAAACAAGTAAGTCTCTTTTGATTAAAGCTGATACTCAATTGTGCGAGACCAGCTAGCTCTGTCCTTGGCTCCCTGGCCCCCTAGACTCCCACTTCTGACTGTTTAATAAAGCTGTGCTCCAGTTGACAGTGTATAGACACAGGGAGGGCCTTGGGGCAGAGGTTTAGCCAGCAAGCCAAGGAACTGCAATAAAATAAATCAAATTAGGTAGAATGACACAGGGACACCAACAGCATCCATCTCTGCGGAGAGGCTCATGTGAGTGGGTGCATGTGAACGTACAGAACAATATCTACACACAGGAAACGGCGCTAGCTGCTGCTGGAATCACAAGTTTTCTGGCACTTAGACAAATGCTTTCATGTGTCGCTTCATAGTCTTCACTTATCTACCGACCTTGCTAGAGTCACTGAACTCCTATGTAAACAAATTAAAAGGAGAATGTTTAATTTTAGTGAGTTCTAAAGTTTCCTTACATGGCAATGTAACTACAGCACTGTGAGGAAATACATGTACGGAAATCCTGTGCGGAATTAGTGTGGCGGAAAGGATGCATGGGGAAGGACGGGCAGGCTGCGTTATTTTCCTCCTCTGCCCATCAGTACATAAGCGTAGCACCAGATGACCGGAGCTGAATAGATCACATATGTGTTTAGTTTTTACTGACTTCAGACGATTCTAACGAGCCAGGATAACTGCTCCAAGGCCAGTCAGAAGGACCACAGGCACCGACAGGCACGAGTGAGCACGCTTTCCCAAACTCCTAGCATATATAAACTGAGGAGCTTTCGTTATTTTGGATTTTTAACATTTCTCTTGTGTAGGCTCAGTGGTTAAGAGCGAGTACTGCTCTGCAAATGGCCTGAGTTCAATCCCTGGCTTCTCACAACGGACTCCAACTCTAGCTCCATGGCCTTCACTGGCACCCAGTCAAGGGCGTATACACAGATACACACTTGAACACATAATTTTAGAAAGTAATACATAATAAATCTCTTTAAAGAATTTCCTTGATGAAAAGAAGTATATTTAATATAAAAGGACCCTTAGATTTAATAGTAAGAAAGCAGACATGTATTAATCAAATGTACCCTTAAGATGTCGGTCTTCAACTGCAGTTCTGTGGGTGGGGCTGAGTGCATCAGCCCCAGGAGGGTGCCCATGTCGTCGTCCCCATTCGGAGAGAGCACCAGCTGCTGTATGGTCATCAGGGCGTGCTGCCGGCACTGCGGGTACCTGACTATATTGTGTGCACATCGTGCGCCGCCAAACTCTCGGAAGATTCCTGAGGTAGGGAGAAAAGGGACAGCATGGAGTAATGTCAGGCAGTCAGGGTAAGTCAGGTGAACTAAAATTCAACTGCTTCTGTGAGAACAATACCTTAAAGAAATGTGTGGAAAGCTGACATACCTATTTTATCTTTTATACTACAATATAAAAATTGCATTGTGGAATGTCAAGAAAACATACATATATACATTTTCTAGACTTCTTAGAGGAAGATTAATGTCCTGATACAGTCACCATGTTCATTTCTAGAATATCTGAAAATTTTATAGCTTTGCACCAAGAAACCATACACTGAGAGCAAGCACCGACAGGTGTTTGGATAAACAATGCCCAGGTAATACAGGTGTGCACCGAAGGCGGTTTACAGCACTGTGCTGGAGAAGAACGACATCAAATGAGGAAATTCGGCAACACAACAACCAAAACCAAAAATCTACAACAGAAAACACCAGTTGTGGGGACTGCACCAAAGCCTGCCCTCTGCCTATTTAACCCTAAGTCCCAGCTAGTCAGAGACAGCACAGAGTTCATGTCCACAGGCAGTATCCCAGCCCGTGTTCCCACTCACTCAGGATCCCGTTCTCAGATCAATGCTGCCTGCTCTCAGGCTTTAAAAAGAAAGACCAATCATGTAAATCACCAATCTGTATTTCTAACAAGTAGTTCTGCAATCCTTCTTTATAAAATACCTTATAGTTCCACTTTAATTTTATCAGTCTTGTTGCTGCTTACATATTTGATTACCCATGAAACTTAGGATTTTCTTATGATTTTTGTTTCAATGAAAATATGTCAATTAACAGTGCTTTTTTATTTTACCTTGGTGACCATTGTCACCTCAATTTAAGTGGCTTTCCATTTGATAACTCTATAGGAATTATAAAGCCTTGAAGTCAGTGTGAGGTCGTGAACTTCAGACATAACACTTGATCCAGGTTGATATGGGGAGGTTCTGAAGTTCAGACATGACACTGGATCCAGGCTGGTATGGGGAGGGCATGAACTTCGGACATGACACTGGATCCAGGCTGGTATGGGGAGGGCATGAACTTCGGACATGACACTGGATCCAGGCTGATATGGGGAGGGCATGAACTTCGGACATGACACTGGATCCAGGCTTATATGGGGAGGGCATGAACTTCACACATCACACTGGCTCCAGGCTAATATGGAGAGGGCATGAACTTCAGACATGACACTGGATCAGGCTGATATGAAGAGGTCATGAACTTTGGACATGACACTGGATCCAGGCTGATATGGGGAGGTCCTAGAGCTCAAGCCCTACACTTGGGAGTGGGAGGCAGAGAATACGAGGCGAGCTGGAGCTATCAAACAACAAGACTTTGTCTTTAAAACAACAACAAGAAGCCAAACTTAGGGCATGAACTTGTGACGTCCTTTGTACATGAAGGGGGACAAATCCCGAGCCTATCAGACTCCACATGGCTAACAGCTGAAGAATACTTTCTGTGGACCCAGCACAGAGCCTCAGATTACAAGGGAAGAAACATCTTTCCTAAAAAGGAAAAGACAGACACCAAAAGAACACATAGAAATGTCTGTACCTGGGAGGTGCCAAGGCAGTGACTGGGTAAGCAGCTACTCTATAACAGCAAAAAATGATCTGATCCTAGGCTGGACAACTCCACACGACACTACCGAAAGCTAACTTAACAAATTTTTGTTTTTCATTATTTATTGTGTCTGTATCTCAGTCAACTTAATCTAAGTAGCAATAAGCATACTGAGCATTCTACAATGGACAAATGATCCTACAGTGCCCAGGAAATGTCATCTGACTCATAGTTTCTGTCACCGAGTAGATTTATTCAGCTTTGTCTAAGCACTTACCAAACTGTATTTAAACAATCACTTATATAATTATGCACTGCACCTTTCTCAGTGCGGCTGTGATTCTCCTGGGGGAAGAATTATCTTTTCGTCACTGTGAGTTAGTATGTTGGCTGGGACACATTACATTTAAATACGCTGGCTGTAGAGTTTCTCTGTGCTCCCACCAACAGTCACGCATTTTACATGATATGTGGCTTCCCCATACAACCAGAATCCAATTCGAGCTCTTGCACATGTCCTAAGAAGGGCTCCATGATGTGAGCCTGCCCACAAGCCTGAGCTCACTTAGTCCTCTCAAGTTGTCTTAGAATTTTGGTTTCTTTGAGGCAGGGTCTCATGATGTATCCTTTTTTTTAAAAAAAGATTTATTAATTAGGTATACAGGGGTCTTCCTACACATATCCCTGCAGGCCAGAAGAGGGCACCAGATCTCATTACAGATGGTTGTGAGCCACCATGTGGCTTCTGGGAATTTAACTCATAACCTCTGGAGCCATCTCTCCAGCCCTCACTATGTATCCTTTAATCTCTGTGCAGACCAGGCTAGCCTTAAACTCACAGAGATCTGCCTACCTCTGCCTCTTGGGTGCTGGGATTAAAATCAGGCTCTATTACGACTATGAACCACAGCTATGAAAAAGTATTTCAGAAATAATTTAAATAAGGCAATCACTTGAAGAAGAGTACATACTATAACTAAAAAGGGAAAAGAAAGAAAAAAGCCAAACAGAAAGCATACCATAAAAAGCAATAAATATATTTCCAGACAATAACAGCAGTAAAGATTTTGCTGGGGCAGTATTTTAGCAGGCCAAAGGTGCCTCATTTTGGGGGGCTTGACTGTACCATTACTGAACCAGTGTTTCTCCTCCGGATGACAGGAACCCGGAGAGCAGGAGACCCACTCCTGAAGCATGAGCTGTGCTTTCCTGTTACCTGCATTTGTGTTCGAGCCTTGAAGGAGCACGGTCAAGGCCTCCATCACCAACAGAGCCAAGTGTTCTTGGTCTTCAACTGAACTATTATTTCTTGAGTCCCCTAGAAGATAGGTTCAAAGGTCTAAATCACAAAAATTGCTTTTTTATTTGAGCCAGTTTTAGTTGTATAATTAATTCCTTTCATTCTGCCTTTAACATTTACTTTCTCCACTAACACAAATGCTAGTAATATACCCTTCAAAATAACATGTGTCCAGCACCTATCTAAAATATGCCAAACAAATCAGTATTAACGGATTTTTATTTTATGTGGGAAGGTTAGTTATGTAAAAAATATTAAAAATGAAAATGCCAAACAAAGTAAATATGGCCTTCTCATGGGGATTCTAATCAGTGAGGGCAATAGAATTATCATACAAAAAGATGCTTATAAATCAGTTGTCCGTTCAACATGTATTAACTCTTAATTAAATCGTGTCACCTGCTAGATACAGCAGCACTTTAGCTATTTATTAAAAAAGCATATCAAGTTTCTGAAACCACTAAATAGATATAATTGTTCTCTAGACTGAAAATATTTTGAGATACCCACATTTAATTGTATTTAACTAATTGTAATTAATAACAATTTCAATTATTCCAGAAATTTAAAAAGAAATCTCCCAGAGAAAGCAATAAACACAAGTCATGAAGACCATGCATGTTTACTTTGAACTCTCTCCCACTACTGTAAATCAATTCTAGCCCCCTTGCCCAATTTCCTAACAAAAGGTGAAGAAGAAGTTAAGGTTGGGCAATCCGCACCCTAACACCACAATCACATCAACCACCAAATGAGAAACAGTGGCGCCTCACTGACCCTCTCCCAGCATGTCAACCGGGGGGTTTACCTTGCTCACTGAGCGCCTGAGTTGGATCCTTCAAGAGGGCAGCATACTTATGCAAAAGGTTGACCATGACCTCCAGAAGGCCCACCTCTCTGAAGACGTCTTTAAAGATGTAGTCGTGTCTTGTAAACTTCAGGAGGGTTTTCATCGCAATGATGCTACAGTGGTAAGAGGAGCTGGATTTCAACAGGATACTAACGCTAATGAGTTCTTTACAAGGAATATAATTTAAGCTAAAAACGACAAACTCCAGCATTTCAAAGTATTTGTTCTGCACGTCTGGGAGCTTGGCGATCTTCTCCGCAAACTGGGACAGGGTGTGCTGGGACTCTAGGATGAAGTAGTTGGCATTGTCAGCCATGTAAATGTTTGTGATGGCGTCAAGGATGATCTGGGCAAGGAAGTTGGTTTTTGCTTTTAAAAATGCATTCTGAAGAACTGCAAAGGCCTGGACGTTCCTCACACTGTGACCTGACATAGAAAACAAGCACACAAGTGGGTGTCGTGTGGCGTTTCACACAGGGTAAACGATCCCGTGCCAACACAGCATGAGCTTCACCACTATCCACTATTTACCAAGACAAGATCCCGTTTTCATGAGAGGCCTGACTTTTCTTCAAGTTCAAATATTTAATTAAAAATAAATAGAACCAATTAAACATTTAACGCACCATTATGAGGATCAAAATGTTAGAAGAATGTAGCCTATGAAAACTTATTCTCTAACCTAAAGGAAATAATGCGACCTCTTTGTCTTAGGGTTTGCACAACCTTAAAAGATACAGAACACTCATACCTCCTGCTTTCCTTATGTCCCTAGCAGCCCTCCCAGCAGAGGTGAGGCATAGTGTGTGCTCAAACCTCCAGCCACACACAGAGGACATGCAGGAGCAAGACTCAAAGGAGGCCCAGATGACAGGGCTCAAAAGCACGCATCTTCCGATGAACGCCTCTGGTTTAGTGCTACCACACTGTTCTCAACTCCTGGTCCCTCAGACTGAAGAGGGAGAAATTTTTCTGCAGCTCAACTGCGGGCAGAGAACTTAATGGAAAACGGCAATCACTTTCACACTGGTAATTCCTACCAGGATCCACCAGTAGAAACAAATCCACTCCTCCTCCACTCTGGGCACTCAGGAAGAACTCACCTTTGCCTGCAGGCTGAGGTACTGTAAATCCAGGCAACAAGAAGGGGGCCCCTGTGGTGACACCAGCTGGCTTGAGCTCACTGACCCCATACGTGGTCAGGGAAGTTACCAGATTCACCAGATCCTTCAAGGCATCTCTGCATTCTGCCTCTTTCGCTTGTTCCAATCTAGAAAAGGTTGATTTCAGAACATTTTTTTCTTTTGTTAATATTCTTATATTTAATATAGAATTACTTGTCAATTTCAGACTATGTAAGTAAATTTATAAAGTAATTACAAAGTATTTACATTTTTCTCATATACATATTTCTTTAAAAAATTCTAAAGATTGTATTATGCTACATCATAAAGCATTTCAAACCTTTTTCTAATTTATTGTTTTCAAAAGACAGTTTTCTTCTGCTGCCCTGCTGGCCTGAAGCTCTGCATGCCATAGATAATTATGGCATGATTTTATCACTAGGGTCCACTGTGTGTATACACGACAGATCGCTCTTGAGCTAACAGTGATTCTCCTGCCTCAGATAACTCCTCCTAGTAAGTTTTCTCCACAATGTTTAAAAATGAAATTTATGGGAATGCTTAGAGTTATATATATATGCTGCATGGGTTTGTGGGGGTGACGCTGTCAGTCAAAGCTCTGAGAATGCAAAGCAAACTTTGGAGCTGACCTGACTCCTAAGAGCCCCTGCCTGAGGTGGTGAGCGCCCGTCTGAGGTCATGAGGATACGACTCTTGCTGTAGCCCAACTGACAGCACAAAAAGCCCAAGAGAATCCCATTTTCATAAGGACTAAGACTCACCGGAACTTTCCTTATTATAGAAATTACTAATTGTCATCAACATAGACTCAGGAAATGCCTACGACTGGGAAAGGAGAAAGGATGCGGCCAGTGTAATGATTCAGCTGGCAGGATGCACTGTTCTCCTGTGCTTTCCAAGTATTGTTTGGGATTGTCATGAATCTAAGTGTGTGATCAGGTCCACGCCTATTCGGTCGCCAAGTGCTTCCACCCGCCAATCACTTCTCCACCCCAGCTGCATGCAGAGTCAGCTAAGCGATGCCTGCCCACGTGGCTACAAGGGCACCACTAGAGCGTGCCTCTGTGGCCTTTCCGATTGCGTCCATCTGGAGGGAGTCTTCATCTGCTTGTTATTACACCATATTCACAGCTGCACAGCCCTTTCTCCCCCACTGACTATGAAACACGCCCCCCAGAACTCTACTCCAAAACCACGCTTCTGATGTTACTCCAGCCAACCATGGCTTCAGCAGCTAATCCGCTAATGTCCTTCCTCCATGTTTAGAATCCTATACTCTCACCACAGATAAAAGATTGGATTGTGTGGGAGCCTCAAGGTATGAAGGGACAGCTTATCAACTTACAAGCTAAAGAAATGCACCAGTTACTATCCGGGGATGACATTCACATGCCTTCTCCTACAGATGGGGATACCTCCTTGGGGTCACCGATTAGCCAACAGTAAGTAGAATAAAGTCCTTGCAGACAATAAATTCACAAAACAGTGCTGTTCTGTGATACAGCAAGTGTTCCAAAGACAATGAGCATCCAAGGATAGCTAATGGGGACAAGGCCACAGTTCCCAGAACATATGTACCCAGCCAGTTTTGTGTGTAATACTGGAGACAGTGGGGAGGCACAACATTTAGCAATGACTAATCTATCTTATATACACAAGTGCAGTTTCAATCTATGTTGAAAATATAATAAACCAGAAACTTAATAAAAATAACCAGAAACTATATAAGTAACAATAACTTAAAAATAAAAGGCCATGAACTTGAGAAAAGTGAGGGGATGTGGAAGGACTGAATAGAAGAAAGGGCGGGACCAACTGACGCAAATGCAGTCCTCGTGAATGAGATCTCGAGAATTAAATGAAACCAAAAATTTAAACTTTTAGTTTGTCTCTCATACACAAACACACACCACACACACTGGCAAGTAGTATAAGATGAAGAAAAGCAAGACAATAATGAAGCAGGAAGAGTTTACACTTGAGAGCCACACTAAGCAGCCGTCCAGCCTCCTCTGTGGTTACAGGAGAGCGCAGCCATGCTGTGCACTGCCTTTGGCTGTCTCACTCAGGATCCCCTTCTCGGGCGGAAAACAGGAATAACAGGAGAGCAACACCAAGACCCCGAGAACGCATCGAACAGGACGCGCTCCCTGGTTTCTTCTGACGATCCCACCGTCTCTCCCACCGTCTCCACAGACATGTCAAATGTAATCTCAAGCTGTGGGGTTTACCTGAGCAAGAGGTCACAGAGGAAATTATATCCTTGCCATATCCGGAAGTCATCCAGGAGAGTTTGGGAGACGCCGCTGGAGTCTTTGAGGAAGCACGAGAGCCCTGCGAACATTTCGACAATCTCCAGGGGAGACAGGTCGTCGGACTGCTGCATGTTCTGCACACACGTAGACAAACATTCTTTTTCTGTAAAGATAAAAAATTAAGTATGAATTGTCTATATCCACCGCTTAAGAAAAGGGGTTTAAGGAAGAATCACGTGCTAACGTACATATGACACGGGACTGGGTAAGGTTGTTTTTTTTAAAGGGGAAACGAGGCCTCAGATGCATGGGAAGGGGCCCTAAGCGGCAACAAAGTGTAACACAGGAGCAGTTGGGAACCAGCTGATGCTAGCACAGTTCTTACTACACTTTGATGCCATTATTAAACAAAATCTAAATAACTGCCCACTGCCAAATAGTTTTTGATCATTTACACTAATAAATACTCATACAAAGATTAAAAAAAAGAAGAAAGAAATTATCAAGTATTCAATGTGCAAATATAGAACAACTTAATACTTTCATAAATAAAGGGATAAAATGTTACAGTCACATCCTATCAGCAACTATGAGGCCTCAGCATCCTACAACAGAAGCTAAGAATAACATGGGAGAAGAAGGAAGACATCATCAATGGCTAGTTCAGGACGGGGTGTCAGGCCACACACGCATGCACACACACACACACACACACACACACACGCATGCGCGTGCACACACAGACATACACCCACACACATATATGCTTCATATATTAACTCGAGAATTTCAGGACACTTCAGCATTTCTGGCATCCATACAAAGTAAGAGAAACACTTGAGAGGCTGCAGGAATCGCCTTTCACGTCGGCTCCTCAAAGGCCAGATGACACTATGTATACATTAGGAAGACAAAAAAATCTACCTCTTCTATCTATTCTGTATGAGAAAGATTACCAGTGAATTCATGAAATATCTTCAGAAGGACTGGCAGCTACAGCATTTGAAAACACTTGCTTTTTTTTCACTAGGAGAACGGATAGAGACAATGGCATAACCTACACTGAATTAAGACTAACATTCACACAACAGTGAAGTAATTTTAAATTCATATCCATTATGTAGAACCTATGAAAATGCCTTGCCTTAGGAAGACCCAACAAATCATTTTTTTTCTCCTGGTAAGTTTCTGTACATGTGTATCTGGGAATCCTAGGGACTGGACAGACGCTCTCCCACAAACTAGTCAAGTCAAGCTGGGCTACAGGGAGTCTGTTTGTCCTTTCCATTGTGAGAAAGGATCTCACTAAGTTATCCAGACAAAACAAAAATTCACTTCACAGCTGGGGTGGGCCTTGAATTACATCTCTCTGCCTCAGCCAAACTAGACCTGTCAAAATGTATGCATTAACATAAAGGCCAAACTTTGGAACACTTAGAGATAACAGGAGAAAGTGGGAAGACAACAGGCTCCTCACCGTGAATATACTTCACCACGTTGACACTCAGCCCGTGGCGGGAGATGGTCGTGAGGACCTCCCCCGCGCTCTTCCTCCAGGGCAGGTTATAGGGGGGGCACCAAGAGGTTATTGCACTGAACAAGAGCTGCAGGTCATCCTTCTGGGCTAGCTCCTCCGCTGGAGAAACGAAACTGCACAGCTTTACTAAGATCTAGATGGAAAAGGAAACAAGAGAGTGTGCTACCCAGAAGGTGTGGGACCAAAACTTCACCCACACTTCCACGTGGGTACTGGGCAGTCAGTAAAATCACGGTGACCACTGCTCTTAGGAACGTTAAAAGATATCTAGGGATCAGGTGTGTGCTGGAGACTGTGCTTAAAAAACCTCACTTCCCCTTCTTCTATCTTTGGATAATTCAGCTTGAAACAGAATAAAACAGCATTGCTATACTTCTTTTCAGTATCAGTACTTTAATTTTCTAATTTTCTCTTTCTTTTTAAATTTTTTTTGGGGGGGGTGTTGAAACAGGGATTCTCTATGTATCCTTGGCTGGCCTGGAATACACACAGATTCCTTCTGCCTCTGCCTCCCCAGTGCTGGAATTAAAGGTGTGTGCCACCACAACTGCCCATTTTAACTTCCTTATTTAGTTCTTCTGTTCTTTATTTGCTCTGGTGAAATATATATTTTTTAAAGTATAACAACTGATATTAGATAGTTAAAGTGAGTTTTAAATTGTTTCCATTTTATATAGAAGTAGGAAGAAATCTCTAATTAGTATAAATCATCATAATTTCAAAATATCGTTCAATTACATCTAATTGATATAAACTCGCTGAAATCTGGCTTTCAGCAAAGACTGTCAGTTCCAGAAGGAAGAGCTAACTGTGACCTGCAAGATTACTCTAGCTTGGCATTTTGCTGCACTGGCGCTGCTCTCCAATAGTGCAAGTAGACTCTGCCCTCAACAGTCTCTCCCTTCTGATCCAAGTTCAGCGTGAGGGACAATCACCTTCTCCATGATGAAGCCCCTCACCTAGACATTTGTGAGATATCAGACACCACAGAATCATTCCTTCAGCTCAACAACATTCTTCAGGAACTGTGGGTCCCTTAACACCAGGGAGAGCACGGCTCCATGAACTAAAGAATCAGAGAACGGGAAATAGCGCGCCCTGCCTGCAAAGCCAGGTCGTCCGTGTCCTACTCAGAGTCAAAACTTTCTTAACTAACATAGGCTTCCTAGTTCATACCTGTCAACCCACAGGAAGAGAGGGCTGAGAGGGTGAAAGGCTCCCATGGTTAGCAAACATAGGCACCTTCTCTACAAAAGGCCTGGAGGAATTTCTGGATGCAGAGCACCCCCTGATGTGTGCTTCTCTTGCCTAAGCAAACACAGCAAGGCTAAGCTGATAAAGGGGATGCTGTCGGCTCTGTTTGATTCTACTTGTGATTCTGCAATTAGAACAGATGCCATTTCTCTAATTCATAACAAAAAACAAACCGAAATAGTAAAAACTAAAAAATAAAATCCAAACCAAATCCCTGCTCACTGCTGAACCCTAAAATAACTAACTGGCTCTCAATTTACTGCCGAGTGACTCTTGAAAATCATTTAGCCTAACCCTGTCCCTCGGGCCGGAAATGCTGTCTATCGCTGCTCTCTCCTTCCCTGCAGGACTTCTCGTCCAAGCGTGGTAGAGGCAGAACTGCTCACACGGACCAGGCAGTGGATGCCTGCGTGCAGCGGCACCAACTGCTAAGGTCCCAGGAAACCATCTGTCGTCATAGAATACAAACACAGAGATTTCCTCCAGCTTGATGCATTTAATAAGCTCGTCCCAGTCTTTTTCCTTAACAAAGTGATAGATATGGTGTCTATCTGGGGTGAGGCAGGAAAACAAAGGAACTGACACAGTGGCGAAGGAGCGCACAAGGTCCTCGCCACGGTTGGGTTACACGCATGACGTCAGCTCCCACAATGCAAAGGGGGAGTCTGAAGCTCTACGTTCCTTTGCACCTTAACATTTAACAACTGCAGTACATTAACAAGAGCCTTGCACTATTTGAAGTTAAGATCTATCCCTTTCAAACACTGGGCGTCAATTTCTTAAAGAAACAGAGCCCCGTGCCTGCTTAGATGCTAGGATTAGAAAATCGGCTTCTACTTGCTGCTTATGGTCTCAGCTAATTTTTTTTTTGAATGAAAAGATGTCACTGAAACGGGGCCGCCACTCTTAACTGTCAAGATTAACCCACTACACTCATCAGCAAGGTCTCACAGAAACTTTAATTCCTATGTGATGCTTTTCTTCACCTAATCCTACAGTTCTGATCATCTGCCAAATGCCAATGTAATTATTTTGGCAATAAACGAAAGTTCTATGGTTAAACACTGTTGTTCAAGTGACATGGGATGAAGTGTTAAAGTTTAGTATAAGAATATATGATTAATCAAGTGTTCAAAAATTCTTTTTTTTTTTTTTTTGAGACAGGGTTCCATGTAGCCCAAGACAGCTTTGAGCTCCACAGGGAGCAGGGGCTGATCTTGAAGACCTTATCCTATGCTTCCTTATGCTGGGATCACAGATGTGTGCCACCACCCCTAGCTAGTGCAGCGCTGGGGACTGACCCAGGACTTCCTATCTCATAAACGAGCACTCAACAAACCAAGGCCCTGAAATATTTATTGAGATAGTATTTTGTTTGGTGATGCGAGTCTATTTTATAGCTGGCTAGTGTCCCAGGCTCCATCCTGCTGCAGTAGCGCCTTCTCAAGGTCTTGCAGAGAGGACCATGAGAGGCACACGGGCCACCGGCGTCAGACCCACCGTCCTCTAGTCTCGCTGCTCTCGCAACAACAGCAGCGAGTCGCTATGCAAAGTCTAGTCTGTGCTGAGCAGAGAACTACAGCTCAAACTCAAAAGCCTGTAGACACACACTTTTCACTTTGTAGATAAGGAACCTATATCCTTGTTTACATAACTTCAGAAACCTAGATTCAACGGTGTTATGAGTGTATTATGCACTGAAGTTTCTAAAAACCTCATCCAATTCATAATCTTCAGCACAGGAAGTGACAGACTGTAGTGTTAGCTATACACACTGCTTGCTGTCTATGGACCTATAGGTTCTAATCTTACAAGGCTGGAACCTTACCCCTAGAACCCTTTCCTACAGCTTTCCCTCCCGCATCGCTTGTTCTCATTTCCTGAAGACTGTAGCCACCTCACGCAAGTGCAATCATTTTGCATTTGTCATTTGTTTTGTTTTGGTTTTATTTGCTTTGTTTTTTAAATTATATTAGGTCCATGGACAGACTATATTCTAAATGTTTGAAGCTTAAAAGTTTTTCTCCCACAGAAGACCATGGGGTGCTGTATGTGACGGTGCTTAAAAAAGGCCTTTTACCTTCATTTAACACAGTGCTATAAAAGAACAGGGAAGGGAATTCCCAAAGTTCAGAGGAGTTGGCAGGAGACAGGAGGAGGTGGCAGTAGACAGTTGGAAGTCCAGCAGGAGAAGCCAGTAGATAGACAGTAGGAAGTGGCAGCAGCCAGTATAAATCACTATTTTCTAAGTTGAATATTTATAAGCCTGGCAAATCCTATCTATAAATAAAAATTGCATAGCATTTTTGTTATTATAAGACATTTCTCAAATCTCAATATGACAAACTCAGCAAAAAATTATTTCCTTAATCTAATTTTAGAGACATCATTGATACTTCCCATGTAATTTTAACAGCTGGACCTGTTTGCAGAATCAATTGCACTAACACCTTCAAACATCCCCAGAAAGGATTTTCATATTGCTTCTGCAAGAAAATGCAATTATGAGGAAAAGCCACACCATAATAAATACCAATGAAAGTGAAAACAAGCAAGCAAATATGGGGGTGCATTCCCATAATCCCAGCACCTGGGAGGCTGAGACAGGAGGCTGTGGTTTGCAGTCAGCCTGGCCTACAGCGAGAACCCATGCTAGAAGAAGACAAAACATCTACGTAAGAAATGCTCTAGTCATCTTACTGACACAGAAACAACCCGCAAGGTGAGTGCCCGCTTACCTGTACAAAGACTTTCTGGAGCAGTCCGCGGCGCTCCGCTAGAGGTAGCTCATTCTGGGCACCTCCACCTGCCTCAGGCACATGTGGAAGGTCAAAGAACAGATACAGACATTTAACCAGGGTGGAAGGCACTGACATCGTTGTCATGCAGTCCACGGTTTTCTGGAAGACAAACCAACCGAAGTGAGTAGAGAGATGGAATTACTGGAGCTGGGACAGCTAACGTCGTCACAAAGATGGGCTAGAGCGCCATATATGAGCCAAGCTCACTCTTGAATGCAGGGAAGATTTAAAAACCGGCTTCAGACTGAGAAACAGTCAATTTGCCATTTGGGCAAATCTGCTCTAATCAAATGTTAAGAGTGGTTTGCTACAGTGAAGTAAGTAACTTATTAAATATATTTATTTATTAAGCGGCTTGTTTCACAGAACATAAACCTTAGGAGTTTAAGAAAAACACATAACACCACAAATGGTGAAACTACTTAATCTCCGGGGCCTCTTCTCGCTCTCCTCTCTGTCTCTTTCTCTGACTCTCTCTCACAAATGAAGAGAACTGTGTATACAGTTCAGGATAAACAAAGATGGCAGCTAAAATACAACAGACACTAACAGTTAAGTTTGGTGGCACAGGCTGCAACAGGTGGAGACAGGAGGGTCCCAAGGTCAAACTTTATCTGGACAACAAGGTAACCATGAGGCCAGGCTAGTCTACTTACTAAGACTGTCTCAAAAGAAAAACTAGAACAAGGCTTGGAGAAAACCTTAGGATAGAATTCTTTCCTTGAAGACAAGAGGTTCCGAGTCGAATCCCAGTCGGAAGAAATAAATGAATCATTCAGTCAGTAGACTCACCGGCCACTAAACAGTGTATTGACATCTGTTTTACCTCCACTTTCATCTCTATTTCATTGGGATGGTCTTGGGTGGGAAGGACATCTGAGAGACACACATGATGTGCTATCATTTTCAGAGATTTACAAAACGAAATTATCAATAGTCTTTTAGGGATCATTTCAGTGTTGCTAAGAAGTATGATATAATTATCAAAAAATCCACAGTGCAGTGGGGCAGAAAGTTAGACTATAGTAGGGACCGGCAATATCTTCAATTCGCTTATTTACTTTCTCATCAGATATATTTATTGAGTATCTAGGGCAGAGGTTCTCAACATATGGCTCACAACTCCTTGGGATGTGAAATGATCCTTTTACAAGGGTTCGCCTAGGACTTTTAGAAAACCAGGATATTTACATTATTATTCATAACAGGAGCAGTGTCACTGTAACAAAGTAGCAAAGAAAAGAATTTTAGGGTGGTAGTGGGGTGTAGTGGCATTTCATTGTATTTTAATAAAGCTTGCCTGAAGATCAGAGAGTAAAGAAGCCCCATTGGCCAGCCTTACAAACCAGGCAGTGGTGGTGACACACACCTTTAATCCTAGTAGACACACTAGTTTCATAGAAACCAAGTGTTAGTGGTGCACACCTTTAATCCCAGCACTAGAGAGGAATATAAGACAAGAGGAGACAGCTCTCAGACACAGTCTCATTCCGAGATTCCTGGAGACAGGATCTCAAGTCCAGACTGAGGTCAAAGTAAGAGTGGCTGGCTGCGTTGTTTTTCTGGTCTTCAGGTTGAACCCCAATTTCTGTCTCTGAGTTTTTATTAATTGTGCTGGGGAGGGGTCACCACAGCATGTGGAACTGTATTAAAGGGGCGTAGCATTAGGAAGACCGAGGATCACTGGACTAGGCCATGTGAGACAGCCCATGGGAAGCTGCAGGCCAGGACTAGGAATCCCTCCCTTTCAAAGGACCATATGACTAGGACTATAACCATTGACAGACCCCTAAGTGACTCTGATCTAAACCCCCCACTGACAACAGCAGTACATGCAACCCAATATGAACGGGAAGAATCAACAAGGTCTGAAATGAAACAGATAATTACAAATAACTAAATAAGTTGGGGAAACACCACCTGAAGACACTTGGGATGTGAGACCACATATTTGAAGAACTACAGAGTCCAAAATGGCAGGTGCTTGAAAGCTTCAATAAAGATGACTTAGGGTGTGGCATTTACACCTCCGACTCAACACTGCATGGTCCTCACAAAGACAGCAATCGAAGCTCATCACTGACATACCCTGCTTTAGGTGGGAGAGCCAGTTGAGGGTGCACGCCCAATAATCCACGAAAATGTCCTCACACTCTAGCTTGACTCTTTTCTTTTTAAACTGGTGGCAGACACCCAATGAAATACCAACAAACAAGAACAGAAACTGAATTCAGAACATTAGCTTGTAGCAGCACAGATCATAAACAGCCAGAGGAGAGGGATCAGGGAAACCAATCAGAACGCCACATGCGAGGTGAACCGATCAGATATAGTCCTGGGGTGAGGGTGGAGAGGAGGGGAAGTTTCGAGAACAAGGCTTTAAAGGTCTGGCCCACGTCTGCATAGACATCACCGTTCCCTGCAGACTCGCTGCCTCCTTGGCTTTGGTTTGCGGCTTCTCAACCCCACAAGCCACCACGTAGCTAGCGTGTAGTTCAAGTCTTTGTCATTTCTCCGAGTTTCCCAAATCCCATTCTTTCCTCTAACCCTCAACCTCACAATGTTTACGGCATTTCTACTGTCGAGGAGCGACACGTGGCTCATCACCGTATTTTATGCTATATTTTATCTGCCTCTTATATGTTGAGTCAGGACTACAGTCATCTTGCTATCACACTGGTGCCAGCAGAAAACGGCTCTCAAACAAAAACACCAGCTCAAGGCATAATGCGCAATTTGCTTTTTAAATGCAACATTTTCCAGTCAAATTCTCACTAGCTTTCCCTTTCCATTATGCAAAGCACTATGGTTTCCCATTCTCATCTTATTACCGGTGCATTTGAGGCACGACTTGGCATCCAAACTGTACCATATTTGTCATCGTTTTAAGTGACTGAGGCGCCACTGGCTGCTTCTTTTTTTTTTGAGACTTGGTTTCATGATGTAGCCCAGGCTGCCCCATAACTCACAGGCTAGCCTAGGCTGACCTCACATTTTTCCAACTTCTGTCTCAGCCTCCTGATCATAGCAGCAGACTACCACGTCAGGCTCTTTTCTTAGCTGAAAAGCCAGGTAGCCATCTCCATCCAGTGATCTTTTTTTTGTTGTTGTTGTGTTAGGTGTTACCCCCTAGGGCAGCCCTCTCACCATAAAAAGATCTTAATTAAGCATTTATAAAAAGTTTTAGTAACTTTCAGAAACATTTCAATTAAAACAACACATAGGAAGTATTGATAACAATTATTTCATTTCAAAGATAATATTTAAATAGCATATAAGGATACAGTGCTTTAAATTGAATCTGGGTACTGTGGTATAGAGGTATTTGCAGCTATAGTTAATGGCAGAAGGAACTGGGAATTCTGCTAGTCCTCTAGTGCAGCTGTAGACACTGACATGGTGGTCTATGCAAGCACTACCTGAAGGTTGTTATTTATGGTGAGTGGACGCCCCCCAACCCGGGACTCGAGGGATATCTGAGATGCACCACTTTCTAGGTTGAAACGTAAACAGTAAGTTCTGAAAATCAGGATAAGTTGGTCTGACAGGTTCTCTAAGCATCTTCAGTGAGGGCAGACAAACCAGGAAGCTGCAGAGAACACGGGCTGTTCCGAGGAAAAGTCCAAGCACTGAGGGCTCAGGCTGGTGAGCACTTTAAGACTGCAGTTGCTAAAGGTACCCCGTTTCTGCAGTGACTTTAGTAAGTGTCGTTGTTAAGAATGTTGGGGTTTTCTAAGTCCACTAAGTTTAGACAACAGATACTGAACACTGGTTTTCCTTCTAATAGGTAATTATACTCGAGATTTAGAAAACCAAAAAACCCTTCACATCCCAAGATGTCAAATACAAAACTATGGTGTCCAAATGTCTCACTCATGAGTACATTCAACATGTCTCAGGTCAGATAATCAGGTGAAAACATCCTTCTGAAACTCAAGATGTTAGTCTTCCTTACTTCCTGTAAAAATCAGAAATACTCATAAATAGTCTGTGTCGTTTATTTATTAGCTGAAGATATTACATGAGTGCATGTTCTAAGCCAGAATTTTTCTAATGTGAGTCACACACATGCTGGGTATGCCCACTGCTGGCTAGCTCCCTTGGGCCACCAGTGGTCCATCTTGTTGCCTACTATGCTCCATAATGGTATACTTATGTGTGTTGTAACATGACAAAGACGGAAACATGGCAGCGCCTCATGTGATGTGGGAGTGTCATATATCAATCTGTTGATTTCATTGGTTAAGCAATAAAGAAACTGGTTGGCCCTGATAGGTTAAAACATAGGTGGGAGGAGTAAACAGAACAGAATGCTGGGAGGAAGAGGAAGTGAGCTCAGAGAGACGCCATGCTCCCCTCTCCCAGATGGACGCGAGAGCTCTGCTCTCTGAGGCACACGCGATGAAGCTCCGACCCAGGATGGACATAGGCTAGAATCTTTCCCGGTAAGACTGATGCTACACAGATTATTAGAAATGGGCTAGTCCAGGTGCAAGAGTTAGCCGAGAAGAGGATAGATATAATGGGCCAGGCAGTGTTTAAATGAATACAATTTGTGTGTTGTTATTTCGGGGCATAAGCTAGCCAGGCAGCCGGGGTGCTGGGGACGCAGCCCCGCCGCTCCTATTACTACACTCATGGAGCTGTCATGAGAAGCACGGAAGTAGAACGTACAAGGCAGAAATGATTACTGTAGCATTGAAATCCCAAGACAGTACACTGAAGGGGTCCTTTACCAAACACCATCACTGTGCGCTCACCTGACCAGAGGATGCCAGCAGGTTGATGGTTGTCAGCAGCATCCAGCCTCTACTGGCTTCTTCACTCTGATTGATCTCCAAGAACTGGACAATGGCCCGACTTGCAGCCTCTATAAAACCAAAGGGAAGCCAGTAAGCAGGAGAAAATCCCTTATAAACTTAAAAAAACCCATAAAACATATCAGGGAAAGCATCATTTCCTAAGCACACATTTTATAATAGCATTATTTTGTACTCTATGAAAAAATAAAATACAGTCTTTTAATGAATATTTGTGTGTGAGAGAGGGAATGAAGTAGAAAACACTACTTTAAGACTGTGTGTGACACTGTGAGTCCATAGAAAACGGTGGTGAGAGGATCAAAGACACTGCCTGCGTCCATTACACCTACACCCACAGGGACTACTTGACAGGCTAGCCCAGGGACGGAGAAACAGTAAGATAGATGAGCATCCTCCACAGAATGGTAGAGTTAGAAGAATATCTAAAAGTCAATTTAGTTGATAATGACTTTGGACTGGCGAGAAGGCTCAGCAGGTAGAGGTGCCAGCTGATGAACATGATGACCTGAATCCAATCAGCAGGATCCACCCTGTGGAAGGAGATAAATGACCCCCACAAGTTGTCCCCTAATGTGTACTACGGGCGCATCATGATAAATAAGTATTAAGAGAGCAATGAAAATGGAGAAATCTCTAGACATCCACTTAATTTTATCAGTGTTTGCAAATTTTAAGATCTGGCATGAATAAAAACTGCCAGAAGTTCCCAGGGACTCCTGATGAACTGGGCAAGACACCAGAGTGCACCTAGTGCACTTCATGAGGAAGCAGGAAGCTGACTGGAACTTGGCTGCTGAGGCTCACTGTGCAGTGTAACACAGCCACACATGCCAGCTGACGTAGCTCAGCTCGAATCTTATATATGACGCTGTGCTGGGCACATTTCATCTTCATGCACTTGCACTTGAAGGGATATTTTAACAGAAAACATTAAATCATTGTTTTTCCGGTATTGGCAACATTTGCAGTGCCCATGTTTTAGCTTACTGAGTTTTCACACAACTGGATGAGTTATTTCCTAATAATCAGCTTCTCCGGTAAAAATTTTAAATATGGAATAGATAAGTAATTTGCCAGTAGTGAACTCACGTTTAAACCTAAGCTGTCTTGTCTGTGAAAAATAGGGAGAAATATTAAAGAGAGAGGGAGAGAGAGCGAGTGAGCTGGAGGGTTCTGCTGTGCAGCCGCTTACGCAATCATGAGGCCCGAGCAGGACTCCCAGAAGCCATGCGAGGAAACGAAGAGAGTACGTGAAGCTGTCCTCTGGACATGGCTGGGGCGTGCAGACTTAACTAACTCAGCTGCAGTTCCCTGTACAAGGCCTGTACAAGGCTGGGGCCTTCAACCTGGGGGCTGTGGTGGCGGCTGGAATAAGGGTGTCATTTTCTTCACCAGCACCTGCACGGCCTGTTCACTAGAAAACAGCTCCTGCCTATGCTCATGCAAGGATCCTTGTTCAGTTCAGCAGGTCAGAAACGGCAGGCAAGAAAGCAGGAGAGGGCTTGCTGGAGGGAGGGTTTCAGTGAGAGAAGAAAGGGAAGAGAGGGGAATGGGAAGTGGGAAGCATTAAACTTCATACCTAAAGTAACAAACTGCCAAAGAGTTAAAAAGAATAAAAGCTGGGCTTGCAATCTCAGGACTGGGGAAGCAGAGACAGGCAGATTCTGGGGGCTCACTAGCCAGCCCAGCATATGGTGAGATCCAGGCCAGCAAGAGACTGCGAGTCCTTGTCCAAAAAAGAAAAAATGAAGTGATCAATACCTGAAGAACAAGCCCCAGGTTGGTCTCTGGTCCCACATGTGTGTACACAACAAAGAAAAGCACAGTAGCCCAGAGAAAGCTAATATGTGGGATGCTACAGGTGGCCCATGACCATATTCCTGTGCTTATGAAGTTACAGTCCCTGGCCCTCTCCAGAGAACAAGAACCACAGAAACAGAGTCCGTGCTAAGCCTTGTCCACATGTGATCCTGGTCACTGACCCTGAGTGTGCAATCAGTAAGTACCTGACAAGGGGGGAGCCAGCCCAGAGTACAGGAGTCACCAACTGACTGTGGACAGCAGGGATTCTGTAACACTTAGGAAAGGGGAGTGATGTGGAGTGATGTTTGGAGCTCCCAAATTTGTGACATTCTTATACACATAAAGGGGAAAAAAAATCAAAAAAGAAAAACTATCAATGTACTTTAGCAACCACCATCCGAGAGCACGGGTATGAACAGAAACTGTTTCTTGCAAGGCTACGAAGGAGCCAACTGACAGGAGTAAGAAACCATACACCTCTTCCACTGAGAGCAATTAAACAGACACAAGGTAGACATTCTTCAGGCAGCCGAAACTCTCGGCCAGAGCAGACCAGTTGTCTCCACGATGGGGCAACTTTTATGTTAAACTGGGCATCTCCGGTCTCATCTGCAGCAGTTTCAGGGAAGGACTTGTACTCTTCATACTGATCGCATCTAGCAACCCAATACATTGACATAATACCTGATAACAACACTGCTTATGAAGAGATTTGGTTAATGTCTCCTATATACTCATAGAGGAGAAAAAAGATTTCTAAAGAACTAAATCAACTTTAAAACTCAAAGCATTGTCATTTTCCTGGCAGAGAGGACCAGAGTCGAGAGACAAGCACAGACTGGAAACACATCTGGGATGCTCACTATTAACTTAGAAAAGTTGTCAAATAGGTTTTTCCACGGTTATTCAAGACTGCCAGACACTAATTCAGCATGCTAAACTAAAACAAAAAACACACTTTTGATTTTTAACTATTAATACTTTTGGTTTATATTTATCTGTACAATGATAAGCATTTATACTTGAAAGGGTATAAAGTCTGTTTTGTTATTTAATCATTATTTCCATCATTATGGTTATGATATGTGTATGTGCCCGTGTGCAAGAGCTTACATAGCAGGAACAGGGAGCTAGAGGACAACTCTGGGAAGCTGGTTCTCCTTCCACCAGTCTCCACACACTGAATTATGTCATTAGGCTCTTACTAATCAAGTCATCTGTTGGTCCTGTTTTGTAGGGATAAGTCCTGCCCCTACGGGGGCGTGTTCGCCTCGGGCTAATGTTTGCCTATAAATTTGGCTAGCGTGCTCCCAGCCACTGCTTCTGCTTTCCTGGTCTCCGTGGGAACGGTGGTTCTGTAAGTCTATTTCTCCATTAAAGCTATATATATATATATATATATATATATATATATATATATATATTTACAATCTGTCTGTATTCGTTTACGCCGATACATTTTGGCATCCAACGTGGGGCTATTTTGCCCCCGACTCAAGCGCGTAGCCTGCTAGCTAACAGAGCACGCTCCCAGGTGCTGTTTTTTAGTTCGTGACTCGGGCCCCAGTGCCGAGTCCGAGACACACTCGGCCACACAGGCCCATTCTGCCTGCCTTGGCTAAATTTGCAGCGGAACCCTACTGCCTGAATTAGCAGAAGCTCAAGTACCTGCGGTTTTGCAACAAAAGCCACCACAGCGGCAGATTTGGTCTGATACAAAGTGACTTGGCCGGGCGGTGGTGGCCTTTGATCCCAGCTCTTGGGAGGCAGAGGCAGTGTATTTCTGTGAGTTTAAGGCCAGCCAGGCGGTGGTGGCACAAGCCTTTAATCCCAGCACTTGAGAAGCAGAGGCAGGCGGATCTCTGTGAGTTCAAGGCCAGCCAGGCTGTGGAGTGCATGCCTTTAATCCCAGCACTCGGGAGGCAGAGACAGGCAGATCTCTGTGAGTTCGAGGCCAGCCTGGTCTACAAGAGCTAGTTCTAGGACAGGCTTCAAAAACACAGAGACCACCATTGGCAGGAACCGATCATTGCAGGTAAAAAAATTTTCTTTTATAAATAAAATGTCTGAACACGTTACCATTCAAGAATTTAACAGTTTTTTTAATTGTACCGTGTGGGAGATTTTACAAGAGTTGTCTATCACCCCACATCTATGGATCCTTCTGGGATTCGTAGTTTTCATTGGCACTAAATGGTTTGATAATAGAAATATGATAAAGTCTTTACGAGACGAATCCAGGATTCTGAAGGCAGAGATTGAACGCTTAAAAACAATTGAGAATGACAACAATCTTCTCAAGAATCAGTTTGAAGTTCTCCAGGCTGATGTTAAGGAGGAAATTCATTACTATGGAAGAGGGAACAGCTGATTTGGATCGTAAGCTTCAGTCCCTTTCTGTAGGAAATGAAACATTAACTGAGAGAATCAAAACTGCTGAATGTGACAATCGGATTTTGTCTAAAGCTTATGACAGATTGACGGAAAGATTGTCAACACAAGAAGGCACGGTTTATGCCATAAAAATTATGTCCAAAGATGAGATGTTATCTCTAATGGACAAACTTCATACTTTAGAATCCTCAATGAAGGCTTTGGAACATAACTCTGGACAGGAGATTCAGACATTGCAGAAGGCAATGGTGAATAGAATTGAAAAGATTGAGGAATTTCTAAATTTTGATGAAGAAGAGCAAAGGGTAGAAAGGCAAATTTTAACTACATCTGTGGGTAAATCTCTCCGGGACAATTTCCACAAAGCTCTACCTACAGCTCTACCTGCCTTTCCAGTAATAACAACAGAGAAGGTGATTGGTTCCAGAAACCCTAGGGTCATCAAGGAAGATACATGGGAGCCTGTCCGTATGAATGACCTCAAGGAAATTAAACAGGCTGTCATGACTTTTGGGATGCAAGCCTCTTTTGCTAAAGAGATGCTAAGATCTTGGGCCACGACAAGCAGCGCAACCCCCTCGGACTGGCTCCAGCTGAGCTCTGCGGTACTTGAGAGTGGATCGCAATTGAAATGGAAATGCTTATTCAGGCAAGAGGCTAGACTTTTAGAAAAGCAGGAAAAAACGAAGGGAATTGACATTAACCTAGATAAAATTCTAGGTGAAGGGCTCTTTTCCGACCCTCAGGAACAAGCTAATTTGGATGAAAACACACTCTCCATGTGTACTACAGCAGCCTTAAGGGCTTGGGACAGGGTACAAGACCCAGGACAGAGAATGGAATCATTTGT